TATTATTTTCTTAATCTTTCCGCATGTCTCGCAATAAAGGGAGAGAAATGAAATATTTGGGAATAAAAATTTTTCCTCTGTGATGTCGTATCGAGAAATGAGAAAGTGGATTGGTCATAACCAGACCGGGTGCGGGACGAGAAAAAGAAAGCACCTACAGATATGTACACCCAAAATAGGGGTGCAGTTCTAGAAAATGTGCCAGGGATGATTGGGTCCCTTGTCAAGGTGTGTGGCCGGTGAATGTATCTGTGGACGGGGAGGGAATTATCACTGTCTGCGGTATCTAGTACAGAATGTATGGGGCAGCAGGGCAAGACAGGATAGACAGGATAGACAGGAGAAAGGCCGGTAAATATGTATGTACTAAAAGCCCATGCCTAATGTACTTTGCTCATGGCTGCATGGATTCAATACTGCACTCCAACCAAGCTGGTCCACCGTTGGATTGACCCGCGGCAGTGGGTGTAATCTCCGCGAGTCGATAGCTCCAGAACATCTGCGGCTTGATTCTGTAGGACAGTCTTGTCCGTACTGTATGGAGAATACCAAATCGCAGAGCAGTATTCTGTATCCATCACTAATACATTAGCTCTGTAGGTAGCGGTGCTTTAGCGATCGTCAGCCGAGCCGGGCCGGTCTCCTAGCTCATAGAAAGCTGACAAGAATTTCCATAGAAGGCATGTAATTAGAGAGCCTCAAGACCTTTTACTCTTCACCTTCCTGCATAGTAATGTTTGCTTTCGGTTTGGAACTTGGATGTGCTTAGCCGTGGATTAGTCTGTAGCGTACATACTACGGCGCAAAGTAGGATCCCAGCGTAGCAATAAGTACGAGACTGTCGCACAAAAATCCCTCTGTTTCGAAACGCATCATGAGTTTACAAAGTCCTAGCCACGCCAGATTGAGGCGTTAGCTACATTTCTTTTTAATAGTCTCGAGGTCGATCACTGGATCTCGCATATAAAGGTGCATATATATTGTGTTTGAGGCGAATATACTTAGAAGGATGTCGAGGTGAATGAGCTGATTCTCGAGTCGGCGGAAGGAGATAGATAAGATCGGGTGGACTCGAAGCGTTGAGCTGAGGGAAGAAGGCCGAAACAGGCAGACAGGGTAACTCCCAAGTTGATTGACCAACCACCCCGAGAATCCCTTTGCTTACACCGAGAGGGTGTGAGGCAGTTGTGCGACGTACTACGATGTAACGAAGAAAAAAAAGGGAAATCTATTTGATAGATCATAGCGACCAGTAGTTTCCACGAAACAGAGGCTGAATAGAAGTCCTTGAACAACTAATGGATTGCTCAACATGATAGGTCGTGAATTAAAGGAAAAGAAATGGATAAGCTGACCATATCCAGATATCATGATACCTACCTCCTACCTAGTGTTCAGCAGAGTTGATGATTTGCCTTTGCGGGCATTTTATTCTTCCAGCACCAAGCTATGCGTAGTAATATAGTCGACTATTAATAAAGTGGCTGGCTGGTAATAAATTGTAGATCTAAAGGAGTCAGATGGCAGATGGGATAAGCAGCCTGGGCAGGGCTGGTTGTAACGCAAGATCCTTTCAAACTGGTTGGATGGTTGTCCTGTTAGTCATGATGAGATTTGTTTAATCAACTGGATCTACGGGCCTATGATCCTGTGTTGTGTAAATCGAGGTTGAAGCCTTGCATAGGGCGTATGTGACCAATGAAGCCAACTATAGATCTAAGTGTTCAGATCATGGATGCTAAGTCGCAGGCATCATAGATGATGACGAAAGAGCCTGGAAAGCCACTGGAGAGGGGAAAGGGGCAGAGGGGATAGGCCTTATGCTGCGACCTCCACGTTTTTTATTTCCTGGCCTTTTCCCCGCTATGCGTTATGCATGATGGTGCAGCTGACCCTCTTTGAAGCGAACTATCGCCGGTTCAGGGGTTCGTTAGGCCAAATCAATCTTGATCCATTTCGATTCTCGAAGCCTTTTGTGAATCATACTCGCGGATGACGCATCGAAATAATTGATGGCCTCGTTGTGTTCAGCTTGAGACCCTTTTTTTCCTATAAAAAGGCAAATGTTGGTTTATATCAAGGATAGAAGCGCCGGATGATACTCTACGGACGTGAAGGGTGTGTAAGATTCTTCCAACCCACCAATTCAGTCCACCATCTTCCATGCCATCAATATAGTTCCCGGCTACAGCCGAATTTACCGAGGCGGAAGATGAGAGATAAAAATTAGTCAACCGCAGATGTAAGTTTACGTACACTTGAACAAGTTCGGATGAATAGGGATATCGGCAATATAAGTGAAAACGGGTATAATGACATGAAGTAGTTTCTAATGTCTAGATGTTGTCAATACATTTAAGGGGTTATATGTATTGTGAAAACTCTTTCAGCTATGGCGGGGGATCGCCGCTGTTGTAACTATTCTTAGAGTATTGGATGTTGGATTTGCATACAAATAGAACTAATGTTTGTGATGATGAAATGTGGTGATACTAAGTACTATACTAGGTACTATACTAGGTACTATACTAGGCACTATAACACTCTTAGTATGCAGCCTATGCAATCTATATGCACTTTGGCCTAAGCGTTACCCGCATTTCTGCAGTTGCCCACTTTCCCCGCGCGGGCACTACAACCTTCCTCCTCGTGGTCTACTATACTACTATGGATATCTATACAGTACCTAGGAAGTTGCTATCCGTTTTACCATTAGATCTCAACCTGCCTGCCTGCCTAGCATGTACATAAAATAACTCGGCGCTGCCCGGTCTCCTTCTAGATTTTTATTTCCCTCCTTCTTCCCAATCACAAACTCTCTAGCTCACCCAACTACGTAAACTCGACTATACCATACATCCATGATAAGAGGCAGGTATGCTTTGACGGAAGAGGGGTAATCCAATCCCCTACGAACTCAAGCAGCATACACTTTTAGTCCAGTGCTGCGAATAGCCGATCGAGCAGTTGTCTCTCCGCACGCTGCCGACACCCGTTGGAGACCCGTGGCCGTATTGTATGATACTTACATGAACGGCCATCAGAACATCTGATTCATTATCACTCACCCGGGCTTGTTCAATAGAGAGCTGGAAGGATCATAAGTTGCCGTCGAATACGGTCCGTGTCATCCGCCGCATTCATCAATCAATCAATTAATCCATCTCATCCACCCAGGCTGCCAGGCCGAGTCTTGGAACCAACCGGGTCGCCTTAGCTTCCTTCATCATCAAGATCGACATTGACTGGCTCTTTTGACCTGGCTTAGTCAGAGTCTGCATTTCAATTCTATTTGCGCAATTAAGGATATGGAACAGATCTAAGCTACAGTGCATCTTTCTCTTTTTGCGAAACGAGACCACTCAACACATACGATATTATCTCCGAAATTCTAGCATTCGTCGCAAGTCTTTACTACGCATAGTATTGCGCCTCAACTTCTACCTGGGACCCCGGGATTTTAGTCTTTGCCGATGGATCTTTAAGAGATCCTTGAATTAAGAGAAAAATTTTGCATTCTTTCATCTTCTTTTTGATACGGTCCGTATCGCTGGGACATTTGTCGGTGCGCAAGGTCGGAGTGAGAAAATCATCATTCCAATTTCGCTAAGGGCAGCCGAAATCTCAGAAACCCTGCCGCCCAGGATCCTGAAAGCATCGTCATTCGACCGTCGGACAACAAATTTTTCAGTTTCCGTTTTTTCACAAGGGACCGCGGGATTCATATCTATTACGATGACCCTTATGATGGCAAGCTTCAGAAATACCTGAACTGTGATAGTCTATTGACAGGGTATTGGAAGAATTGCGCGCAACAATCCCGAACGTCATCGTAATCGTCTTCGCCGCCTGGGAGGATCTCCAGGCTACCGGAGCCATACGACTACCGACTACGTTTGTGGAATCGTGGCCTCTTTTATTTTATTACTGGTGCATCTGCAAAGATAGCGAATCATTTAGTGCTTTTTGGTGCTAAGCGGACCGATTTCCAGCTATAGAAGTTGAATTGAATCGCCCCCTTCCACCATTTTCAGCGCACAGTGGGCGACCGTGGACGACTCATTACGCCTATTGGGTACCGAAACAGAGACAAAGTGCGAGCGGATCATTTCTCAGACGTTGTGGCTGTGTCGCCTCTCTGGGACTGTGGGAGATTCAGTCCCTCGTTGACTAATCTCATATCTTGGCTTGTACGCCGAGTACAGTTAGGTGTACTTAACCTAGGTACACAGTGGGTTACGCTGGACGTACTCCCTCTACTCCCCCTTGTCTTAGTTCAAGTTTCGCACACGCCCCAGTACATCCGGTCGAAGAAGTACGTACCGAAATACGTACCCACGCCTGCCAAGGTACCTTGCCTTTTAGGCTAGGATTAGGCCTGGGTAGGGACCCCCCTGTACACTTTTTTTCTGGTACCCCCCTGTCCAGCCCCCCAGAAGGAAAAAAAAAACTTTTTTACTCTGTTGGTCTCTCCAAATATCCTGTTATTATTAAACAGGCCGCTCTCCTACCCAACCACCTTTTGGTTCTACCTTTTCTACCAAGTTTGGCCTTTGCCATTTGTATTGACTCATCAATCATTCGAAATCACATTATTTGTATTTGATTTTCGCTGTCCCAAGCGAATTTTCAATCTGGATTTTATAGAAAGGTCCAGCAATTTCCAGCGACTTCACTACTCAAAGTCGACCTTCGATCGACTTTGATGCCCAATCCTCCCGGGGGATATAAACACCAAATCTTGACATGTTCTCTCAAAGAAGACGGTTTTCCTCTCCTCTTCCCACCGACCACATACCAAGGTGACAGGTGTCACTTCCTCCCGCGTCCCGATACAGGCGCCATTTAAGATTATAAAATATTCGAAACAAAAAGGATCACAACAAACCCTATTCACACCATCGATTCGCGTTCGGGGACGGTCACATTCACGAACGAGTTGAAAAACGACGACATATTACGACTTCAGCGGGATAGCTTCGCGCAAAGAGTCAGGAAATATGAGTTACGCGTCACCATACGGCACCCCTCATCGAGGTGGTGAGCCTGGTTACTATTACGACGTACAGAGTCCCTCACCAACTCCTTCGCCACGTCACTACCCATTTTACCCAGCTCAGACCCCCCAGCGACCGGCTACTCGTGCTCACGCTCGCAACGCCAGCACCGATTACCCTAACTTCCGACCGTCGACCGCTTTCTCTCCTCGTTACAAGAGCAACGGCGAATATGCCACCGGCCCAAGCCCGAATGTGAGTTCGCGAAAGCACAGTTTCTCAATGGGGTCGCATCACACGCCCAGGCGCGAGCGACGGAGTTCCTTCTCATACCATCGGGCCTCTCATGGGGACTCCGACGAGGACGAGTTCTTCGAGATCGGTGGTGTCAGATGCGTATTGATTGCGGAGTCCAAGAGTCGCAAGCGCAGAGAATCTTTCTATGCTGCTCCGGGACATGGCACTGATCACTACTACCGTTCGCAGGGCATGCCGACGTCGTTCTACGAGAAAGAGAGAGCCGAGTATCCTCAATTCGACGAGCCACCAGCTCGTTCCGCCACCAGGGTAGGCAACCACGCCCGCCGCCCTTCGGCATCCGCTGTTCCCATACAGCGACCAGCCACCACGCGCCCTTCCAGCTCGCACAAGAAGAAGCCCGCCGCCGCCGGAGCTAAGAAGGCTACGGAAGCGGACGCGAAGAAGCACCGGATACCCGCAGGATATTCCCTAAAGAACTGGGATCCCACGGAGGAACCTATTATGCTGCTAGGAAGTGTCTTCGATTCCAACTCTCTAGGAAAGTGGATCTATGACTGGACCGTTCACTACCACGGAGCCGCCACCCCCATTGCGGACGTGGCAGGCGAATTATGGGTTCTACTTATCCAATTATCCGGCAAGGTAAAGCGCGCCGAAGAGGTTGTTCCCGAGGTCAGGACCCAAGCAAACAAGGAGATGATTGAAGATTTTATCGAGTCCGGCGAGCGCCTGACGGACAGGCTCCGCGTCCTATTGAAGAAGTGTGAGGCTCCCATGTTAAGGTCCGCCAAGAGTAAGGAGGCATCCCACCTCGGACAGAATGCCGGTGTGGAATTCGTGAAGACCATTTTTGGTCGCGAGCGTGAGCTTGAGCGCACCGAGGCGTTCATGCAACAAGTCCGTCTCTGGAATTTGCGGTTCGATGCGAACTGCGAGGACATCCTAAAAAGGCCAAAGCAATAGACCATTGGACTTTAGGATTTTATTACCCGGACTATCCATCTTCGGACCCCATGCTCTCCGCGGATGGACTATATTACTACCTCTACCACTATTACCGCTTACTACTACTATTACCACTACCACCACCACCACCACTACTAAAACTGATTGGAGATTGAAGGATGGCGCCGCCATCGTGTACCATTAGAAATTGATTTCCTGCTTGGGTTGTATTTCCGGAGTGACATCGATACCAGGATATCCCCGTTCAGGATTTCATTTCATCTGTCATATTACACTCGCCGCAGGGCAAACTAGCATGCGGAAGGGCCTGGATTTTCCTGTCTCATCTTTCGTTTTTCAAGATACCCCGGACGAAGATAGGAGAGTGCGTGTCTAGACTGCGCACAGGCTCATTCGCGCAAGCAGTTGACGAGGACACGAGCGAGAGATATACCCTTTCGGGATTTTCGGGAACTCAAAAGTTGGTTACGGAGAGAGGGATTGTTTACTTATTTTTTTGCGCAACGGCCGTATTGGTTTGCCGTTGATGGGAACAGCATCGGGCTGGCTATTGTCCAGCCTTAGAAAAAGAGCTTAATGGTTATTGTCTTATGGATATTGATGGATTCGTTTACCAGCCGAGTCGTGTTTGCTTCGCCAGTTAGCACCTTGCGCCAATATTAGCGGGCGTTATGTCAGACCTGGCGGCATTTTTGATTTTATTGTTTGCTCTGGACGCATTTATAGAGGATCTCTTGCGATTTCGAGATCGGGACTGGGTTGTACTGGCTGGCTGGGAGATACCCCTTTCTTTCATTTTTACTTTTCTTGCTTGTAACTGGAATCTCAGGAAGACAAAAACAAACACCAATCTTAGTATAACTTCACCTCTTACCTTACCTGCTTTTGCCTATGAATGTGATTTGACTTTTACGTGATATGTATAGTAGTACCCTGGCATCTTCACCCACATCGTCTATGTTGCCATTATCTCGCTCGGCCAATTATGCGATCCTGCCTTGATACTACTGCTGCTGTTACTTGATGCTTGCATATAGTATGCATATGCTCGCAGCCGAACTTACCGGTGCGTAGGGCATGTGACCCTAGATGGAGACTTGATCGTAACGATTGGCCTTCGCAAATGTAGAATATTTTGGAACGTCATTCCATCTGGGTTGATTACACATGCGATGGAGAAGCCGCGGACTAGGTAGAATGGAGTATGACTCAACGCTAGTGCACACAAGGGGGTTAGGATGAATAATATTTGAAGTGTCTTCCTTGGGGCTCCTATCTGACGGCATCTCCTGCACGCCGCAAAACATCGAATCATCAAATCATGTTTCTTAGCAAGCTGACGATTGTTTCTCCTATTCATTATTCATTCCCATGTCATGTATACTAGGTAATCATCTCTTCGATTATTCTTACATGGGTTGCATTGAGATACTTAATCTCGTCATAACTTTGTACTTCCCAAAAGTAGATATGTTACCAGTCTTTTCGACGGGAGCATTGAGGTGCAGGGGGAGGCAAAAAACGTGTCTTCTCGAAGGATGTCATGCACTGTCAGCCTCAAACTTCCATGGCGCTATGCAATAGCAACTTTTTTTTTTTAATTATAATATTTTTATTTTTCATTTTTCTAATTCCTTCCTCCCCCCTTTTTTTGTTTCGTTGTCTTTGCTTTTTTGTTAAATTTTTTTCTGTTGAAATTTTGTGTGTGCCGACGGCGGGAGTAATTGGCCCGAAATTACTTTTCATGCCCAAGCCACTCAACACACGCGCGTTCGTTCCTGTGTGCGCTTTGCGCCGAGGTGGTCTTGGAACGCGGACACGAGAAAACCAATTGAGAAAATATTTAATATTTGTCTATGTGTATACGATCTACAGTGTTGTTCTACTATGGGCAATGGCTACGAGATCAATATATTCCTTGAGACCCTTCGACGCGCTCGTATCTGACTGTGATGAGGTGATGATGTCTATTGTCGTTCACGAATATAGGCCCGTGTTAGGGTTCCATGATAGGGTTACAGGCCTTAGACCATCCCTCATCCTTCATTGGGGACTTTGCTCGCCAGGGGCTATTACAGGCTCATTTAGCGATGGAAGATCCATGTCCATTGTCTTACAGCTGAGCCCATTCCGTGTTCCGTGCTCAAGCTGTAGTCTGCAGGTCAATTTCTTTTCCTGTCTTGGTTACAATACATGGTACATCGATGTCTACATTCCCAAATTAGACTCTTCACGCCCTCCGTACTTCTAACATCCTCAGGTCCGTACATCGAGACCTTCGAACAGGCGGGAGATCGAGTTTCCCATTCGCCAAAATGGTTACCCCTCTTTAGCAGTCCTACTAAACAAGTTATTCAATCGAATGAACTGTCCTACCACATCTCCTTCGAGTCACAGTGACAGAGTGAATTGGTTGCTCCAACTTGTTCCGTCATATTATTGTTGTTAGGCACCTACGAAGGGTCGATAGGGCGTCAACGCCAACGGGGATCCGCCCAGGCACGCACCGCTGCTCTTCGTAATCAGTCCAAGCTCCGTACCCAGTACCCTTGCAGGCCACGGTCCTCCTACTGGATCGTGTAGTAATAATCTACGGCCAAGGTGACAAGGTCAGCAAGGTCACGAAACGGGCTTAGGAGTTTCTTGGGATTCCGGCCGCGCTACTACATAGTACGTATTAGTAGGTACGGAAGGGTTACAGTACATGGAATCCACTGCCACGCGAAGAGCGACAAGGAAAGGATGTTCTCGTTTTCTTCCTTTTGCAACCTTGATCATATCTGCCGTGGTAGATGAAATGCCATTTTCGTACGCCGGCCAAGGCTACCGAATCATAGTTCGTTCCAATTAGGAAGACAGTATATCATCCTCCTGCGTGAAATCGAGCAATCGAGTAATCGTGGCTGGTGAGTCGTGAGTGGACATATCGCGCACTTCTCGATGATATGTACCTAGGATTACGGGGCGTGTCGACGGGTGTGTCAAAAGGGAAGCACACAGGTAGCACATACCCCCTATCTGAGACCAAAGTGCAATTTGTGTTGGATCTGTTCTAGACCAAGATCAAATATCAAAATATCCCTGGCATGAGATGGATTGAGTCATGTATCAACAATGTTTCTATTTGCACAAACACCTATGAAAACGAAACAATAACAACGTAATCCAAGTTTGGTAACTTGCAACTTGCAGCAACCCTTGCGGCCCTATCAAAGCTTCCGGCATCCGCAGGTACATACCTCGCTCGATTAGATGCGGGTTGGCGGGTTGGTCTTCAACAAAATTGACATGTTGCAATATGATGACACACAGGGCGACACCAGTAGATCGTTGATAACCTTGGGATACAATACGCAATAGCGAGAGGCTACCGAAAAAAAACGGGCTTACCAACATCTGGCTGCCTATCTCTCCTCTTTCCCCTGTCCGCGTCTCAAGCCACCCGCGTCTGTCGCGGCAGTTGGTCATCCCCGGTGACTATTTACGGTGCTGATGTGATGCGACCAAGAAAATTTTCGTCCTACCGTTTCTCCCCCCCCATTCCATTCCATCCCATCCCATCTTGTCCAGAGATTCCCAATTTGGGATTCCTCCTGTCTCACGGACCCGCGGCGCATATGTCTCCAATCACAGGCCGGGATCTCGTCCGTGTCGTACGTGCTGAGGCTTGATCGACCACACCCGGCAATTGGGGGCGGAGATGGGTGAGATACCAGAGTACAGACTTACACTAATGTAGCGTGGTGTAAGCATGGTAAGGCGCCAGCCTGCCTTTCTTCGCGCAGTGCATACATAAAGTCGCATTCGTCCACGACCGAAATAGCATCAGCTAAATCAACCAAGTGCAACCCACGAGAGCTGAGATGACATAGTTTGTCTTATCTCCCGTCGCACTCTTTTTGCGGCATAGGAACAGACATCTATGATGCTTACCTACGGGCTGCCGTGTCTATCCCACACCCGACGAATGAGGACTCGCGCGACGGGAACGGACGAGAATCACGGGCGGGGGGGAAGGGCGACGGGGCGATAGAACATGCCATCTCCCTTCTAGACGCCCTTCTCACCATCCCGGGCGGCGCTCGTTTACGGCTCTCGTAAGGCTTAGTCCGCAGCGGGCATATGCGCACGCCCGTAAATCTATCTGTCCATCTATATCTATGTGGCGGACCGATTCCTCAATAATGACAGATAGGCGATCGAACTGCCACAACCCATCTGGGTACGGGCACCAGTTCGTGGTCCCGTTCCCGTTACTTGTACCTACTCGCTCCCGCTAAAGTTTCCGCCCGAAATATCACATCACTTTCATGAACGAGCGAGCATCATTGCTGAATTCGCGTGCCACACGAGGCCGTCGGGCACACAGCCAGATAACGCTCATACAACTAAGAGCGTGTATACCAAGCCAATTCGTTGCCGTGGGATAAGTATTGGTAATTAGCACATTGCTCCAGAGCCGTCGGATCCGGTCGAGGCTATGTAGGTACCTAGTATGTATGGCATACACACAATTGACCCCAATTGCGATAAAGATATCTTCAGGTGATGGCCTCCCAACCGCGGCCTCGACTGCCTAACTGAAGGGGTACCAGCGGTTATGCAGGTCATACGTAAAGGTAGAGCGACAGGATCTCCCGCCAATAGATGCGCTGCCCACTGTTGCATTGGGACGACTTGCACCGAGACATCAGGTGTACGGTTAATCTATCGATCACCAACTTTTTTGCACATTCGCAAGTACTGCTCAGACGTCATAGAGATACTAAGTATACACAGCGCTATCGAGTCAATACCGGCCTCACCTTAGGTATCTAGAGTAGGCACATACCTAGGTAGGTACCATACCAACCTCCACGCATCCCAACCCCCTCTCTCTCCTTGACCTAGGTCTGTGGGTATCAAAACACGCATGTCCCAGAACCCCTCCATACGGCACACGGATGTGTAACGCCTGCTTACCAGGGAGCACGCGGTCTATGCCCGTACCGGGCGGACCGGAAAGGTGGGTTTCACGAACGGGCGGCATTTGCAGCCCCTGAAACGTTTATCTTATTAGACATCTCAATTGCCCGAAACGACGCCGTTAGGTCATCATACCTGTGTCCAGTTTCTTCCTTTGTTCGAAAGGGATACTGAGGTAGGTATTGAGAGACTTAGGAGGTATGTAGACGCCGCTTAGTCTCGGGTGAGAAAATAGGCGGGTGTGGCGCTACTTGGCTGAGGAGGTAGAGAAGTAGCAGTACGCGGGATACTAGTATGTCAATGTTGTGGCCTTACTTGGTGCCTGCTGTACGCCCAACCGACCTCTCCATCCCTCATCCAGCCAGTACCTCTCTGCCTCTGTGGAATGAGATGGGGAGGAGGGGTCGGGCTGGCTGGAAAGGTGTCGGATAGCCGCAGCGCTCAGGTAGTACATGTTGGAGAAACCGACCCAAATTCATCTTTCCCGTTTGCTCTATGACGTGACGTTTGTCTACAACGGACTTCTCGCATGGGGAATCGCCAGTCAGAGGGTTGGTGTTTACTACCTAGACAGACTGGGGTGTGTAAAAGGGGCCACGATGCTTAACCTAATATCCCCATAGGAGAAAACCGGTCTTTCTCCCTCCTATTTTCTCGATCTTCGATCCCGCCTCCTTGGCATCTGATCGATGTCGTAGTTTCGTCTGAGAGATGTTCTAATTCCGGCTTTATACATACATACTAATAGACGATGCTGTAACCCAATAGGTAATGGACAGGGCTGAGAGGCTAAGGAGGGGTTGGGATGCGTCTAGTCATGCATGTACTATAACACGTGGTTGTTCAAGCATTCTTAGGAGGTATGTATCTACTTAAGTAGCGTAAGCCCTATTATATTAGCACCTGGTAGCCCCGGCCTAGTGATTACGGTGCCACCACTGTCAGGCCTCTAGTCCCCCGTGCTCCACTCCGTTCCGTGTCTACGGTTGCGGGTTGGAGATGCGAGGCCGTTTATAAGTGTCTAGATGTTTATGAGGTCGATAAGGTAAACCGGCAGTATTGGAACAGTTCATTCAATTCTAGGGCGATCTTATAGTTCTTATTTACTGGTATAAGGTAAGTAGGTCCTGGGGTAGGTATTGAAAAAGCATTTAAATACCTACCTAGGTCTTACCTAGGTATTTACTGAATGTCTTGGAATTGGAGAAATTATAATCTGGGCAACCACGTAACTATCGAGCTGTAAGACTTAATTAGGTCAATTATAATGTAATTCTTGTTATATCGGGTGTTTAATTGTTAGATGTATGTTGAGTTCATTGCTTCTGAAATTTTGAAGTGTGAAGACTTCCCGGTATTCATGAAGTCACCTGTTCGGGTGACACTTAGGATATAGATTTATTGAGAAAATTGTATTCTTTCTACGGTAGTAATTGGTCTCCCTGGTCTGTGCAGGAGGATTTTCTTTTCACTTTGTCACTTAAGCGGCACTTTTCACCTATCATATTCAATCATTAACCAACTTGGAACATCAACCTTAAGAAATCTTCGAATGGCCCTTAATGACGGCTTACCGGCCTTGCCTGAGCTCTCATTCATTCGGAGGAGTTATACAGAGAAATATCGGAAAAATAATGGAAATGAGAACCAACAACAAGATGAGGGTTCTATATATCGTACCGAACTAATCTTTAAACACATAAATCGAAAGTGGCATGTCAAAGTTACACTTACACTTAAGAGCATGATTCAATTGCCAGAGATTAATGCTAAATGGTTGCAACGAAAGAAAGACTTTGAAGATCTCTGCCGTTGTATAAATTTTAGCGGTATTCCTCTGCTAGAAGATACGGTTACCGAGCTCATTCTTTCCAATGATCTCTGCGATCCAGAGTTGCATCTCTTGCCACAAAGTGAACAACCAAATCTACCTAGAGATTACATACGCTCACATCCTTCAAGGTATACGATTCCGCATTCAAGAAGATCCCGAGCGTATAAGGTTCCCTTTATACGATGGCGGCGGTATACCGACAATCGACTGGTCAGCAATTCAGAAAGGGCAAGAATTTGCAGCAGGTGTCCACAAGGTTTACATAAAAGAGAGGAACCAACACTGCGTTTACAAGGAAGTAGATAGGCCCCTTTATGAGCCTCACGATACCGAGGTTCTTCAACAAGAGCTCCGGAACTTAGTTTTACTACGAAATACGAAGGGAATTGTGCAGATACTTGCCGTGGTCATATCTGCCAATCCATACCAGACAGACGAGAGGAAAGACAGTGAGGTCTTGAGAGGCATTCTCCTCGAGTATCACCCGTACGGCACTTTGCAGGATCTACTTCGTTCCAAGTCCGAAACGAGCTATCCGTGGCGACGCTGGGCCGTTCAGGTGGCAACTGCACTTAATTTACTTCACCGTCACCAACTATCGCATCTGGATTTGAAGCCAGCAAACATCGTTGTTAGCATAAAATGGGATGCCCTTTTAATCGATATTAGTGGGCTTGCTGTCACTCAAGAATGGTTATCGCCCGAAATGGCCCATGTATTTGCTCCTTGGGAACAGGATATCGGCTCGCGAATTCAAAATGATGTATCGGCATTTGGGAAGCTTTTGTCAAGAATGGCTGATGCTACGGGCAACCACCAAGAAGCACAGCTGTTAAAGCACGTCGCCTCCCTTGCCACCGCAGAAGTTCCCATACGTATCTCTCTACTAGATGCGATCTCTATGCTCCAGAACTAAACATTAGTTATTGGTATAATTCTATAGTGAATTATCCATGGGAGCTCGGTCAACCCATGGATTGTAGGCAATAGGGGCTATTTTCATTCATGGTGAGCTATTGACTTTGGCAGGTGGTCAGCTCGAAGGTCGTTGACTTCACATAAAATGCACTTTGACAACGATAGGAAAGGACCTTGGATTTTGTACTCGCTTTACTGGAAATTAAGAGGTCAAGAGTCCATATTGCGATTTAACTTTTCAACAAACCACGCGATTCCAAGTTTCCAAGAGCTAAAAATTTGTCAAAGAATCCGATAGCATCACCACTGCTTAGAAGTAGGTAGAGCCGACGTTCTCGCGCGTAATGGCAACTCCTTCAATAACCTGGGCGTTGGATATTGAACTATTCCCGTCGACAAGTGTCAAAGTAAGAAGAATGTATATCTCGGAAGCTTTGTTCGTCAATTTTATTCATTTTTTTCTGTATATGATAACCCAGAGAGCTTGACCGCTTCTTCAGGCATAAGAACTTAGCAGTCGCCTATCGCCTTTAACGAGGTAGGATAATGGTGTTATATGTAAGGTAAATAGAAAAGACAGTACTGTAAAACAATTGTTTAATAATCATGTTAGGCCGATGGAGAACCTCCTTAAGTTAAATTCAGAAATTCATCGAGGAGACATTTTCGTTTCGTCTAAAGATCGTCACTAACGTTGACGTTTCGACACACCCGCGACGACTGTCGTCTGAGCTAGGCCAGGGCGCGGCTTGGCTTTCGTGAGGCTGTCTTTCAATCTCAACTTATCCGCGATATCGAAGCCAGTACAGTGGAGAATCGGATGAAGCGATTCGATAGCCAAGCAAACGCCGCGATCCGCCAAGAGGACATTGATGCCCCTTGGCATTGCGATCTCGTTTCATCTCTTCGCTACCCCGGGATCTCACCGCGGTACCGCACCTACCAGAGATTAAAGCACGGCGATTTTTTCTATTGTTAACATCCGAAACGATCCAATCTCGGCTTCCTTGCGACACGGCACACGGAGAAGCGATGTCGATCGCAGAAGAACTGTCGCGTGCGCTATTTCCGCATCTGAATTCCCGCCAGGCGATATATACAACTAATGTCTCCCCCAAGAGATCCATTCTTTTCCTTCTTAGCCCAATGTTCCTTAGCAACTCAACATTCACACCTTCAGGACGAGTCGGGGGGTAAGTTGCACATTCATTGACATTCGGTCTCTCGTCGAAGCACGGTCTCACCTTCTACCATCGATCGACTACCTACACTGCACTGCCAATCCCAGGTGGAGGAGTGACGTGTACCGAGTATTCATCGGACCAAACCAAGCCAGGAGGACGCGAGAAGAGCCCTACTCGTCTCGACGAAAATCTGTTCACTTCTTCACCTTTAACTTTCGTTTCGTTTCGTTTCTGCAAGTCAGTCAGTTAGTTACTCGCACAGGATGGCGTACCAATTCCCCAACACCATCAGCGCAGCGCGCATCGCCACCTTCGTCAGCACCGCAGCCTGGATCCAAGGCACCAGCGCGAGCGAGGCCTCGCTGCCCGAAGAAGCCCTCAACAACTTCCTACGTAGACACGGCGTCGTCGGCACAAAAGTCTCCCCTAGACAAGCCACCGCATCCGCATCCGCGTCTCCCACCCCCGCCCCCGCAGCCTCAGAGGACGGGGACAAAGACAAAGCAGACTCAGCGTCCTCCGCATCATCCGTAAGCGGCGACGGCGTAGAAGAAGACGGCGCCTCGTCCGCGAGCTCCGCCGACTCCACACCAAGCAAGGGCGACAACGCCGCGGGCACAGCCGCGCAGAACCAAAACTCCAGCTCCGCCACCGCCGGCGTTGCCGGCTCCAACTCCGCGCAAGCCGGGATAACAGCCGCGTCATCAGGCCAACCCGCAATCGGGTCCGCGGACCCGCCGCCGCTAAGCACAGGGGCGCAGGTCGCGATCGGGGTGTGGAGCGCGGTAGCCGTGGTCGGGCTCGCGGCGCTGATATATTTCCTCGGCCGGCGACGGCGGGCGCGGATGGCGCGGGAGGAGATGGATGCGTTGCGGGACGAGGAGTTGGCGCGGGAGATGGCGGAGCAGCAGCGGGGGACAGGGACGTTTGGAGGAGTGGGACCGCCGATAAGTGCGGTGGCGCCGTCGGCGTATGTGCGAGATAGCAGGGCGGTTGGGGACGGGGCGAGGGGGATTGGGGGTGAGGGCGGGAGCCGGGCGCCGAGCGGGCAGTGGATGGCGACGCCGCCGTGGCAGGAGTCGGCTCCGACGTGGCGCGACTCGCAGCCGTGGAGGCAGTCGCAGCCGTCGGTTTTCGGGGCCCAGGATCGGTTTCCGGCGGGCTCGAGGCCGCCGCTGCCGCCGTTTGCTCCGCCGAAGTCGAAGCCTGAGGATGATCGGCGAACTGAGTATACGGCTGAGACGGAGAGTACGATTTTTGCGTATCGGTAGGGGGTGGGGTTGGGAGGTGTGTCTGATAGTGGGAAATAAAACTGGAAAATGATGCGGTATATTATGTATGTTCGTTAAGTGGATTGAGTCTGCAGTTATTATGTGCGCTACTTAGTTCGGTTGTTAATATCATTTATGTCCGCTTGCAAATTGTGTATGTAATTGTAATCTGTCAAGCTATCGGAGTGAAGTTTGTAGTTAGAAAAATGACTTGTTACAGGTAAGTTACTATAGAAAAATGGGACGGATTGCTTAGAAAACTAATACCTACCTACCTAAGTGTCTAACTGGAACACGGTATAGTTGGTATAATTATCATAAACCAATTGAAATAACATAATCTCTGACAGTAAAATGATAAAGGTAAAGCAATTGGTAAGTAGTTGTATGAACTATGATGATGGAATGAGGTGCTTGTATATGACTCAATTCACTGTCTTTTTCCTATCAGAGGCGGTGATAATCATCAAGATTGAATATAAGATGAGAATAAATGAATTATATACCTAAGTGAGATCTCCGTAGTAAAACTTAGTAAATAATTCTTATTATATACAATGTAACGAAGGCCTTAATATTGCTCGACACCTTAATGCCGTATAAATCATCTCATAACCTAAGAATGGCGTTCACTACTGAAGTGACTATCATCCATATCTGACCTAGTCATCATATTTATCATCTGCATCTATCCAATCTCACTCCGTCAGGGTCGTAGTAAGGTATATTGTAAAGACCACACAATCAAAGAACATATCAGGAACTAGAATTTAGGGAGATTAGGCAAGTAAAACAGTAATCATGAGTCGAGTCAAAGCAAGCGCGTCGTCAATTATATAAACGTCCTAACTTCCTAACTACCTCGCTTGCTAGCATGTCGCGCCGTAGGTATCATCGCATTTTTAATGTCCACTAGTCCATTAGTCCTTACACCGAAGACGGAACCCGACTGTGTCCTTAGACTTTTGCTTCCATAGGAAGATAAGAGGCCTGTAAGTTGATCCATCCACCCAATCTCCTTACATGATGACTTCATTAGCGACATCCTAGAGAGTTATGTTAGCTTAGTCCGGTATATGAATTGTCATATTGGGATTGATATATGACTTACCCTCTTCAATTCCTTGAAAGGCAAGCAGACACAGTTCTGCACGCGCACCTCATCGCCAACACCGCATTCCTTGCCCAGAATGGTGATGCTCTGTACCTTGACGCCGTTCTTCACGATGCTAGTCGAGTGGCTCGTAACGGGCGTAGGTGTACCCTCGACACGAGCCCAAGCACCCACGCGGCTGTTCCAGCCGACGATAGAGTATAGCACACAAGCATCATGCTTGATCTCGGCGTCCTCTAGGACAATAGACTCCTTCACACGCGCGCCGGGTCCAATCGTCACACGGGGTCCCACTGAAACATTGGGGCCAAGCTTGGCAGTAGGATCGACATGTGCGGACGGGTGGATGAATACGGGGGGTATGACGTTGGGAGAAGGCTTCGCAAGCTCGTTGGATTCGGTCTGGTAGGCCTTCTGTAGGTATAGCGCATTGGCCGGAACAGCAGAACCGGCGGTCTTGATCTGGCGCCAGAAGTCCTTTGTCTCGTAGACGAAGAACTGCTTGCTATCGGCGAGGTCGCTCAGGATGTCCTGCTCTAGACGGATGACCTCATTCTTGCGTTCTTCATCCTCTTCAGCCATGAAGCTCGACTCGAGGTTCTCGGATGACGGATACGAGACTAACCGAGGTCGGTCGGTTCTTCGCTTGATGGCAGTCTTGATGCTGGGGAAGATGGCGTCGACGCTGAATAGGTATACACCGCAGTTGATCAGGTTCGATATGTGGCTCTCCGGCTTCTCGACGTAATGTAGGACACGGCGAGAATGTTGGTCCGACACAATGCAACCGAAGTTGGTCGCAGCATCCTCGCTCACCCGTGTTCCCAGAATGACGGCCTCGGCATCCTTATTGTCGAAGAGCTCGGCCATCTCGTTGAGCGGGAAGGAACAGCATACGTCCGAGTTGAGGACGAAGATGCGCTCGGGCCGACCCTTAAGGATCGCATCTCGGAAGTGGTACAGGCCACCAGCAGTACCCAGGGCCTGGTATTCTCGTAGGTATTTGATAGGGAGGTTAGGGAACTCGGAGGCGGCTTCTTTGATAAAGTCCTTAAATACAGATTCGTCGTAGTAGCCGATCATAACAACCTCCTGAATGGAGGGTACTTTCGCAATGGCGGTCAAGCAGTGCCATACGATGGGGTGTCCAGCAACATCGAAGAGGGGCTATAGGGTGGTTAGTATGCTGGTGGTGTTGTTGGTGACAGATTCAGAGTCGATCGGCAGACAGACCTTGGGGACATCGAGCGATAGAGGGCGAAACCTGGTTCCTCTCGAAGGACCGCCGACCTGTATAGACGATCTGGTTAGTGGGGTCTCGTCTGCGTATTAGAGGCCAGAAATGCGCATACTAGAATGACGGCTTTGGTGCCCTTATTGGCCCCATTGGCTTTCTCTCGAATAGGAACCTGAAGCATGGTTACCGAGAAAGATGTAGATGTGTATATAGAAATGTATTAAGTGGTTTAAGCTGCTCTGAACTAAAAAAGTGTCAGACCGTGAAAATAAACGGAAGTATGCTCGAGATGTTTTTATTTGGCGGGGCAAGAGCACTGAACACTTTTAGACTTTTAGGTTGTTGTCCAGTGAAATGTCCAGCGTAACTTCTGGGTTCATGCAGCTGCAGTGACCCAGAACATGACGACGACAGGGGATTGGTCCAGGGCATTCGCTCAGATGCGTGCTAAATGTGGAGGCACTAATTGGCTTTCAAAGCTACCAACTTTTGGGGTCTACTAACCCGGTTCAGGTTCGGATTAACTTAATACCTGGGTATCTATTGGGTTGATTAAATAATCACATTATAGATGATATAGAGTTATGTAGGCGTCGACGTTATTCATAGACTTCTTCAGAACTTAGACTTGACATTCCTAACTCATGAAGTTCATTTAAAATGGCAAATAGAGCGGCTGTGACTTCATAGAGCCAAAACTTTGTCTTGTTGACCGTGGTCAATATGTTGGTTTCATATCCGGATAGTGCTCTCATTAGAAATTGTATTGATACACTATCGACTCCTCATAAACTTGAGTCTACGGGGTCTGGATTGTAGGCATCTAGTCGTCGAGACATTGCTTATTTATCTTCCGCACTTTCGTCCTTTGCTAGATCGTGCTCCTTCAAGAGTGCCGTGATCTCATCCGCACTCCAAAGTCGGTGGTAGATCTTACCATCCTTGGTCTGTCCTACTGTCGCAAATTCAACTATAAATAGGTTAGCATCGCATAAATATATTATGGTAAGATAATAGCCAACTCACTCTTCTCACTGCTTAGCTTGGTAGAGTCCATGGTCTTGCTCAGCACCTTAACTGCCATACCACAGGCCTCTTTCAGCGTGCAATCTTCCTTGTAGTCCTGCTTCAACAAGCTTGAGGCGCTCGCATTGTTGGCGCCGGCACTTGTGGCTTTCCAGCCGCCGTAGTTACCTGAGGGGTTGCTTAGGTAAAGTTGGAACTGTCGCTGGGGATCCCATCCTGCGTAGATGAAGGACACACCAAACGGCCGCAATCCACCGTGCTGAGTATATCCTTGCTTGAGATCGCATAGTATTCGTACTAGCTGTTCGCATGGGATATCCTCGTTGTACGTTAGGAGGTATCTTTGGGCGGCTTGTCGGGCGTAGTTGATCAGGATGTTCGCATCGGCCGTCATGCCAGCTACCGCACAGATCATGTTGCTGGGGCTTGTTAATATTTCTACCTATATAAAATCTAACAGAAATGACCGAATTGAATTCTGGTACGCACTCGTTTAAGATGTAAAGCTTCTCTGCTGATGTATCTTGCTCTAGAAGCTTTGACGTAACCTTACGCTCGGCGGCGAGGACGATGCCATCCTTGGCAAGAATTCCGATCGCAGTTCCGGCATGAGATATAGCTTCGAGGGCATATTCGACCTGGTACAAGCGACCCTCGGGGGAGAAGATGGTGGTCTATGCAAGATGTGAGCTTCTGCGCATAAAGTATAGGTAGCTCCCAAGCTTAGCTTACTCGGGAATCGTAACGGCGAGACATGTTGGGAAATCCGGCTGTGAGAAATCGTCAAGCGGGATGATTTCTCTAGCCTTGGGTGCTTATGTTGATTGATGTCAGTAAATTGGTAGAGGTGGGTTTTTGGTGGGATTGTTTGTATGTTGGTTCTCGAAGTTGAGAAGACCGGATGCTGCGAATTGATTGCTGGAAAGGGCAGGGCTGTAAACTAAGGCTAGGAAGTAGCTAGGCAAGAGCTCCGACGCGTACAATCTATGCTGTCTGGAAGGTGCCTCTCCAAGTGTGATGCAAGTACCCACGTAAAGAGAGGTACGTACCTCATCTTTTTGCAAGGCTGCTGTGGAAAGTGTGGCGAGTGTGGCTAGTGATGAAGATCACGCCTCTTATTGTATTTCGTACCTCTGGATTTCTGGGATTTCTTGAAGGAAGCCGCCTAGCAACCCCGGTTGGCTTACATAACAGCCGGGCTTTGTATTGATTTGCCCGAGGTCCGTGCTCCTAATCATCCCCCATTTTCTCCATTTTACAATTGATTCAACGGTCAGGACCTCCACTTCGCGACCAACTTTCTTTAGCAAAAGCTGGACCACGTCACAGCACGATATAACATGACACTGGACCATATCGTATAATCTGGTCTAGACACGAACGTTACATTACTCTAATCCTTATTTTTGCTTAAGACGTTAGTTCCGTCGCGTCGCCAGCTTCATTGATCAAATCTCGCGACATCAACATCGGTCACATATCCCCGCTATACCCATACATTCGTCGCTATCGACCGATTACCCGATCGCAGAATTCGCGAGCTTACGGGTTCGCGAATCCCTTTTACTAACTCAAAATAACCGAAGAAGGGAGAGGCAGAAGTTCAGGTTTCATTAGGTGTTAAAAGTGCTTGGGACCGTATTTTGGTCATTTCGCCTTTGCCTTCGGGTCATATCATAGACCAATCCAGCTTTGTAGAAGACGTGATTACCTTGCCAATTTTCCAAAAATCGCGGCGCAGCGTAGACAAATCTCCGTCAATACTGAGCAACTGAATACCTGTTCAAACGCCCCTTTACTTAAGTTCCATATATCCCGTCCGAGGTTTACCGATCCCTCGCGATGTCTGGTAAGCGCGTTCGCTTCAGCGCCGACACTGCTAGTGGCAGTGAAAGCCCTCCTTCATCCCGTACTCGATCCAGCGCAGACAAACCGCTGGATCCTACTCCCACAAGTGGTACACATCGCCCAAATACACGTTCACTAACAGGAACACTTTTCGCGTCAACAGAGCACGAACCACGTCGATCCGTGCGAGCTACCAAGGGTCAGCACACGAAAGCCTTCGATCAACTCGAGAACGGACCCGAACCGAAGCGAAAACAGACTAAGAAGGGAGGCAAGAAAGTAGAGAAAGATGAGAAGCAAGACGAAGAAGAGATCATTCGATGTATCTGCGGTGCCACGACGCAAGACGACGACGCTAATGAAGCCTGGATTGCTTGCGATCAATGTGGTGCCTGGCAGCATAATGTATGTATGGGGTTGAGCATCTTTACAGAAGATTTACCGAAGGAATACTACTGCGAAGAATGTAAGCCCGTCGACCACAAGATCACGCTTGACGCCATAAAGAAGGGAGAGAAGCCATGGGAAGATCGTCAGCGCAAGCGTCAGGAGGAGGAAGAGAAGAAGCGCAAGAAAGGCGGCAGAAAGACTAAGGGCAAGAGAACAAGCGACACGAAGGACCGCGCATCGCCGAGTGCTATTTCTACTACTACTACTACTGCTGCTGCTGCTCCTACTTCTACTACTGCTACGAACGCAAAAGCGAAGCCATCCCCAACGCCCGACGTTAAGAAGGAAGGCAGTGTCGCCGAATCTGAGCCGGTCGTAAAGGGCAAACGTAAGTCCCGCGATCATTCCCAAGGACCACAAGCCAAGCATCGCAAAGTTGCAGCAGAGCCGACCCAGGCAGGCCCTTCGGTGCCTAAATACACTCCCCCGAGCGATCTACCGGACAGCATCCAGAAGTTGGAAGGTCCTCGAAGACAAGCAGCACAAGGCCTACAGAAGTCACTTGACGCTGCCATCGATCTCGCCGAGAAGAAAAAGCTCTACTCTATACCCCAAGGCTCTTCCAAGAAGATCGTCACCGAGCGTCTAGCTATTGAGATCGAGCGTGCTTTCCTTGATACCCACCCAAATACTTCACACAATGCCTCGCAGCTTCGTACACTTATGTTTAGCCTGAAGAATAATGTTGAGCTTGCGGCTCAAGTGTTACAGAGGGCATTGCCACCCCCCTCGTTTGTGGTCATGACTGGCGATGAACTAGCAACTAAGGAGCAACAACGCGAGACTGCCGAGATGAAAGCTCGCGCAGAGAAGCAATCTATCTTAATTACGGACGATGGACCACGAGTCCGACGAACTCATAAGGGTGAAGAGTTGGTAGAGCAAGAGAACTTTGCAGTCGAAGCTGAGGATGCGTCCCACATTCGCCGACAAGGCCCTAGAGAGGCAAGCGAAACGGGCAACGCGAACAGCGAACCTACTTCATCATCTGCCGACAAGGTGCCATCGTCCACCAACGCTAGTAGGTCCAACTCGACAAGCGGTCCTCTCCGAATCGAGACTCAACCCCAGCACTCGCCTAAGAGGCCTGACTTCGATATTGGCAAGGTCTTTTCTAGCGTACGTTCACCTTCAGCTACGCACCAAAGACGAGCCTCTGCCCAGGTTCAGCCAGCTGGTCCGGTCGACGATCCTGAAGTAGATCGATTGCTCCAAGAAGACGGAACAGATTCGCCACCGTATTCTCCCTCTGAGAATATTGACCCCGAAGTTGTCTGGCGTGGTCCCTTAGTCATGACCAATGTGGGCGAAGTCGATGTTGTAGCAAAGTATGCTGGTGGAGCCGATCTTAGCAAGGTTAGAAACGTCGCATGGAAGGACCTTATACCCCCTCTGCTCATGGTTGCCGGTCGAATAACCGAAGAGAAGGCTATTCCTTACCTATGCGGCATGAGGTATAACAACCAGGTTGACTTAGTAATTACTAGTCTCACCCCAAGCCATCCAGCAGATTCCAATGCGCGCCAGCAGTTTCAGAAGATAATCGATTATTTTCAATCGAAGAAGCGATATGGAGTTGTCAATGAAAAGAAGCTTGGCAATGTTAGAGACACGTACTTGGTGCCCGTGGCAGAAGGTGATGGCCCAATTCCCGAGCCGGTACAGAACATCGATGGCCATATGGTTCCGCTGAAGCGTTCGGAGCCCATGCTCTTGATGATATTCGTTTATCGGGACGAGAAGCACTTCCAAATCCCGCTCGATCAGCAACGATCTGAATTGCAGAAAGCTGCTTCGGTAGCATCACCATCTCAAGGAACCCCGACTCCCTTTCAGTCGAGACAATCCATGTCGGGTCCGACATGGTCGCCCGCAACTCCACAAGGATCATTCGGCAGCCAGAGTGCAGCACCGCCCCACTATAACCAGACGCCAGTTCCACCGCCAAAGATTCCAGGTCAGTCGGTGATGCCAACACAGCGCCCGGCTCCAGCACTTCCAATGCAGGTGACGCAGGATCCCATGGTGCCCGCTTTACGAGCTGCGCAAGCCGAGGGCGAGACGAAGGCCAAAGAAGTTCTTGGTGAGCTTTTCGATAGTCCCATTGTCTCATTCCTGCTCCCTCATGCCGCACGTATGAAGGAAGGTGAATGGACAGCTGTCCGCCGAGCTCTAGAACGAGATAGCAGAGCCCGTAACGACTTGCAGCTTCTGAGCAAACTCCTTACTGAGGATGGTAACAACGTTCGCAAGCCAGGTCCTCAAGCGAACACAGCACCGTCTGGTCTTGTCCAGACTACTCTCGCTGCTGCGACGAATGAAAGTTCGGCACCAGCGGCTCAACCCAAAACTTGATTCTCTGATTCCTCAATCGCAGAGATCATTTTGTTTAGCTAGCAATTCCAACGGTAGGGACTGGAATTTTGGTACTGGTCCACACAACGAAGTTTTGAAACAGGTTCAATTCATACTCGGTTCCATTGAGCTAGCATGGAACACTTACATGATTGGTACGAGAGGATTAGAGATACTCTTAAACAGCAAGGACCAATCGTAATAAACACCAGTTCTCACACTTTCTCACACTTCCCCATTTCCTGGTCAACAGTTGAAGTTGCCCGTTTACACCACGCCACATTACTCACTAGCTGGTGTATATTCTCTCGGTGATGTTATATGATGAAGGGTCTATTCAGGATGGTCATGTCCTGTATTGGCGTGCTGTACTCCGCTTTCGGTACGGTGGAAAAGGATGTCCTACCTGGTACCCGGTAGGACTTCCGCAGTCCGCAACGATATGTTTCAGGTCAGTTCTCTTCCCAAGATCGGCTTACCCATACTTCAACACTTTCTTAGCTGCAGGAACTAACGAAACCATACAGAAAATCGCGCCTCGCGCTTTTGTCGATCCCCTCTTAAAAAAGTCGAAAACCTCCTTCCGGAATATGTGCTGAGGTTTGCAGCTACTGAAGGAAGGAAGTGCTGCTGTGTGTATGTATGTACGTGTGTTGGCTGTCGAGGCGAGATATGATGCGATAGCTACTTGGGCTTTCTTGCTCACAACCGTCTTCTCGTCCAATGCAGTTTTGTAATTAGGTAGTGAGACCTGGGTCTTCTTGACTAGGGCGACACAATTCAATTTCTCTGCCCCTTTGCTACTTTTTGCCTACTTCGGTTAATGTGGAAAATGGCCAACGTAAGTCATGGCTCTGTCTAGTGAGAATTAATTGTCGATTGAAGTGTCTTGCCTGTTTTATATTCGTGCCTTTAAGTTTCCTGTCGCAACCTTTAATCTACACTAAATTACTGAAGCTAGTAGACGGGGTGGCGTTGCTGTAGGTGTATTAGCAGGTACCTACCACCACCTGTAGACTTTTCTTTCCCTGTTTGATACTTGAGTTGATCAGTGAAATATTAATCCAAACCCCGCGATCTCTTCCTTCAATTATTGATGTGGTGTCTAGATGAGAACCTACCTAGAGAAGGGACCTAATTTTCGATTCTCTAATTCTTCATTTGAAAAAATATCTACATGTTTACCTTGGTACTTCTGTAGGTAATGAATGATTTTCATAGCTGCTGGAATACAGGTGCTAGCAAAGAGCTACTAAGTTGAAACCACTACCGCTTTTGGTTATTGGTAATAGCGGTGATTGGGTGAACTGGGTAGGGCAACTCTATTTATATCCGCCTGAACTTACACTTGTCTACAGGTGGTCTACAGGTACCTAGGTCTACTAAGTCCGCTGGAAATAGCGAGCATTTTCGAGCATTTTAGTTCTAAGTTCCAGGCTACTGTATCACCTAAACTTTAACGATCACATCGAAGCTTCCAATGTAAAGTACATATGTTGTTGAATTAACTAATAAAAACCAAGATATTACTATGCAAAATTCTAAAACGCTAAATATTCCCAACCTCCTTTGGAGCTCGTGCTCATTGTCTAGACCTTGGTACATGAAACATGAAGTGACGGCCGCGACAACCTTACACTAGCAATACAGATATGATGCGAGAGGGATTCGAATACATGATTTGAGGTCGGCCTCAATTCCGCCCAATTCCATCATCTCTCTCCGAATGATCTTTTAATATCCCATTTCCCCTCTCCCGGTTCCCGATGATGGTGTGACAAGTGTTCAGACAAAAGGGAATAGACAAAAGAGAAGTGTGTAGGTGAAAATGAGTGTAGGTGGGGTGGTAGCTGGTGGTAGTGGTAAGTTCCAGCGACACACATCCCCTAAAATCCGTTGACACGTCGACAATTTATCCACTGGTTCGTTCGGTTTCCCACCTCCCCAGCAATGACGACAGCGGACAGCAATACATGTTACAGCTGACAATAAATCAGAAAAAAGAGAAAAAAAAATTAACAGGAAGAAAAATTAATGCCGGGCGCGATCGACTTCCCTCTCGCCGATCGCCCCGTGCTTTTGTGTATCCCATAAAAATAATAACCCAATGCCTGTAGGATCGTGACGGGGACGGGATATCGTGGACTCGTTCATCTCATTACAATGATGTAAGCGAACAGCGCCGATCCAGTCCCAGTATCATAACCTCACGATCCCGCTCTATCATTTTCATTTTCGTTCCGCTTCCCATTCCACTTCGTTTTTTTGTTGTTTTTATCGTTGGTTTTCTTGGTATCATTGTTTTCGGTTCCTCCTCTATCAAGTCATCACTCTGTCGATATAGAGTGGCATTCCCGTGTTCATTACCTCCTCTCACCATTTCACTTCACTCGGCTCGAGCCTCAGCGTCGCAGCCATGCTTTATTCATTTATGCGCCTTAAACCCGGAAGGATTCATGAAGGCGACCGATCCCGACCCTTCAACCTGTCGTGGGTGGTGATAAAGCAAGTATCCTTATCCTTGACTGGCCTGACGAAAACAAAGCTGCTGGATGGGGACCTGCTCTGGCGTTTGGCGGCTCGCGAGTTACTGCGCGACTTGGGCTTGCTGTCCATGTACTTGGCGACTTGAGCCCTTAAGTCCAGGATCTGCGCATCAGCAAGCACTCTATCGGCATTCGACTCGCTAAGCTCGACCGTGACCTTCGCCAGTTGCGACATCAACGACTGCACCTGCGCCGACAGTCCGGGGACCTTATCAGCCTCAGCCTGCAACTCGCCAATGCGGCCCTCGAGACCGTTCTTTTCCTGCTTAAGCGCCTTCACCTTATCGCTCTCAGCCTCGAGGTCCTTCGTCTTCGCCTCTAACCCGGCTTCTAGATCCGCCTTCTCCTTAGTTAAAGGTCCGACCTTCGCCGCCTCGGCTTCCAAATCGCCCGTCTTCCCCTCGAGCTCCGTCTTCGCTTGCGACAGTGCATCGACCCGGATAGCGAGATCCTTCACGCTAACCTCGAGCCCGAGCTTATCCTCGACCAGCTTCGCGAGCGCGGATCCGCCTTCCAGGTCCTTGACGCTAGCAGCCAACTTGTCCTTGTCGGCCCGCAGCGCCTCCGCAGCCTCCGCATGCTTCGACACATCGGCTTCTAAGGTCGCCGACTTCGCCGCGCAGCCTGCATGTTCGAGGCGCAGGGCCTCAAGGTCGGCTTCGAGCTTCAGGAGATCGGCTGCTCGTGTCGTTAGCTCGCCTTTCTCGCCCTCGAGGCTCCGGTTCGCGTCTCGGGCTTGGTTGAGCTCGGACTCGATGTTGGCCAGGTTAACTTGCACGGCGCTGAGCTCCGTGCGTAGGGCGAGGGATTCAGACGCTAAAGCTACGTTGGCGTCTTTGGCGCCCGCGACTTCGGTCATCAACCCATCGATCTTGGATTGCTTGTCGTCGAGGATATCCTTGAAGTTCAGCGTGTCTTGGTCACGCTCTTGCTTCGAGGTCTCGAGTTGCTGGCCCAGATCCCCCTTCGTCGCTTCGAGTTGTTGCTCGAGCTCGGACTTGGTGCTGTCGAGCTGCTTCTGGAGATCGCTCTTCGTCTCTTCCAGTTGCTTCTCCAGATCGTCCTTGGCGGTCTTAGCTACGTCGAGTTGGCCTTGAAGCTCGGCCTTCTCAGACTGTGCAGCCTCAAGTTGCTTTTGCACCTCCTCCTTGCCGGCCTTTTGAGACTCGATGTCCGCCTCGATGTTGTGCTTGTTGGCCTCCACGGCGGCAATTTGGGCCCGGAGGGCTGAGATCTCTTGCTCAAAGAGCTTGACTCTCTCCTCGAGTAGAGCTCGGTCGTTTTGAAGATCCTCGATCCGGTTGTGTAGCTTCTCCTTCTCTTTCTCGAGTGCCTCTACTTCTTCCACTAGCGGAACGTTGCTTGCTTGTGCTAACTCAAGGTTCCGTACTCTAGCTTGGAAGTGGGCAGACTCTGCTCGTGCGCTGTCTCGCTCGTGTGTCAACTCCTTGACTTCGTGGTCCAGGTCTCGAAGTTCCTTGTTGAGGTCCTTGATCTCCCGGTTGCGAGAACCGATCTGCTTCTCGAAGTTCGCCGCGGCGGACTCGAGGTTGTCGATGTCGTGTCGGAGTACATCCTCCTGCTCCCTTTGCACGGCATCTCGCTCCGCCAACTCACGCTGCAGCCTGTTGAGCTCCTTCTCGAATCTCTCGCTGGCGATCCTTAGGGCGTCTCGCTCTTTCTCCACATCAACCAGCATGCTATGCTGCAATTGATAGTTGCTCCGGAATTCATCGGAGATGTTCCGCTGCTCCTCGAGATCCCGGAGGATAAGCTCCTTGGAGTTTCGCTCCAGGTTGAGTATCCGGATGACCTCCTGGTTCTCCCGGCCCCGGGTGGACAGCTGGACCGATGCATCGTCCACTTCCCTCCTCAACCTACTTCCTTCTTTTCGGAGGGTGTCAGTTTCTAATTCTAACTGATCGAGCTTGTACTGGAGATCCTTGTCTGATCTCCGCGCTAGTTGGAGTGCTTGGGATTGGGAGGGGGCTTGGGACTGGGTGGTGGAGGATGGGGCTGTTGTTGTGGAGGGGACGAATTGGATGTGCACCGTCCTGCTCTTCTTCTCTGGGACAGGAGGCTTCGTTACCTCAGACGACGTCGACCGGGTCCGCGGCCGTGTCCTTACACTCCTCGCTGGTGGCACGTGACGCACATGCTTTACTTGCGTTGAGGGCTTGGTGGGTTTCGGGGGTACATCTGATATAACACTGGTGGCTTGTGTGTTAATTGACAGGTCGGACTCCGCGGACTGAGAGTCGGTGTCGAATGTGCTGTATGTCTCGCTATCCGAAGGGTATGTCGGCGATTGAGGTGCAACTTGGTACATCTGTATCTGCTGATCATGCCTCGGTAGTCGGTTGAAGCGTGCGGCTAACGGATCTTGCGGCCGCGTAGATGTGAGGGCTGTGGGTGTATGTGTGGGTGGGTTTGCGTTCTTCAGTATGCCTTTGAGGGGCGTGGGGATTTGTGATGATGTTGTTGTTATCCGGCTAGGTGATGTCTCTGCTTCGGATACTCTTGATGTGGGGGTCCGTGACGGTTCCCGAGGCCGTGACAATTCCCGGGGTCGTGATCGTTCCCGGGGCCGGTCAGCAAATGCTGGGAATCCGCCCGGCATGAATGGCCGTTCAACGGGACGGCTTGCTCTTACGTCGATGCTCATGCTGCCTCGTTCTTTTTCAAAATGTTTAGTGTACTTTGTCGTATTCTGGATGGAATTGGTAAGTTAGTGGTGTTGAGGATAGGGTCCGGCTTAGTGATATTGGTACAATTTCTTGAATTGAAGAAGTGGTGTGATGATGGATCATTTCGTTGGGATGGGGTTGGTTTTTGTTGTCTGGACTCTTTATGAGACAAGGTGAGGCAAACGGCAGACTGGTTGTCGACTTTTCCTTAGTGAGGATCAGGAGACACCACAAAGGGAAGGCTGACGGGTACTTGAATAATAAATTGGATATTTCATGCCACGGTAGGTGTGATGACAGAATCATCTAGCTGCTGTTGGAAAAGCCGCATATGGACTATGTACTAGACTGCGCAACCCGCGTGCTTACCAGGATACTATCCCCGGGTCTGCCTGCAAGGGAATTGCTGTACCTACCTGACTCACCGCGAGGCGCCCAATGACTTTAGGGAACGTATGCCCAACGGGGTCCCGGTGGAAAAGTTGGAAAAAAAGAAAAAAAAAAGATACACTGTAGGCGGTAGTAGGGCGATAATAGCGTAAGAGGCGTACTATACGTACTATGCGTACAATACAAGCGTACAAGAGGTCTACCACCTGCCTACAAAGTTGTACCTGGTGAGCACAGAGGCTGGATCAGATGCTCGGTTGCCCAACCTTACTGCGACTTATTTGCGACGTTGGGCACGAATGCATTTCGTATAAGATGATTGGTCAGTCGGTAGGTGACGATGGATGCTACTGGATGGCCACTGGATGTCCACTAGCCGTCCACTGGATGGCACTATGGACCTATGGAGGCCAACCCCATATCCACCCCACCCCCTATATTTGCCACCATTTGCCAAGTCACAAGAATCACTAAATCAGAAGAAATTGAAGAAAAAAATTACTGACCACTCCCGGAGTCCATCACAGTTTTTTCGGAAACAATCGTACGCAATTCTTCGTTGGCCTATGACGTCTTTTAGGTCTCTTCTGCCCTACAATTTTTCATAATTCCCAATATTACCCTGCCTACAAGGGCTATGCGCGTGTTAGCGAAAGAGGAGAGCCCGTCGAGCCTGTCGAGCCGGACTGGCCAGTCCGAGGCCAGTCCAAGGTCTCCGGAAAGTCGCACAAGGGCTAGACTTACATTGACTTACATTCGATTTATATAAGATTGGACACTTCTGCATCCTCAATAAGCCAACCGCTGTCCGACGGAAGCAGTTGAGCCTTTATTTTTACTGTCCTCACAGCTTTTCACTGCTACACGCCCCCCGAAATCCCCGTCATAACCGTGTTCGCCCTTATTGAGTCGTCAATTGTGTTGTCAACTTAGGCAGACCAAAGCGAGACCAAGGCAGACTAAACATGACTAAAGCTGGCAACTCGGCTCTTCCAGTGGACAATGGGACGGATCGACCATCCAGCGCCCCTGATAGTCGTGATAGATGATACCTACACAGCTACATACTACCTAGCCTGGGTAGTCCGATTGAAATTTTCCCGTTGGCGAGCGATTAACACTGTCGGTAGATGCCTACGGTGACGGGCTCGTGTTCGTCGCGCTCATCCTTACTGTACTTGGATAAAACTTATGATAGCTTATGAAATGTAAGTATGAAAGATGGTACAGAGTAGGTGGTACACAGTGCTTCATTTGTCGGTCACGAATAAATTAATTTAGTAAGAATGAACTGATTGAAGAGGAACGATGGTTGTGTATCGGTTTGATTTATTTTGTATTTTTCTTTTTTTGGAGTTGGAGTTGGAGTTGTTGAAGGTTTTGCCGACAAAAGTGAGACAAATCATTTGATCGGGAATGTCTCACAAATGACCAGTCTGTATACTATTTAGGTAGGTCATATATCGCCGGCCGTTATCAAGTGATGGACGACCGCATCGAGATCTCGGTATCTATCATCGATTGTCGATTGTCTATCGATTTCACGATGGTCCAGGCAAGCCCAGACAAGCCGAGCATAGCATAACTCTTAAGAACCAGATTCTTGGTGCACACTGCACAGGCAACTCAAGGGTCATTAATACTCGCATGCATTATTCGATTCAAGTTTGTTATGATTTTCTCATAAACATTGTTCCGATAGGCAATACCAGAAACGCGCTGCATAAAACAGTGCGTAAGTGGAGAGGGTGGGAATGGTGGAAATGGTGGAAATGATACCAGTTCATACTAGTTCATACCGTAGTTGATGAATCGTCGTCTATGCCATAGGAATGCACAGGAATGCATAGGAATCCCTCTTCATCCTCCACATCTACACTGTGTCTTATAATTAAGCTGTCAAGTAAGAATACACATCAGCTTGCATCGCAGTAGTGCCCCAGTTGCTAAGTCGAAATTCATGCTAACCAGCTAACTAACCAGCTAACCTAAGCCAATACCATCTACAGCCGGTCCATCCCATACATCTCATACATGCTCGACGACTAAAACATGTCCTCGTCGCTGCACGTGATCTATATTCATGTGGTCTACATTCGGTCTACCTAAGTGTATACCCACGGTACTTCGAGTTACTCCTTCGAGCACTTTACAAGTTGTCATCCTGACCAACCACCCCCTTTTTCGTCTTCCCGGAGAGGCACTGTATCACCTTAGGCTCCAAGGGAACGCAATATGCGGAAAATGCTAGAATCGTTACCGCGCTCCTCTACTGGACCGGGGGAGGTGACGATGATAAATCCCCAAAGCCGCGAGGGCCTTCAAAAGCCGAGAGGACATACGTCATCGGCGTTTTCCTAAAGCACGAAATCAGGGACGAGGGCCGGTCGTTCGAGGCCATCCCTAGCATGGTAGCGGGAACTCGGACGATATAATGGATTTAATGGATTAATTGATTTGATTAACTAATTAATTAATCAAGGAAGGGATCAAAAGTACCTATCGTGCAGATGATTGCATCGTCAAGGTTTGTTCCGTCTGCCGCCCGCGCCCCGACGGGAAACGCGGGGGATCGCCTGTTTTGAACGACAGGACATATACGCGCTGTCCGCGGCGGGATCTTCCACTGACTTATTCCCAATCATCGGCTCTCTAAGCGGACAGGCCCGGATCATTGGTCTTAACAACGAGTCTCGTGAGTCCTGGGAGCAAAGCGCGTCTAATTCCACTCCTTTCCTTTCCTGTCTCTCTCTCTTCTCTCTCTCCTTCGCCCCGAAATGTCCAAAAGTTGCGGAGTCCCGAATCTCTAAACCCACGCCCCTAAAGCCCTAATCCTAATAACGCACCTAGACGAACACACGGACCATGCGAATGCATTCGTTCACCCAGACCCTTCCGTTCTTTTAATTAGGCCGCTCAACGCCCCCAGACCGAGCCCGAACAACTGTACACCACAGCACACACAGCACACTCACCAAGCCAAACCAAACCAAACAAAGCAAAACACCCATCCATCCATCCATCCATCCATTCCCAACCTCGGCGGCCTCCCTTCTCGCTCACCAATCCATTCATCCACTCATCAAACCAACTCCCTCCCCATCCTCAAATAAGCCACCTCACCTTTCCAAAACACATCCCCCTCACCGCGCATCCCAAAGCGTCTGTAAAACGGCAACGCGCTCGCGCGGGCATCGCACCAGATCCTCGTGGCGCCCCTCGCCGCCGCAACCTCGATCGCGTGGGCGAGCAGCAGCGACCCCACGCCTCTGCTCTGCCATACCCGCGCAGTGGCGAATTTGCGGAACCGGGCTATTTTCCCTGGTTCTGGTGTTTGTGCTGTTTCTGCCGTGGCTGGGTTTGGGTTTGTGTCTGTGTTGAGGAAGAGGGAGATCACGCTAATAGGTTCGTCTGCTGCCCGTCCGCTGTGACTGCCATTGTCCTTTGCGCTGCTGGCGTTGTCCTGGGCAGGGACTGCGGTGTTATCGTTACCGTCGCAGCAGGTATTGTGATTGTGATCGCCAGTGTGATTGCACGCAGATTCGCAGCCGCAGTCGCAGCCGCTGATGAACGCGCCGAAATGCTGACCGGCCTCGTCGTCGGGCAGCTGCACGTAAGCCGTGGGTTTGTCAGGCCAGAGCACGTCGTGTCGTAGGGCGTAGGTCTGGTGTGCCGAGATTTGCCGCACGATTATTGGTGGCCTTCGCGACGCACGCGAACCCGTCGTCGAGGCGTCGGGGTCCATGTTGGGTCGATATCTGGTTCTATAGGGCCAAATATAACGATTCCCTCTTCGCCCAATATGGTACGGATTTGCTAGCTATGTACGTATGAGAGATCCATGGATCCCTTGGTATGTATGTATTCCTTGATGAGTCAGACTACATACATAAGCTATTCTAGTCTAAGCCTTAATAATAATAAGTAATGCCCTTAAAACGGTAACCGGCTCAGAGTTTGAGCGACTTAATTTAGCGGCGGGCTCTGCATTGCTGACACCTGACAATTCTTATTCGGACATCTGGCCCCACACACGGTGCGAAGCTGACAGCTGCTGACGGGTTTCCGTTTCCTGCTTCTATAGATCCAATATAGGTAATATACCTAGATCCCGATATAGCCAAAAAAGGGGGTAAGTATAAATTCCCATATACTAAATAACTGGAACGCACAGTGGTTTCTTAGACACGAGTTTCATTATTATTATTGTTATTATCGCTGTTGTTGTTATTATTAATTATTCTTTTCCTTTTTTTCTTTATTATAAACAGACAACACGAGTTTATGGTACGGGCCAATATCCACATAATTCATGTACGGCCGCGTACCATGTGTACCTAGACGCTCGTCGAACGTGTTTCAGTTGAGTTTTATTAATACTCATTCTATAGCTTTGGCAGTATACATAGTACATAGTAGGTATAGACAGGTAGGTAGCGTTGAGGCTCAAAAGGGTTTAATCCAGTTAGCCACAGCTGAAATTAAGGCGGAGTCAGGCGGTGCATACCAAGCACATGCTATACCCCTATTAGGACGCGTCCCATAAGGTGAGGCTCGTGTTTACGTGACAGTTAAGACGATGGTGTCCCGATTTGATTTATTGCATTCTGAACCACACTTTCGACTCGGTGACTCAGTGGGAGTTGCATTCGTGGCTTTACGATAGTTTTTGATATAGAGACACTAGTTTACAGTGTGGCTTGAAAGCCCCCCCCTCTCGAGGACCGGGCTCGGGCTCGTTTCATGGTTGGCTCCTCCCGCCTGCATTTCCACCGGCCATGTTGTCAATACTAGCACCTTTCTTGAGCTCCTCTTTCCACGTCTGCCGCTCCGTTTTTGTCACTCCCGGGCCCTCGTATACGCTGCCGTAGAGCCCCGTGCCCCAGCCACCCCCTGTTTTTGCGGCCTGCGTTGTGGACCCCCCTTGTTTACAAGCACTGCTGCGTCTGCGTCTATACCACTTCCCATATGCAAGGAGGTAATATAGTCGAAAACAGAGAAGAGCAAACTTGTCGTTCTCCAGGTCCTCAGGATAGTCCGCCCCGAGGTCCACAGCGGCTGCGATGCCAGACATGACCGCGACCTCGTGAGCATTGACCAACGTCCACGACGCCGCGTAGCGGGTATGGTTCCTCGCTTGCAAGAACATCATCCAGGGCACAACGAAGAGGTAATGCGTGTAGCTATGGCAGAGCTGATGCCACCAGTCTTTCCGAATGATTCTATCCTCTTTAATTTCGTGATCCGTCCATAGCTTCCTGTCGCGGTCTTTGTTGAGATAGATTGTCTGAAACACGTGCTGCTCGAACGGAACTTTTTCCGGGAACTGGCTCTGGTAATTCGTCGTGTCGAAACACATCTCGAGCTTCGACTTGTCCTCTGGATACATCTTGATGTAGTACATTGGTCGGAAGTTCTTCGTCGCGGAGTCTAGACGCGAGGTCTGGTCGACTCCGTTGAGTTTGGCCACGGCCAAGTCATCCCTATAGAAGTTCTCATAATGCTTCTTCATGTAATCGGAATCGTTGTGAGTAATTGTAATATCGTCGCTAAACTTAGCTGACCCCAGAACTCTCTTCTCCCTCCAGCTTGCCGCCCTACCGAGAGCTCTCTTTGCGGTGTCCGCTAGACAGCACATCACGATCTCATCATGCACTTCTTCGATAGTGGGAACACCGGGATCGCCGCCGGTGGGGTTATGTCCATCGTGCATTGGGGTTCGTGCTTTAAGCCTGACGACCACACCACTATTGTTCCGTCGAACGACCTCGACCAATTCTGTGGATAATCGAACTGTCACGCCACGCGAGATGAGATCCATCTTCCAAGTATTATAAAACTCAGAGAAGTTGGGAAAGACGACCATAGGAGGTTGATTGTTAATGAAGGTGTTCTTATCAGGGGCGTACCACATCCCATACGTCGGCGACGTGCACAGTCGTTCAAACATGATGGCCGGAACCTCCGGAGTTGCATTTCCGGTGCCTAGGAATAGGGCTGTCATCGGTAGAGCGATCGTGTTGGTAAATTCATCAGAAAATCGGAACAATTTGAATACGATCTTCAGGGGAATCAGGGCGAAGATTATTTCGAACCAGCGCATCAGCTTCAACACTATTGGCAAACGCTGAATCTCCTTTTCGTGACGAGCAAGCAGTTGCGTGGGAAACATGTTGGACCAGAATGTTTCGTCTTTTCCGAAAGAAACCTGAAGATTCACAGGGTCTGCATGGAAGCCCTGCCGGTGGAACATGGTCAACGTGTGGTGGAAGATGTAAGAACCGCCCTGGACTCCTTGGTTACACCACGACGCACCGTAACGCTCCTTATCCAGAGGAATAGAGAATGCCTGACCACCACAATAGTCAACGGCATCTATGAGCGTTACATCGAACTTATCGGGGTGTTGTGATAAGTGGTATGCTGCAGACATCCTAGAGTACGTGTGTTAGACTGACTATTCGTGGGTACAGGTATGGAGGTTGGGATTAGCCATACCCAGCAGCGCCGGCGCCTACAATGAGTACCTTCTTGCGCCCATCAGGGGCCTTATGTCTGTCCTGAGCCATGTGGTGCTCGCTCTGCTGTTCAATATCACGATTGAAGTTATCGCTAGCCATCTACATCAACTGGTCGAAGAACTGCGTATTTCACTTGGTAAGACTTGTAAGTCCATACATATTAAGCCTACCTAGTACCTACAAGCTACCTACCTACGTTTATAAGACAGCTCGTGTAAGGTTTATTAGCGCTCCTGTATATGATGATGAGCATACTTCGAGACACGACGTCATTGATTCCAAGTAACCGGGATCAATAATGCACTCTAGTGGGTAGCGGAAGCTAAGTTTAAAATGTTAATTAAATCCGATACTAGTGGAATTCTTTGTTCGTTGACATCTTCGCGTCGAACTGTGTGGTTGATTTAATGTTGATTTCGCCACTCACTGTAGACTGTGTGCCCAGGTGGATAATACCTATCCAGGGGGCTTTAGACATCTCAGTCGACTCATGATATGTATCCTCCACAATGATGATAACATGAAACTTACCAAGTAATAGATACCTACCTAATATTAATCAGTCGTTGACTTACTCTAGACAACTAGGACCACTAATATTTGACGACGTGATTATTATCCCTACCGCCAATAAGACACCCTAGAAGACTCACTAGTTTAGACTACTCAATTTCTGCTCCCAGGATACTCGTGTAAGGTGATCTGATCTACGAACCTTCGAAGCATGTAAACGACAGTCGCTGTGCTTTCCCACCCAGAAATCTATCAAATTTGAATATCATCCAAATCCAAAATCTCCTCTCTTTCCGGCGAAGGCTCACCAGCCTCTGCATCCCTCTCGCGATCACCATCCCGCTCATCTGGTGCTGGCCCGTCCTGATTCTTTCCCTCGCCATCGGGCATGTCTTGATACTCACTATATTTAGCATACAATTTCAAGTTGTGTTCTTTCCCATCACCTTGGGTCTGCCCCGTGTGGAAAGTCTCTTTGTGAGGTAGACATTTTGTGCAGACGCCGTAATCAGCGCAGGTATCGCATTCAAACACGCGCCCGAAGATTGGCTGAGTGTGTTCGTTAGCTTCGAGTGGGAGGTGGGATGAAGCTTGGGGGTTGATGTGTTTCTTTTGTGATCAGGAAGAGGGAGTAAACTCACGTTTAGACAGATGTCACAGGTGTAATTATTATGGAGTGCATAAATCCTCACTGGCCCCTCTGCAACAAGCCTACTCTGCTTCTCGGATTCGTCTTGGTCACCTACGCCGTACCGAAGCATATTGATGATATCCTCACCCGCGTCACACCGTCGGGCCAAATCAAGCGGCGTGAGCTTCTCCGTGTCTGTTCCGATGCCTAGCGTACATTTTACATCTAACTTCGCCCCATTTAGAAGCAGCACCTTCACGATGCCCGCATAGTCCGGCTGTTCAGAGCGCATCTTATACGCACAACCGCGTTCGTGGGGTCGCACCGCCCAGCAGAGAGGCGTCCACCCATCGCTATCGGGTCGGTTGATGTAGCGCGCCAGCCTTTTCTCGTCGCTGAGCAGAGATATGATGAACTCAATGGCCCTGAGGTTTCCGAACTGCGCCGCCCAGTGCAGGCAGTTCTTCTGCTCCTTATCCGGGGCCATAAGATCGCCTCTATAGGAGAGAACGATTGCTTGGAAATTGTCGAACCCGTTGACTGCCGCAAAGTGCAGTGGCAGCCGCCCCGAGAACGTGTCTGCCAAGCGAACTTCGGCTCCTTCTTCAACGAGGAACTTAAGCGTGGCTGGGCTGGCCGAAACACAGGCCGCTGCGAAAGCGGTGTGGAAACGGCCGCCAATAACTGTTTGTTTGATATTTGCTTTGCTGCGGGGGTTGAAGACTAGCATGCGAGTGATTATGTCTATGGTCAGGATGTCTTCGTTGCGTGTGGTCCAACCGTATGTGCCCAGGACCGATATCAAGGGTGTACAATGTGAACAATTTGGCACGGCGAGATTAACATTAGCGCCATGATCGAGAAGGACCTGTACCCCTTCTACGTTGAGGTTTCGTGAGGCAAGGCAGAGTGGGCTGCCCCATAATGGGCTAGGATTGTCTAGATTGATATCTTCTTGAGAGAGGAGGAGCTTAAGGTGATCAAGGGTATTCGCTTCTCGCGAAGCACTATGCAAAGGAGTCTCGCCATCGGCATCTGGTGCGTTCAAGTCGGCACCTGCCCTGATGAGAACTCGCAGAGATTCGACGTCAAAGCGTCCACGAATGGTGCCATGCAGTGCAGTGAGCCCATGTGTGTTACGGGCGTTGATATCGATACCCTTGCGGAATTCAAGCACTGTTTTAAGGATCTCGAGGTCCCCGTTAGATGCTCGGTGCAAAATTGTCTCGTCATAGGCCATGCCGTCCATTTTCGCACCCTTCTCAGCTAGAAGTCGTGTTAAGACAACATTACGAGAAAAGCCCCTGTGATAATATTTGATTAGTCTTTTGTGTTTGAGAGGCCACGATTGTGCTGAAAGTAAGCATCTCAATCATCTGGTTTAAAGAAATGCAGAATTTCTGCTTACACTGCATCAAATATGGGCGCCCAACCATATTCGTCCTTATGATCAATATCTGCACCCTTCTCTATCAGTATCTCGGCAACTTTTACATTGCCAGATGATGAAGCTAAATTGATGAGCCTGTTACCGAAAGAATTTGATATGTTGACGTCTGCGCCATAATCTAGTAGAAGCCGTACAATATCGGGATACGATATAGCATCAAAAAGGAGAGAGCTTTCGCCATAACTGTGAGCCACATCGACGCGCGCCCCTTTTTTTAGTAGAGCAGTGACGGTTTCGACGTGCCCGTTGCTAACGGCGTAATATAAAGCAGACTTATTAAAGCTGTCTAGAACATCAATGTCTGCACCCTTGGTTAGTAGCCACTGGACTAGACCGAGTTTGTTAGACTGAGAGGCTATCATGAGAGCCGTTTTCCCGTCACGATTTGTTTCGTTTAGATTGATGGGCCGATCTCCATCGAGGAGAGAATTGCAGATAGGGATAATAGAGGCAGTATCATAGCTAGAGTTTGCTATCTCTGCTAGCAGCGGTGGGTCGAAGTAGTGATTAGGGTCGGCATTATATTTGAGCATGACCTGGACGCAGCCAATGTTGATGTTATCGACCGTAGAAAACCACAGTGCCGTGTCCATTCCATAGGGACCAACGGCGTTAGCATCAGCCCCCCCGGCCAAGAGCGCTTCTACAGTTTTTGGATAGCCGTTTCTAGATGCGATGGCCAGGGGCGTCCAAGTGCGGTAGTCATCTGGAGGGGTTCCCTGTGGCTCGTTGACGTCCGCACCCGCTTCGACGAGTGCGCTTACAGATTGCCAGCAGCCCCATTCGGAGGCAGCCCACAGAGCGGTATGCGGTTGTCTAGCCTTTTTATACGAAGGATCATGGTCAAGATACTTCTGAACCACGTCGATGTGACCCCGGTATGCCGCAGTCTGAAAGCTCCCATATATGGTCAGAGTTGGAACTTTTGATGTCGCGCCTCGAGCCAGTAGAGTCCCAGTAATGGTGGAATAGCCCAACAAAGATGACATATGGAGAATTGAAGGATAATACCCTAGCGCCAGTTCGACATTCGGCTCAATATCAACACCTACGCCATTGTCGAGAAGTATTTTTGTAAGCTCTACCATGTTCAGCCACACAGCTGTCCAGATTGCGAAATGAGGCCAAGTTTGTGTATGCCTATGCCACTCAGGATGCGATAGAACTCCTTGTGCTAGGTCCAGCGCTGTAGTCCCGTCATCTGCCTGAAGGGCTGAAAGTAGAAATTCCATGTATGTGGAGACTGCGAGGGCTTTTGGTGGAAAGAGGCTTAGCACCTCGCCGCCCTTACCGCCGATGATTGCTGAGCTTATGCATTGCACTCTTAAATTTTCGGGTTCGGCGTTGAACCTCTCACGACTTAGGAATCCTAGGCTGGCGCAAATTGGTAAGGCCGATTCGGGGGGTTCGAGAGTGCGAGAAAGAGGACTACTCATTGCCCAATACACCTTTGCCCATAATATTGAGACATGTTTAGTTTGCTTATCAAAAAAGAACGATAGCGCGGTGCTTTGATAACTAGAGGAACACTTAGAGAGGTGATACGGTAAGGCTTTTACTGCGTAGAGAAGTAACCCTTGGTTTGCCGGAAGAACCGGCATGGCCATTTTAAACCTCTGCTGCTGTTCTTGCAATGCGGACTCATACCGTAGGACTGTATCCTCAAGCGACGCAACTGCCTTATCTGACTTAAGGTAGGTGAAGCAGAATTCGGCCAATTTTTGATGCGCTTCATTTGCAACTTCATTCCATATGTATGAATTAATGTCTGTATTGTCGACGAAGAGACTCATGATATCGGGACGGACAGTCGCTTGATCATACTTGAAGTCAGTGAGCAAACGAAGCTGAGATCTCAGCTGTTGCTGAACTTGCATTGAAGGCTGGGTTAGAATAGGCTGAAAAGACTCTGGTCTGGTCGTGTTGAGCTGTTTATAATACTCTACAACTAAGGAAAGCTCTTCGAGATTTAGAGGACGATAGCTACACAGTAGCCAGCTTAGAAGCCAACGGAATAGATCAACATTCTCGTCGAGCTTAATTATCTTGTCCAGGACCCCTTCAATCGTATCGGAAGAAGAGATATGGGGAAGGAGACGTGTAAACTCAGAAAGGGAGTGATCCGATGGGTTATCTGGCCAGCTTGTATGATCGAAAAGTAACGCAAGTATTGTATGCAAGTTGGTTGGTCCCATCGCAGACAATTTGTCCAAGTGACTCTGCATCTCTTGTCTTCTAGGACCGCTGGGACATAACTGTATCGAATCGTCCACAAGTCTTCGAGACTCAGAATTAGTTTCGGTGACATAGGCATCTACGTCAAGTCTGGGCCACTTTTCAAGCTCGACAGCTAACGCGTTTGGCTCCCGTGATGTAACAATCAACTTAATTGAGATCTCTGTCTTCTTTTGTAGGGCCGAATAATAATTCAGGAAGGCCTTCCGACTGTCGCGGTCGCATTCATCGAAGTCATGTAGGGTAATAATGACCCCAGAAGGGAAGAAACTTGTCCGGGCGGCCTCGAACATGGAGATGCTTGATTTATCTGTCCACCCGCCTCCTAAAAGCAGTGTAGAAGGATCAGCTGTCTGGAGCAGAAAATTCGGGTATTGTATATACGAATATCGGGGAATGAATACTAACGTATGATAAATAAATCTCGGAGTAAATGAAATTTATCGTTGACAGTGCCAGTAAATATCCCAGACATGGCTTGAGCTAGGACTGAGATTATCATATCAGAGATAGAACGCCGTTGGGGGTCCCGTGAATCAAAGCTGAAGGAAAGATAGTCTGTGAAGGTGTAATCATATTGCTGTCGTAGTTTGGCTATGCCCTTGAGCATGATTTGATCTGCGACATTGTGCGCGAGGCTGTCGGAATGTCCTTGGACGTGCAAGATCTGAGGCCCTTGAAATTCTTCCCAATCCACATGCTCTTGTGCGTCTACTCCTGGCAGAAGTGCAGCGACATCTCTGGGGTCAAGTTGTGATATGCGTGGCGGAGCTGCAAGGGCTAGAAGTGCCTGCTCGATGGGTAGCCAGTCAGGATGAGAAGCCAAGTCTAGACAAGTGTATCTTTGTTAGCACGCGAGAAGTTTATCTCAAAGATAGAATTCATACTCTCTAGTCCATATGAAACTATTTTGTCCAGGCCCGGAAATCGAGATGCCGAACCGTTCTTGCTCTGTTCCTGGATGGTTGTCTCTGAAGGAAGCCCCATTGTTGCAGTAAAAGCATCCATACTCTTTAATTAGGTAGGTAGGCAGGTATGTTAGCATCATTGACAGACCACTATAAGCACGATTGAAAAGAGAAGATTTCCTTACAGGATGTATCATTCCTGCTTCGACCTCACCTGCGTAAAGATGAATGATATGCGTGCGTAACGCAATTTTGGAACTGATGAATGCCTCGTTGATCTGAATTGTTGTCTGTGCAAGATTTTCTATTATCTGAGGTGCGAGAAGACGCTGTGAGTTAATGTCTACTTTGCTTGACAAAAATGTCCAAAGCGTTGATATCATATCCCTTGTATCTTTGCTTCGTTGCAGACACCCAGAGAAGATCTGAAGTACCGCTGTTAGAGTAATCCGTAGTTTAACGGCGACCTAGGGCAGCTTACCACTTTTGACGTGTTCCAAAAAATATTGGAATATTTATTCTGGAACCTGGCAGCGATAGAGAGAGCCTGCTTAATCACGAGAGCGCCAAGGTCGTAAGCCACGAAGATGATGGCTTTCCTTGTGTCCTATGCTAAATGTTAGCTGGGAACATATATACTGTTCTTTAGCACTGACTGGAGTGTTTGATTGTCTTGTAGCTAATAGATCACGAAGGAGGCACATCGCTTCTTGCTGAATAGACTCCTGGGTAAGATCACCCACTAGGAAGGTAGATAGACCACTTTGAAATACAAACTCCCTCCTCTCTGTGTTATTTGCCAGGTCGAGGAGCTCCGAGAGCGAGTGTCTGTCTTCTACTAAGCTCAGGGCAGCAACATGCACCACACTACCCGCAATATTCTGTGTTAGAATCCTCTCAGTCCGAAATGTTGATGGCAGATACACGCCACGAAGGTGTTTAAATACTTACTCGACGGGCGGCACATTACTGCTTTGGCTCTCTGATGGCGGTTCCGTATCTTTGAGTATCAGTCGTTCAAGTAGAGTTGATTCACTATTGCTGCTTGCTAAAGCAACTTCCTCGGGATCGTCTGTTTCCATTGCGTCCAGAGAGTGTGATGCGGCTAAAAATGAGCACACGAAGAAAATCGACGAGGGTTTCCAGCAGTAGCATATTAATACAATGAGAGAAAGTAGACAATAACATTACTCCAGCCTTGCATAATTGGGAGCAGACGAGGGGGCTGAAATGAGAAAGCGGGGGTTGTTCTTCTAGGGGGTGAGAAAGGTGTAGGTAGGTAGGTATTTAGGTACATGACTGGTACAAGGACTGGGGAAGCGGATGAGCTGAATCGTTGCATTGAGCCATTTGTCAAACCGAAAGAGGAGTGTAAGAAAATTGTCGAGATAAGCTAGCCTTGCCGTCATCCGTACAAGTCATCTTCAAACAAACTATACTGTGCCTGCTTGCGCAAATATTCGTCGATGGACGATTCCGACTTTGATTCTGAGCTTTGGGTGAGCGGGGAGGAGTCTGATTACGACGAGGATGATGAGATTGTACAGTACGCACCAAGGGCTGGAGATACGACCTTCAACCTCGAACTAACCCTAGACGCAGAAGCTGGAGGCAAGTATCCAAAGACCCTGTCTACAATATAACTAGGATAAACGCTGACCAGTATTTTGAAGACGTCCACACCCGCAACAGACCCGGGCAGATTCAGCGAGAAGTGGCGACCGAATTTTACGGTGGCCGAAAAAAGAGACCGGCTTTCAATGTCGGCGCCGTTGCTAAAGCTATCGTTCACGGGACGCTGGACCAAATTTCAAAAACACCTGCAACACTTCTAGTCTATGACTTCAAGTTTTTTTCTCACCGATCCACCCGCATTAAGGATGCGAACATCTCGTTTGAATTCCAGGCAAAGAGAGGTAGTAACAGCCTGGGACCCATGGTGACCGCAATCGCACCTTATGCGAAGCATATTATGATGAGGACTACCGAGACTGTAACAAGAACGATTGGTGGCGATGCCGGAATCCAAGGTGGATCTGTTGTGACCGGGAACGCCAGTGTTTACGGTGAGAAGTCGGTTGAGAAGATCACAACCCACGCCGCCGAAGTCGTGGGAAACAATCCAGCCGACGAGTGGAGTAACCGGTTTCTTGCCCAGTGGTCCCTATCAGAAAATGATTCGCAAGCAAGCGGTATAATGTCTCTCTTTAGAGCTTGCATTCTCCTCACACGGGATAACGATGAGGAGTTCTATCTCTATCCCACCGTTGGGGTGACGCCTGACTTGAGGACGCAATTGAAAGCACCTCTCTGGGGATTCCGGCGTCCTGACGACCCAATCAAGATAGTGCCAACAAGCACTGCAGTCAACAGGCTCGGAGACATCATCTCGAGCTCGAATTTGAGCTCAGGGATAAACAATCTGTGGGATTGTACCTTCTACACCACATTTGAAGATGCAATCAAGGCTTCAAGGCCACGGGTGACAACGGAGGACAACGCGGAGAAAGTTATGACCGTCGAAGAAACAAAGACGGCAGTACCCTAGAAGTTAGATTATTGATATACTTGCAACTTGTGAAAGCTGCAAAATGTACCAACCTCCCCTTCAGAGAAGAAGAAATAATAGAAGAAAAAGGCAAAACTACCTAGTTGAAGGTTTCCTGAACTTCAACTGTGACTACACTAGATCCACTTATTCTGAGACAGGTTAGTTAGTGTGGTTTGAGATGGTTCTGCACTGTGTAGCGGATTTCGCTTCATAATATACCCCTCACAGTGCGGGTAGCACTTTCTGTTTTACATGGCTGATGTACTTCATAGTGGCTGCGATGACTTCCCTCTTTTTTACTTCCTTCATCATCATTATTCTTGTCGTCCTTTGGCCTATACACCTGTTAAGCTATTTACCTACCTACATAGTATCTACCCAGTACATATTGATACATGGATATTCTTATTTCGTCCGTTTAACCGTCGTATAATGGCAGTCACGATATTCAACATCAATAACATATCTTGAACCCTGGCTGCCTGGCTGCCTTTCCATACGTACGTAGGTACAAGGCTCAAGCTAACGACGCGTAAAATTACGTTGCTATCTCTCAACCTTCCAATCGACATGGTAAGGTGGAGTAGGTGGCTTTGGAAATATCGATTATTCTACGAAAGGTGTGGTAGTACCTACGTCTCCTTGACGCCGAATCTACAGCCGCACTCTCATTTCCTTATCTAGCATATGATATGTAGGTAAGCTACCTATTCGGGGAGGCGGGCTTGCAGAAGCAGGCTGAAGACAAGTTGCTAGCCATCAATCCATTGGCGGAATCAATAACGTGAATCCTTGGTAAGGGTGTGTTGCATGCTGAAGTTGCATGAGGGTGTCAGCACAAAATATGTCCGTATCAAAGTACATCGAAGGTATAGCTACCTACTAGGTACAATACACAATTCCAGCCCCCAAGGGGAAGAGAGCCTTGTAGGGCCTTGATAGTTCAACGTACCTCATCCCCGATACATTTTTTTTTCGCTCGCTGTCCTTTACTCTACCTCCACCTGAACACCTTCTATAATTACCTACATTAGCCAGAGACATGCCTAGTAGCGACATAGATGATGATGAGTTATTCGGCCCTGATGAATCGGCCCATAATGAGCAGTATGGGGGGCAGCTTACAGAATCCGCTGAACTCAGCGAGGAAGAGAAAGCCTGGAAGGGTCAAGAGCTAGACCAGCAATGCAAAGATGTGTTAAACCTTCTCTCGCAAAACAAGAGACGGTGGGACAGCAGTGTCGGAAGCCAAGAAACCCCAATTCTCGAAGAGTACAAAAAGCGAACGCTCGCTGAGAGAAAGGGGGATAGCAATGAGCCTCTTCGAGCGACAGCACTCCATGTCCTTGCAAGATCCAAAGCCGAGTTCTACGCGGCGCGAAAAGATGTTTGTAAGCAGCTAATACGTTATCTCATCGAGAATCGGGTCAAAGACACGGACGAGCCTCAGTTTCCAGATGGGAAAAAGAAAATGTTAGTCCTCGAAGTGGCCTTAGTTTACGAAAACGACGAATTTATCGACTGTGTTGAAGAATGCCTCGGGGACAAATTTCCGGATTTTTTACATCTCCAAGATGATAACAAACGGAATTGTCTACACCACTTATTTGCTTGGCCCTTCGAACGGTCTGGGAAAAAGTCACTGCCGCAAAAGTCACCAGAAGACAATAAGTTATATTTAATTCAGTTGAGAAAACTTGCTCCCAAAGCCAAGCCAGAAACGCTTGCGTCTGCTGACAACGAAGGCAACACACCAATTCATTATGCCATGCACGTAAAGCAGTGCAACGATAGGGGCTACGAATACATTGAAATTGTACAGGACTTGATTCTCAGGGCTGACGAATTGATGATCAAGAATAAGACTCTGTTTAATAAAAAAGGGGAATCTCCGATCATGTACTGTCGTAACGTTATCATCGCTGCTAAGGAAGAAAAGAAAAAGAATGACGAGGCGAAGCAGAAATCAGTACCTCCACCCACTAAAGAAGAGAAGGCCTTGAATCAACCGCAAAGACCGGAAAGCCGGGCGGAAAGCCAATTCGATGGAAGTGGTTCCACGAAAAAAGCACAGCAGCTCGCAAGTCAAGGTGCCGCCTCGGGTAATCAGTACGTAAACTTTGGGATCCGAAATCGCGACAATCGGAATTACGCCGTGGAAAATCAAATCATGGGAAGTCAGGCGGTGACTATGAATACCTCTGCCACCTTAACCAGCCCTAGCCCCTTTCCAGAAGGGCATCGGCTACAGAAAGCACCTACAATCGATACTTCCCAAGACAGGATTTCGATTCAATACCAGTCTCAGATGCCACCGCCTAGTAGAAAGCGAGGACCGCCGACTCCAATTACAGCATCAAAGGCTGGTCTAAGTACGGGGGGCTCGAAGCCAACTAGAGGGAACACAACGCCTCCGGCAACCACGGGCGCGAAAGCAGCTAAGATATTATCTGACTTCCTCAAGGCGCACTATACGGGGACAAGGTCGGACTTAGATGCCCGTGATCTTATTTATGGCAGAGGCGCCGACGGTAAATATCTCTATTAAAGCATTGGATGTGCTCCCGCTAACATGACGGCTGTCTTAGGTTGGGCCACAAATCTATATTTCGACGCAAGAGGCCTACAAGATACCAAGAAGGTCTTAGAGCTATTGGATCGGATGAAAGCCGGCGGGTTCAGCACCATACTTTCGTATGTCAGCATCCCGGTTATCCGTCATGTCCCCGTTGTCCCTTCAGCGGCAGATAATGTAGACGTTACGAATCCTCGACCTGGGCGTACCGATCTCGTAGACGTATTCAATAAATTGTACGACGAGCTCAATGTAAGAGAGATTTTGCGGCTAGAGGTCGAAGATAGACATAAACCATCGCATACAGATGCCGCCATAGAGAAAGCAATCCAAGGGAGGGACTCGACAGTGGACCAGGCCATGCGCAAGCCCATTTCTATCCACACTTGGTAGGTCTGCAGTCAATTATACTATAACGTGCCGCCTCCGGCGTATCCGGCTAACGTGATAATTGCTGAAGGGATTGGCGTAAGCCTGATTTGAGCACCGATGTCATCGCCTTCGCCGCCCCCACCATCAAGGTAGTACACTTGTACTGGAGTGGCAATCAGACTGTGTTAAAAGCCTGGGGGTGCAGTGAAGGCATTCCCAGGTTACACTCGACAACTGGCGTGGAAAAGGTCGTCATTCATACCTCTCCAGTACGTTCTACTCTCTCCCCCAAAAATTGCTACCTACAGACATTGACACTGCCAATTATTCCAGGGTCTCGAAACCATAGATAGGATGAAAACGGCGATCAAGCGATTCAAAGATGCGTTGAAGGAAACATACCCAAATGTGGAATTTATCCGCTCAAACTCAGTGCGTTCACGATGTATCTAACCGCTTATATCCTCTAGACAACACTAATACCCATATCTTTGCATATTCTAGGGCAGAGATAATAAGGACAAGTTGATGAAGGAGCTTCTACGTCGTGGAGAATCACAGAAAGTGCAGATTGAATTCATCTACAACAACCAGATGGGCGATTACTTTGCCAACATAAATACCGGCGAAGAGGCGTCTGAGTACATCGATGACGATTCGACCGCAAAACAACATGTTTGGGTCGACGCCATGGACAGGTTTCGCAGTGCTTTAGCATCGATGATACCGCAGGTACCCTCTCCAACAGATCGAGTCAGAGTACGTATATTGATGCACCCCTATTAACTTAACTGTCCTACTTACATGCCTTTTTTTCTAACCAGGTTGCGCTCATCGATGACGGAGTGAATCTCGGCAGCGTCGACATGTACGGTGGCATTGTCAATGTCAACGGTCTCAGTTTCCACCCCTCCGACCGCCAAACAGAAAACCCATGGCACTATTCCAGCGGCGGCCACGGCACCATCATGGCCAATATGATTCTGCGCATAAACCCGTGGGTTGACCTCTTCGTCATCAAGATCCACTGCGGCGTAGCCCACAACCACGGACGGACCATCTCAGCCCACAGCGCCGCCGAAGCCATCCGAGCCGCCATCGACCTGAAGGTCCGGATCATTTCAGTATCGTGGACCATTAAATACCGAATAGCAACAGGAACTAGCTCAGCCCTAGATGAGAGCGACCCATCCAAACCCGCGAAAAAAGATGCCTTCACCCAGCTTAGAGAAGCTATCAACGAAGTGAAGAACAACGGCATTATCATGTTTTGCTCAGCAAGCGACGACATCCAGACCACCGCGATGAAGGTACTCCCATACAGCCAGCAGCCCGAGCATATCTTCCGTATCGGCGCCGCGCTCTGGCTGGGGCAGCGCGATCCGACGACGGAGACGCCGGATCGAATTGACTGGGTTAGTAGACATCTAGTATATCTTTTTTTAAAGAAGTCGCAAGTAGAATCCACCAACTAACCCACCCCAGTACTTTCCAGGAAACCAAGTAGCCGAAGCCAAAAACCCACGCTCGCAAGCCCCAGTCAAATACCACGACGGGTCCTCCGCGGGCACCGCTCTAGCCGCAGGCCTAGCATCACTAATCATGTACCTAGCGCGGCTCCTACAAACCCGCCACGCCGAGACGAAAGAAGCAAAGCTCTTTAAGGATATCGCCAAGGATCTAGAAGACAGGACGAAGATGAAGCAGGCATTAGACATGATCGGCAAGAAGGGAAACTACCAACAAGACAAGAAATACCTGCCCGTATGGGACATCTTCAACCCAGCGACGGAGATCCTGACGTCAGCCAGGGACGCGGGGCCGAAGTGGGATGCGTTGAAGAAGTTGGTGATGTCGCTTTGTTTGGAAGATGGTAGATAATAATAACAAGTACTGTAGATAGTTTATTTAATAATACCTATACAAAAACCCCATCATCATCCCAAGAAAACCAACGCTGACCTTGACACCCAAAACACCTCGCTTGTAAAAGTGCTATATATATACAATTCCCTTCCCGTTTCCCCACAATCTACCTATATAAAAACCTCGAAGGTTTATCTCATGCAAAACATGCCATGCCATGCCTTCAAACGTATGTCGTTATGCTCCCCTAACCATGCGGAATGGGACAGTATAGAAATATATCAATATGCAATGTAGATAAAACCCAACAAATGCAGAAACACAAAATTCGTATCGTATAGATCATACCAAGGCCATAGGTCTTCCAAATCAACTCGCTCATTCATATATGGGTATCCAACACAACTGATTTTCAAAACAGACGCGGCTAATAGTAGTATAAATATAGGCGAACCCGCCTACAATGTGCCATCGTTACCACGTCGGTCGCGGGGCTGCACCTCGGTATACGGCGCCGCCTGCTCAGCAGCATCGTAATCCCGCGACTGAGGTGGTTCTTTGACGATAGGGCTGCCGGTAAGTTCGCCGTCCATCATCTTCATGATGTCATCCTTGCGGCCGACTGCAGGCCAATTCTTAGTTCCATTCTTGGCAGCCTGTTCGGCTTCAGCAAGCCATTTGCGCCACTGCGGGGTGTCGGGGGCAGCGCCGCTGCGGTGGACCCAAGCCGTGCGCTGAGTTTCACGAACGGCGAACCATAGTGTGCGCGTGTAGCTTTTTACGCCCTCGCGGGGATCGGCGAATGTTGTTGTGTGGGCGTCCTTGGACTCTGGTGGAGTGATCTCCTTAATATCATAGCGGCTCAAGTCCCAGAAGTATCGCTTATCAAGCAACCCCATTGCCCAGTAAACACCATTCAACACGATATAACTGCAGCCAATGAAAATCTGTGTGTACCACTTGCAGTTGCCCAGCAAGATCACAGAGATCATCAATAAGCAGGTCCCGAGACCCATAAGTACTCTGTATGCCTGTCCACTAACGTGATACTGACACTCTTCGGTGCCCGAATAAAGCTCACGCGCGACCTCCTCCGTACATTTTATGAGAAGAAAGGCGCCTTCACGTGTGCGAATTATCACATCACCTTCAGGGACCTTGTTAGTGTGACTTCGGTTCATGAGGATAGGTCTCCACCACGAGGCCCAGCCAACAATGGAGCTAGCGAAGGAGACGAGCGACACAGCGATTATGGCCGTGCCATCTTGGTAACGGGCTGCCAGTCCAATTATGCCTAATGTGATCAAGCAAGAGAATATAGAGAGGATATGAAGAGGCGAGTATAAGGTTGCCGGGACTGCAGGCCTCGCGCTAGTGTTGACCAGTGTTGGATTAGCCGCAAAATCTTGAAGCTTCTCCTTCATTGTAGGTTGTCTCACGATCCCTTGTTTTGGTGCTCCAGCCTCAACATCGGTGCCTGAATTAAATAGTGTAGCTGTCGGAGTATCTGATCTCCTTTTTTCTGGCGTATCCGATGGAGATTCATTATAACGCGGAAGAGTGCGCCGGGTAGCAAGTCCCTGGGTTGGGGTAGAAGAGTTGCTCCCATGTCGTCGTCGATTAAACCACCATCTAGTTCTTTCCGTGAGCGTACGCGGGACCTCAACACCACCGGCGTTGTTTCGATCAGTATGTTTGATTTCGAGGACCTTAAAGGCAAAAGGCTGTAACTCGTCGAGAGGGTGAATGATGTTCGCAAAGAAGCCTACAGTATCGAGGGTGACACCACTATAGACACCGGTCATCTTGGCTGTAGTTTCGGGAAGGCGAACAGGTCGAGAGGGTTTCAAGAAAGCCTGAGGGGCGGGGATGATGCGCGGGAGGAGGCAGAAGATACTGGCTGTGATGGTCTGTGAATGTTCTGCTATAGACGATTCGCCTATAACAGCAAGTAGAGTGACGACATCTAAACGCCAACCCCAAGGACCCTGATCAGCAGGGTCATCCAAGTCAGAAGAGAACCATGCGGCTGCTGGTGGTCTACCGTCGTCAGCCATTGCTGGTCTTTCTCACAAGACACTTTGAACGACTTAGTCGTTTACTAAGGGCGTAACTGTGAATCAAGTCTGACCAATCTAAACCAGGCGGAGGAAGAATGTGGGTAGGGTAAGTAGTTTAATTCGAACCTAGATTGACTCGAGTTGGGTTCAAGGTTGGTGGAATGACGGACTGGAGCGAGTCGATTGAATTCGCCCGACCTAATTTATTAGGACAGAAAATAGCATGTTCAATTGCTTAACAAGTACATTTGAAATATATGGTATATATATAAGTCAATATATCCAAGAAGCAAAATAGTCAAAAATAATTTGAGAGAAGTGCAATGGAAAGGAGGAGATGAAGGAGAGAGAAAAAAGAGTCTTAAAACAAAGACGTCGAAGGAATCTTTTTGGAAGCTGAAGAGGAAAATGAATGTTTGTAGTTGCGTAGCTCGAAAAAGATATTTGAAGTTGGGGGATCCCTACCACGTTTTCTTCCTCTATTATGATTGGTTATAGATCGGAGGCCATCTCTTGTTAGTGCGTGTTAGTGGATCTTAGCGGTCCATAGTGGGTTTATTTGTTCTTTGATTCAAAAAAGTTTCAAGATACAGGGTCCTTACTAGTCCTGACAGGGTCTTCAACGCGCCATTAGCCGCTACGGCCCGCACTATTTTATACAGACTGTTCAGGCTCTGCCCAGTGCGCTGGCACGCGTTTAGTGGCCTCCGCGACTTTAAACTGATCGGGCTTAGTTTAGACTTCAAAGCGCCGATCTAGCTCCACCATAGCTTAAGCGATTCCACTGGTGTCACCCCTTTTCGGTCAAGAGCGGCGCAGATGGCTAACAACCACACTCAGCCTCCTTTGTTTGAGGGGTAACATCGCCATCAGCCAGCTGCCAAGATCATCAGCTAGTGGAAGCATCTCTTTGTTTCCGCCCGTGATCTGTGATATGCAAGCAACATCTCGGTGGGCAACGAAGTAAGGCATACCCATCAAACATGATACAATATGGAAAGATATTGTAATTAATTGACCCTTAAATCTGGATCCATTCAATCATCCGTCTCCTCGTAACGCCTCAAGCCATACTCATATGCAGGTTGGTAGGAGGTCGGGTAGAATGTTTTATAACAAGAAATCATCAGTATATTGTAAAGCACACCCAGATCTGAGAATATCCAGCTCGCGCTCTTCACTCCCAGATATAGATACGCTCTTCTATAAGTCTACTACTTACCACCGACTCCCCATATCATATACATAAGGTATCTAACTTCGTATCTAACTTCGTAAAATCATGAACCATCGTACCCGTCTCCACACCCCGCCTCGACGAACAGAAACGCCCCGTGAATGCCTAACACATGATGTGGCGCTATCATTAGGCTTACAGCTTATGCTCAGCCACTCGTATCTGCCGATTTTCCTCGATCTTACTCAACCTATCAAACCTCGTCGGACGCTGGGCAGACTGTTTCCCAAGCAGTTCGGGAATAAACTCTTCTCTCCATCGTCTTTCCCATTCCACCAAAATTCGTTCCCGTTCAACTACGCTCATGCAGGAGTGATCTATGCTCCATCTTGCAAGTTGACGCCAACCATACAAGTTCATATTCCGATTTCCAACCATAAATTCATAAAAGTCGTGAGAAAGTGTAGACCTAGTTATGAAAGTCAGCACATATTATTTTAGGTCGGGAAAACTTAAGAACCTACTCAAAGAGAGTGCCGTTATCACTATTTAATGAACAGTGAACTTCGTGGGCAAGTAGATCGTATATCCGGTGTTCGTCCATATGTTCCACCAGTCCTAGGACCATATTTGAAATGGGACACGCCTCGACGCAAACGTTCTTCGCCTTCATCTGTTCCATAATCTCTGGCTTCCCGGGAAGTGCATATCCGTGTCCAATCCGCTTAGCGTCGAGATCAAGCGCACATTGAAGATTGCCCTCGATATCGTCAGGGGTTTCGCCGCAGTGGAACAGGAATGGAATATCAACCTGTTCCGTTCGACAATCTTCCTGAAATTGTCTGAACTCTTCTTCGAAGTACCTCAACGGGTACCTCTTATCGTACGCTTCTTCGCCTACGAGGTCAAAGCCGGCGATATATTGCGGCCATCTCTTCTTCATTAGTATGCATTCACTTAGTGCTTCCTTCACCATTGGTTTAGGGAAAGATCGCGGTGTGCAGTAGATGACTTTCATCCCCCCCAAGGATGGCGTGTGGTCGTTGCCGAGTGGAATATCGCTGTTATCCGAATAAATCGGCTTTCCTTGAGGATCGAGCATCCTATTTTCTTTGATTTGTCCATCTTCATCCATGTCGCCGATGTCTTTCATAAAATTTTCATACTCTTCGACGATGATTTCCATTAAACCAAAGTTATTGAAGCTCCCTGCTCCGTTATCTCGCAGAACTTGGTTGCTCTTCATGAAATTTGGCCGAATCTCAGCGTACTGAACATTTTCTTTGACAAATTCCTCCAGACATTTTCTAGTATACGCTCTAAACGCCTTTTCATAGTTGAATAGGCCTTTCATCATTCTAGTGCGGCCGTTAAATTTCTCCCATGCTCTAAAGGTCTGTTAGCGAGTTAGCGCTCATTGATAAGGAATTGAAATACCTCGTTGCTCTCTGGCGAACATCTTTATATGGGCTGTTATGAAATTCCAGTTCGATATCCTTTGACCACTTCGCCTCTTCTGCTTTCCGTTGTCGCTCTTCTTTCTCCTCTTCCGTCTCTGGTTTCAATGTCTGATCTGATGGCTTCTTCACTGGGTTAAATATTAAGTCGATTTCCTTTCGGCTAAATATAAGCTTGCTTATAAGCCATTCATCGCAATCCATATCCATAGCCCATAATCCGTGTGCACCCGTTGCGTTGCTTTGCATATATTGTCGACCTTGACGTTGAGCATTCCACTCAGCGCGGAAATATTGATAGCGCATAAGCCCGCGCGGTTCATAATTTTCATCAAATAGATTGGGGCCTATTGCGTCCGCAGTAAATATGTCTTCATAATACGAATACCATGGGGGATCTTCGTCGTCGGATGATAGATTCTCTTTCATGCCTGCTATTTTTCTGTAATCCTGAAGTGTGAATACGATCTCACAATTATCGAAATCGGATTTAGATCGTAGCTTGTGAGTAGCACTCGATATGTACATATTTGGCATTCCTTTGGCTATATCCAGTAGAAATTGTGGAAGAAGGGTAGAGTTAAAGTGAAGATGAAGATGTGCGCCTTTAGGCATATGACGTGCGGCTTTAAGCAACTGGGTTTGCTCAATTATGCGTACATTCCGAGTGAAATGATCGGTAATAGAATGCGCTTGTTCTTGTTCATCAACATTAGAGAACAGCTTGTCGTCGGTTTGTCTTTTCTGTAGCACGACATCATTTGCGGCTTGCTCTTCCGGACTGGCATGATCCATCATGGCCGTTTGAAAATGGAAATCGACTTCAACCCCGCGCCCAGGTTTGGACGAGGGGCGACGAGCGGTTTTGCGATTTGAATTTCCAGTCATTTTGCCAAATAGGTGGCGTAGGTGAGATAATCGGAATTGTTTACGAGGAGGTTCATCTACAGCCTTCTCCTGCTGGCCGTCATCGCCGTCTTTAAATATACTGCTGCAGAAAGTACCCATCTAGCAATGACCCTGCACGTCATGCGCACAAAGCCTATGACTTATATGAGGGAGACCTGAGCTAGTAAACTGTTTGTGTAGATAAACCCTGGTCAGGTTTTCATAGTGTTGGGTCAAGCTTTGTTAACCCATCTGAGCGGTTCTGACTAGATTGTAGGTGGATGAAGCTATAAAAATATAAAAATGACCAAGATGAACGGTCGCATGGGGAAGTTCATTACCGCTGAGGTGGGCTGTGCCTGCCTACCATCACTTTCTACTCTTCCCTGAGCGTAAGGCTATCCGTGATGGGATTTGATAGGCTAACCTAATCCGGACTGAACTATTGACTATCTAGGTTAGTCTTGTAATGTATGTGTTACCAGCCCACCCACTACAGCGTCCCTATATGTACTCCAAAGCCATTTCCAAGGTTCCAGTGCCTAAGAAAATGGGAGGAAGAGACTTCGATCAAATATGTGTGGCAGATTTACGGGCTAACCAGGTACCTGACATTCTCATCCATGCCCCCAATTCCTTAAATCTCCCGACTTCTTTACGTTGAACTATCATCAATGATTCATTACGCCCAACTCACTTAGCTCGCTGTCTAGTACGAACCGTTAACAAACATTTTCTTCCCTTACTTGGCTGCTTGGGTACCTATCAGTTGATCTCTACATTCTTCTATATGTACACATTGATGGACCTTATGAGGAAATCCATATGACTAGTATGGATGACTGCCGTGTGGATTTACAAGCTTACCTTAGTAGGTATATCTGCCTAATCCTACCTCCGAAGCTACAGCGTAACGCTAATACCTAGTAGCGGTACTCGTCACCTGGCGATTTTTATCCGCGCGCTTCTTTCATTATAGCAAATATCTACTATGAAATATGCCACCAACTTCAAATATCCTCTAAGCGCTTGTTACAGACTATGATCAGGAATTCCACATTGTTTCCCTCTTGTCTAGTGTTTTTAAGACTGCTAAGCCACATTATCTACTGACCTATATTTCTTGAAATCTCCATTTCAGACACATGAGTGCCTTGTTGTTCTTCCTCACGATCCTATCTATTAAGGGAGGGCATCAAGTGTAAAATTTGGTTCCCTAAAATATACTCTACGCTACTTCACCGTCGCGGTTTCAATAGGCTCCTTTTCAATTGAGCTTCTTGTTCTGGATAGCTCGTGACGCTTCGCCACCAGAGCTGTTTTCCCTCACTAACCGACAATTCCTCTAATCGAACTACCTCCAAGGATCATACTCTGAACTAAGATCCCTTTGAACCGGAAAAATCCAACCGCCTCGCCCGAAGACCTGAACAATAGCGGAGGAGCTATTATAGCGTCCTAAGAGTCGACTGGCGGCAGCGAAACTCTAGGATACTCCCCCTAGTATTGTTTGCTCGCAATATTTAGCTCTGTGGATTCAATGAGGCTCAACGACAACATCGCCCCAAGAAATCCTCTAGAGAAGCAATCCATCATGATCATCGAATATCGTCGACTCCGTACACTTTCTAAGATCCACCCTGGGTGTCACCGCTCTTCTCTACCTTTTGGCTTTGGCTTTATGATTCATTAGCGGATCTAGCTAATGAATACATTGTAGAAACTGCCGATTTCTAGATGTCTACCATTACAGCCACATGACACACCCTCAGATCTGATCCTCTACCCCTTACTTTAGTACCAGCAAGCCTTTGAAGTTACGAGGGCTAATCTAAGAAGTCTAGTCAGCCTTGCGATGCTACGGATTTCCCCAATTCTTGATATCACAGTCGGCAACTTCGATGCTACAGCGACCAACAAAACATTTTACTGTTTCACGTTATACTCGCAAAGTCTGAGAAACTGATGAATCTTACAGTAGGTAACTATCACACAGCATATACTAATATCAAGTCGACTTTGCGACATTCAATATTGCCGGCCTAAATGCAATTATCTGTTTGACGAGTCGTAATCCCAACTACGGATCGTTTCAGGACCAGCAAATTATGAATTCTAATTGCGGAAAGGAAATATGCGCTGTGCTGATCATGAGTTTATTTCTTAGTCCATGGAAACGCTTTACTATTGTGCTTCTATTTTCTATGGGAACCATACCAAATTGTCTCACCACTCAGGAGTTAGGACACCATCATCTTAAACCCGAATTTACCGAGCTGATTCACGGGTGAAATACGAACAATCCAATCAGATATTTTACCTAGACGGATATTGCAACTCGGAATTACAATCCCTATCCAACAAATCGACTATGTCGGGATGAATGCCTAAGGAGAGCCGGTGAGTCAAACTAAGGAATCATGTAGTTTGGTACCTACTCATTTCATCACAACCGATTGCATATATGATTTTCAATCTTACTTCTAAGTTACTCCATATCACAGCGATCATCCCTTATACCTTAGGGCGAGTTTAAAACCCAAAGCGCTCACCGCCCATAAGGACCGATATCAAAGGAGGCGGTGCTGTAGTGAGATGTTACCATTGGGGAAACACCCCACTTCAGCACATTTGCGAGTGGAAGAACATCCAGGCATTTCAAGAGGGCATAGGCGAACTGATCAGCCTCGCGAAAGGCTATTCATCTAGATTCCCTTAGCTCTTTACTAGTTAATATCAATTTCTCCATTGAAGCACCACGAAGGATTGTGTAACAACAACCTCCATTTAAGGGGTATCCAATAGACATGTGACAGCTCACCTCTCCTATTTAATTATCAGCCAATGTATCACGTTGATAGACATTAATAGTATGATACGCGGCAAGCTGGGGTAGAATAGCAATGGTCTATTTGGTAACGAGTACCAACTCAGAACTGCAGAACTGTTGATATCAAAAAAGCAACTAAAAACCGCGCCGTCGCACTAGCTTATACACAAAGTTCCATGCTGGAACCACTCGTCCTCCTATCTAACATCGGCTTCCATTACTTAGTCTATAGGGTCCTGCCCGCCTAATGCGCAGCTCGCCAAAATCTAACGCATGGTATCTTCGCAAAAGTCGCCGTGCTACGACGACGACTGGGCTTCCGAGAAATGGTATGAATTGGTATCAAGTGGAAAAGAACAGGTTGCTAGCGCCGCTACGGACGCACGGATGGTCACTGAAGCAGACGTCATATAGGGGTTGACTGAAGTCGCACGTTTCGTCTAAATTAATTGAACTCGGGGTGCTCCGTTACCTCCAAGTGATGGGTGGATTCGTTGATACCGACTACGATACCTCCGAATTTCCAGGACTCTGAGACACATCCGTCCGTCCTCAACTCTTGCCTCCTTGAAGTGTCCTAGGCTTTCTTTTGAGTATCGAAACATTGATTCGAGGTTGCTAATCATCGAACTTAATGCTTCGACTCGTGTTGATATCCAAAGGACCACCCTTGTAGCTTCCCCTCTTTTTCTTGTTCTTTTCCTTAGTGAAGCCCTTACCCTTAGTCACGATTAGGTCTTGATGCGCTTTCTCACCATATCCGTGCGTAACATAGGCATTAGATGTCAATCTCGGGTCGACAGTGACGTCCTGGCGAATTCGAGAGAAGGGCGTATTCTGCGTCCTGGGAGCCTTCGTGCCATTCTTGCCCCTGTTGTTCGACTTGAGAGTTGGGTCAGGCGGAAGAGGCGCAGGTACGAACTCGGGCGAAACCTTATCTAATGTTGCAGAGGTATCCGATTCCGTACCGTTCACGACAGCGCCTTTGGTAGGTTGCTGTGGCTTTTCGTCATCTGAGTCGGAGTCAGAGTCAGATTCGCTGGAAGATGAATCAGATTCAGGCAGCGGTACTTCAGCAGCTACTTTCAAGTCCACCTCTGGTTCTTCATCGGAGTCGGAGTCTGACTCGTCGGAATCAGAATCGGAATCGGAGGAAGATGAATCGTCATCTTTGGGCTTTGTGGCTTTGGGTTTAGCCTCGTCTTCATCGGAGGAGCTGTCATCTTCAGATGAATCGGAAGACTCCGACGACGAACTCTCGTCAGAGCTCGAGCTGGTCTTCGCCTTCTTCGCCTGCGGTCGTTCATCCTCCGAATCCGAGTCTGCTGAGTCAGAATCGGATTCAGAGGAACTTTCGCTGTCAGACTCTGCCTTACGTTTCAATGGGTTTGCGCCAGATTTGGCAGCACCAGTGACCTTCGTAGCAGGCTTTGCTTTTTCTTCCTCTTCGCTGTCGCTTTCACTATCGCTGTCACTATCTTCGGAACTGGAGCTCTCAGAGGAGCTGGATTCTTCAGCAACAGGTGCATCAGCCATAGCTACATCTTCGGCATCATCGCTGTCACTTTCGCTCTCGGAACTTGAGCTGTCGCTGCTCTCGCTCTCGCTACTACTGCTGCTAACTTTCGTAATTTTCTGCAGAGGGTCATCTTTAACAAGAACGGGTGTATTTCCCTGACTGGCGAAAGTCTTCCATGTTTGGAAGACGCTGACGAGTGAGTGATGTTCCTTGTCCTTCTTCTTTTCAGCGCTCTGTTCCTTCCAGCCCTTCTTCGCTCTCTGCTTTTGGAATTCGCGATGGGCGTTGCTAAAGCCTTGGTCGGATAAGAACGATTCGACTAGGTCCATAAGTTGAGTCGGTGGGACCTGGCTTCCACTTGCCGAAGTCGAGGATGATGCAGCAGGTGCGCGTGCGGTTGTTGGCTTAACAGCCTTTTGGCTTTTCTTAGCCATTGTGGGTGTTGTGTCGTCCGATGGTACAGATTTAGACAATTTGGTAGAATTATTAGTAAATAGCCAAGCAGGAGGCCGCTGAGAAAGTGTAGAAGGAGCTATAGTACGCGAATTGCTTGTCATAACCTCAAAAACTGGCAATGGATCAAGGCAAGTTTCTCTCGCCCATGAGAAGGTACATACAGCAAAGGAAATAATTCAAACGAAGAGAAAATCTAGATGTCGCATCTTTCAGATGAAAAAAAAAGAATTGTGGATCGAGATAAGGACCCCACTTTCTGCCGCGACCATTTGAATTCACCGCCTGCATGGGCTGCGATTCCCGTCATTATTGGAGTTGACAACTTGAGGTAAAGTCTTATCGATAGCAATATTCAGGGGTTTGGTATATGGATCCACACATACGTAGTTGCGACAATAGAAATGACCGCCGTCCTTCTTCCACTATTAAACAAGATAATTGGTATAGATCGTTAAAATGGGAATATCACCTTATTATCTCGATAATAGGCCTTTGATAGTAGCAATTTCTATGAAACTACGATATAAAATTCTTCTATAATCCCGACTTTCTTTACAATGCAGATGAAACCGATGAATATCTGAAATCATATGGGGAAGATCAAAGAATATCTTGTTTCAATACTGAGACGAAATACCATACTCACTCTTAAACCAAACACCATCTCAATAACTACCAGAGAACCATTCTTGCTATTATGGCCTGACATATCCTCAAACCTGGTCTAGGAGAATATCCTCCGCTTTAGGATTACTTCAGAAGTATTTCATTTACATTGGAAGCTTCATACATTAAATATTGGTCTGGTCTGGGTATTAAAACTCCTAATTCTCAAGAGTCTCAAGCTTCAAGGCGCAGAGCGATTCAAGAGTCTTACGAATGAATTCGTTGCTGTTGCATCCAGCGATATTGACGATGTTGACAGGTCGATACATCGTTGAAGAGTCATTGTCGAAGAGCTTGTGGTACCCGAGTCACGGCATCTTTATGTGGAAAGAACTCTGGCTTAAGAGCATTCTACTCTGGAAGAATGCCTGTTTTAGTGCTGATATGTCTTTTCGGAACATGGCATTGCGAACTACCTTGAGGCTTTCAAGTTACGATGTTTACTAAGGACAAACGTTACATAAGCTATGATGCTTCCGAGGTCCAATATGTTTGACGCTACTAATATACGGTACTTGATCTACGAACCCGCGACACTATGATACACTAGGCAGTACTAGGTAGTCAAGCTTCTTAAATACTGGCAATTGACATCCATATTCCATCAACAATAGGAACCTTGAAGAATATAATCTTACATAATGAAGAGGCTTGAGGAAGAAGGAAGACTCGGACCCGCAAATCCTTCGGCTCTTGCCGCATAACGCGATCTGACCGATCTAATAATAACCCCTCCGTCATTTCATCCAGCTGTTTAGAATCTTCAACCTTTGTTTTATCTTCATATGTAAACATCTATATTCCATCTTGTTGTAACGATATACCGTCAACATGTCTCAAACTTTCGAGACATTTATTAAATTCACAACCGACTCAGGTACGGTCTAACTTTCTCTATCCTCTCCACAATCAACCCGACATCGTGGGGTGTCGGAGCTCCGAAATAATTGGCAACTCAAGTGGTTCCGCCGGAGAAGCAACTCATCTCATCATATCGTCTCAATCAATAGTCTGCTATCTCAATTAGAATGAATTCCATATGATCAATTGGATTTTATGCGCTCTAAGATAATAAGACTTATACTGGGTGGTGTTTGCCTTGATTCTCAACAAGAGACCCTGGCGCATTGCATACATCTTTACAAATCCCAAGCCAAACACCAAACGATAAAAACTCGCGGGTTCATATCCCGATATACCTTCTCATATCAATCCCTAAAGAGTAAATTACGCCATCGTTGCGAACCTTCGTAAAACCAAGGCTGAGGTGAGCTACCGGTCTCGGAGCTCTGGCGCTCAGCCGATACTCCTCAGCTCTTGGTAAAATGAGAGCATTCTAAATAGCTTCTAGCTACACAAGATTCGAAGCTTCGTTATGGGTAGCTCGATAGATGAGTGGGATAAATACCCGCAACGTTCATCTGATCTGTGCAAGCTCTTATAATACCATTCAATCTCACAATCAACTTCCTCGCCCAGTGGTCTACTATCACCTAACCTTCATTCGTCTACATATTTCATCCAAACACACCCGATCTCCCAAAATACAAAACCCCAACTAAACTCGTCACATATTAACTAACAACCCTCACAGTCGGCTTAGAGCGCACATTCCGGCTCTTCCAATCCATCGTCCAAATCCTCTCCTTCTACTCCATCCCCTTCGACCTCCTCCTATACACTCTCAGCAGCAGCACCGGCCAAATCCCCTCATCAAGCACCATCCGCATAGTCCTCAAATCCCTAAACCAGCGCCTGGGCCTCGCGCGGCGCTTCTTCCGCGTCTTCCGCTCCCTCGAATCCTTCAACGCCGCCCAAAAGCTCTCCAACCGGCTCACCTCGCCCAACACCTGGGCAGGCGCAAACCGCGGCCTCCTCGCCAAAGCCGTCCCCTGGATCGACGTCTTCGGCAAGACCTTCAACGGGCTGTATCTCCTCCTCGAAGCCTCCACCCTCATCGACGCGCTGCAAATCCCGAACCTAGCCCTCTTCTCAACCCCCCAAGAAAAGCTCATCAGCACCGAAGCCCAGCGCTTCTGGCTCTTCTCCCTCGTCTGCGGCGCTTTATACCACGCCCTCGAGATCCCGCTCCTAATCGCATACTTCCCACCCCCCAAAATCGACGAGCCGTCCAAAACACAAAAAGACATCGACGAGCGCTTAGACAGCGAAAAGATGAGCGAGAAGGAACACGAAGAGTACCTCGCCCGCGCCTCGGCGAAAAGAGACGAAGCGACGAAGGCGTGGGCGAAGCAGGTCTCGGGTATGGTCTGGAAGCTGGGACGCGTGGCGATGGCGAACGCGCTGGATGTAGTCTTGCCCGGCGTCGCGGTGGGGTGGATTAAGGCGGACCCGGGGACGGTGGGTGTGGCGATGCTGGTTACGACGGTTTTGACGAGTGTGGATGTGTGGGAGCGGTGCGGGCGGGAGATTCGCGGGGTTAAGGCCGCGGATGGTGGGTCTTGGGCGATTCCCCGACGGGCTTGAGGGGACGGTAGTCGTTTGCGACGGATTCGGGGATGCCGGGTTTGGTCACCCCGCTTGAGTTTATTGGATAGGTAGGTAGGTAGGCTGGTGGTAGGTATCGGGTTGTGTGATGTAACGTTGGGAATAAGATCTGGGAATGAGACTTACGGGGGTTGGGGGTTGATGGGGATTTGGATATAAGATAGACTTATATAGGTGTTATGTGCGTATGATGAGTTTCATCTATGAAAAGAATTCACGAATCGACTTCGCTTTCGGAAGCATGAATCACGTCATGATGTTGAGAGTAAATCTTGTTGGAATCAAATGCCTTCATTGCGTGGATATGTACAAGGTAACAAATATTTGTGGTGTACAGAGTAATTCTTTTGACCCTTCGAATTACGCCATCTAGCTATGTGTATTATAGGCAAACCACTTAAGTCTATTGACCAGGGGCAACCAGCTTGCCTTCCGCTCTGGTGTTGGGATGCCATCCGCCAGCTAGAGCGGGTGCACCGTTCTCGGCCCTGTATTTCGCCATCCTCGCCTCTAACTCAGGTCTAAAATGACGGATGAGACCTTGGATGGGCCAAGCAAAAGCCTCACCAAGAGCTATGGAATATTAGCAATGTTCTTATTATAGTCGTTGAAGAATGGTGACTTACCGCAGATGGTGTGGCCTTCAACCTGTTTTGTTAACTCCTGCAACATATCAATTTCCCGCTCACGACCCATTCCCTTTTCAAATCGGCTCATGATCTGCTCTGTCCACTTGCTACCCTCTCGACACGGTGTGCATTGTCCGCAAGACTCGTGTCGGTAGAAATGACTTAACCGGGCAATGGCTCGGACTACATCGGCGCTCTTGTCCATGACAATGACCGCAGCGGTACCAAGACCGGATTGACTATCCTTGAGCGCGTCGAAGTCCATTAATTGGTCATCACAGACATTCTTGGGGAGGATAGGAGTAGAGGAGCCACCTGGGATAATAGCAAGTAGATTATCCCAGCCACCCCTAACACCACCGCAGTGCTTCTCGATGAGCTCTCGTAGGGGGATGCTCATTTCCTCTTCGACGGTGGCGGGGTTGTTGACGTGGCCGGAAATACAGAATAACTTGGTTCCTTGATTCCGCTCCCGGCCAAAGCCAGCGAACCAGCTACCTCCTCTTCTGCAGATCGTGGGGGCAACGGCGACAGTCTCCACATTGGCAACCGTTGATGGGCATCCGAAAACACCGACAGCAGCCGGGAATGGAGGCTTTAGACGGGGCTTTCCGGGCTTACCCTCTAAAGACTCGATGAGGGAAGTCTCCTCACCACAGACGTAAGCACCGGCACCACGATGTACGTATACGTCGAAATCGTAACCGGAACCGCAGGCATTCTTGCCAATTAATCCATCGGCGTAGGCTTCGTTGATAGCCTGCTGTAAAACAGCGGCCTCGTAGATAAACTCTCCACGGATGTAAATATAGGCGGCGGTAGCGTTCATGGCTCGACCAGCAACTAAACATCCCTCGATAAGTTTATGGGGGTCTTTTCGCATGATTTCTCGGTCCTTGCATGTGCCGGGTTCGCCTTCGTCGGCATTGACAACAAGGTATCGGGGTTTCGTGTCCTTGTCCCAATCTTTGAAGTTCATAAACGACTATATCGTCAGTTGATTAGTGGTAAATTCCGGCTGGAGTTTCTTAACCTGGCATAATCGGACGTACCCATTTCAGGCCAGAAGGGAAACCGGCTCCTCCTCTGCCCCGTAAACCGGAAGCTTTAATCTCGCTGATAATCCAATCGTGTCCCTTCAGAATTATTTCCTTCGTCTTGTGCCAATCTCCCATCTTCTTAGCAGACTTTAAATCGGCGGGGAATCGGCCGTATAGGTTTTGAAATATGCGATCTTGGTCTTTTAGGCCGCCATATACACGTTTCGGGGTGCCATCTTGGACGGTCGCGAAACTTCGGCTCTGTTGGGATGCGGAGGCCTGTGGTATTCTGGAGCAGGATGGTAAGGCGACTCGTGACAATGCCTTCGCAGACACTGCCGACGGCGCGGTGGTCCTTGATAGCATTTTGAGAGTATTCGGGCGCTCAATTGAGCATAGGGAGTGGAGAGTCCGAATAGCGACGGGATTTATTTGATAGGTTTTGTCGTTGAAAAGGTGAGGCCTTTGAATAGAAATGACAGCATCATGATTGGCTCAATATCAAAGTGGATCTATATCTGTGGCGATCCGAAGCTTGAACCACCTTCAGTTGTGGCTAGTAGCTGAATAATGAGGTCATTCTAATCATCCATTCGCCCATGATGACCCACACTTACATTGCTGTATGCTTATCTAATCAATTGCCGACACCATGCATGGATCGTCATTGATAACGGCGATAAGGAATCTGGTATGTATTTTAATTAATTATTCGGGGCCATCGATTTCGAACAAACAAACAATAGCAAGCAATAAGCTCGAGTCCATCGACATCCTTGTCGTCGACAACCCCCACTTATATTCGATATGAGAGCAAGATGTCATCATCCAAACGTCAATCTATCGTCCCGCGTGTCCATTCTGGTCCTAAAGCGCCTGTCAATTTCTCTCAATCCATAATAATAGCTGACTCGGCCCTTCTGACCGGAAACCACACGATCAACATTAGCTCCGAGTCTGTCGTCCATCCTCGAGCAAAGCTAGACTCTTCCAATGGACGGATAACCATTGGCCGAAGATGTATTGTCCATGAACGAACAAGCATCGGAGCATTATCCGCAGACCCAAGACCGAGCGAAACTCGTGACGGCGTATTCATTGGCGACTATGCTACGATCGAGGTTAGCGCCGTGGTCGAGTCTGGAGGCACCCAGATTGGTGACGGATGTTTGGTCGGTGTAGGATGTAAGATTGGAAAAGGGGCGAAACTCGGAAAGGTGTGTTGTACATTTCGATATTGAGGTCCTCACACTAATATCACCTGGAATAGCATTGCACCATAACGCCGCAAAGCGTTGTGCAGCCCTTCGAGATTATCCCGAATTTTACTGTTATCTACTCGAACGGAACCAGACGAATCGACAAACGCGGCGTATCGGAGCTGAAAAATAAGGCCCAGGCTCGTCAGATCGAGATATTGAGGAAACTTATACCCAGCAATCCCAACAAATTCTTGTCTTAATGAGTGTTTCGAATACCCGGCTGGCGTTTGTTCAATTCGTATACTGATACCCAATTCAATATAAAATGTCTATTCATGTTCAAAATGGCTCTTTTGATTTAGTATCCTCCCTAATACTCCGACTCTACTCATCATACTTCAACTGAAAACGAACCGTTTAACCATGACATACCATGGGACACTAGCTTTCTCCGAATCGCCATCTTGAACATCCCCCGTCGGATACTCCCGCCTACCAGTCACGAGGTCAGCTTCATCGGGCCCTATAATCTTCGTCCCCTTCACCACCTTCCAGCCGACATACAAGACCACAAAAATCGCGATGACGACATACGAGAAGACGAAATCCACCGCGTGGAAGCCGCCCACGAAGACCTCATACCCGGAAATGAAAACCAGGAAGACATTCAGCGCGACGACAAACCACGCACCATACGGGTACAAGAACGCCTTATACGGCAACTCCTCAACCCCGCGCCCCTGGCGCACCCACGCCCGACGCAGCCGTATATGCGTCACGCCGATCATAGCCCAAGCGATAAACGTAGCGTCCCCCGAAATCGTAATCAAATACGTAAACACCTTCCCGGGCGTCGCCGCGATATTCAGCAACGCCAACAGTCCCAGCGCATTCGAGAACACAATCGCGTTAACCGGGACCCCGTTCTTCGTCGTCTTCGCGAAAAACGCAGGCGCGCGCCCCCGAGCAGCTAAAGCCGCGAGGGCCCGCGAGGCTACGTAGATCGCGCTGTTGACGCTGGAGAGCTGCGCCGTGATCATAACTACATTCACCAGATTCCCGCCGGCGGCCCACCCCGCGTGCGCGAACGCGATGCTCCACGGCGACTGCGCCGACTTGCTGGTTGCGGTCAGCAGGCCCGGCTCGTCGGAGGCTACGATGATGCCCGCGAAGAAGACGAGCCCGAGAAAGATAACTAGGATACGGTAGAAAGTCTGGCGGATCGCTCGTGGTAGATCGCGCGCCGGGTTGCGGCTTTCGGCCGCGGTGAGCGCTAGCATCTCCGTGCCGCTGTAGTACACGGCAGCCAAGACGAAGGTCCGGCCGAACCCGGAGATCCCGTTCGCGATTGCGCCCGGGTCACGCCAGTACCGGAAGCCGATGTACGTGCCGCCGATAGCACCCGTGTTAATCAAGATAGCGACGAGAAAGCCGCCGACGACGCACAGCAGTTTCCAGCACGCGAGCCAGAACTCCATCTCCCCGTACACGACGACGCCAAGGAGCGAGGAGCACTGGAAGCCGACCCAGAAGATGATGATCCAGACGTAGGGGGGCACGGCGTCGGTCCAGAGACCCATGATCAGCGAGATGTTGTTATAGTCGTTGGCGATGTTGGTTACCCACGCATACCAATAATTGACTCCGAGACTGAAAGCCAGCGCTGGGTCGACGAAACGGCCTGCTAGCTCGATGAAGGCACCTTGGACTGGGAAGAGAGTGGTCATTTCTCCGAGACTCTGCATTACGAAGTAGACGTCTATCCCGATTATTATGAAGCAGATTAGTGCGCCGACGGGCCCGCTGTATGCGATTGCCGAGCCGGTCCCGTACCAGATGCTGGCTCCTACAACGCCGCCGAAGGCGATCATTTGCTGGGTTGGGGGTTAGATGTTGGCGTTCGCGTATGGGAGTGTGTAGGCTGTGCTTACTAGGTGGCGATTCTTGAGGCCGCGCTGTAAGCCGTCGTCGATGACATTGCCGTTGCTGGCAAGAGCAGCGTCTGCGGTCTCGGGAGAGACATCGCTTGAGCTTGGGGACTTTTCGTCGATAGTTCCTGAGGTTGTTGGTGTGCCCATAGTTGCGTTTAGGAGATAGGCGGTTTCCAGAGTACCTAGCAGTTAACAATATGCCAGGCTTAATCAGCCGCCATAAACCACCTCTTAAATACTATCACGTCACTAATTACAACCAACAAATTGAGTCAACAATCCAACTCGAACACAAATTCATATTCTTTCTCAAGCTAGGAAAGGCATACCGAGGAACTCAGTACTTTACATATACGACTAGTCGCTCGCCATTGGCTAAACAGGGTTACATTGGAGATCGCGACATCTAAGTTCAGTAAGTCTTATCGTATACCCAGTCAAGGAGGTAGTCTAGGTTAGATACGTCTGCCGATAAGCACGTAGTAAGCTTCGGCGTATGCCTTGTCGATTGACGGAGGTGTGATATGATACCATACAGACCTCCGATTAGATCTTTAATCCTCTGTATTAATTTAGGTATAGCAGTCTCAATGAAGTCTACCACAACTCAAAATATCCCTAACTAACTAGTATTTAGGTAGTGCTGAAGTAGATGGCGGGCTTTCATATATGCGGGATGAAATTCGTCCAGTTCGGCGTCTCAAACGCATCAGCCGGCAATTTCCTCAAGCTGATGATCGCCTCAGTTATAATGAAACACCGCACAATAACAAGAACCAATGTAGAAAGAGTCAAAAACGTATCCGCGAAGGCAGAAAATACTCGGTTGCTCGAGTCTCCTGCTTGCCTTCGATTCGTGTTCACCCACACCAAGGCCAAATTGTATTCTCCCTCATAACCAAGTACCGCCAAGATGCGGGTAACGCCAACGTTGATGCTTGATCCCGCCGCGAGGACGACAGAGGATATACGCCATAGAAGTTTCTCAGTTGGGGTCGGGTAGGCGAAGTTCCATCCTGCGAGGTGGATTGATGAATGTATCACTGCTGGAATGGCGATCAGATAAACTAGTGAGAAAGGGAGAGAGAGCAGAAAATCATCATCAGGAATACGCTGAAGCGGTATCCTGTCCGCACTCTGATCCTGACCTCGTCGCTCGAGATCGAAATTCTGAAATGTTCGCCTACGCTCATAGAACCGTGTCGAATTTGCAACGAAGTCGAGCGGGGTGTTCGCATACCGTGTATCCAACACCCCGTTTTCAGCCAGGATAGTAGCTATTGAGTATTTGCACTCGATGACGATAGGTATTTTGACATCCTGCGGCTTATGCCACCAGAAAAAGTACGATGATGCCGTCGACACGAGAAAGGCTAGCGTAAAGAGTTCCATGGGCGAGATCGAGAGCCCCTGGATTGCGCGAGCGATGGATTGGATGGCAATCCAGCCTGTTTGTAACAGGGTGAAGGATTTTGCGAATACGTCGGCTTTGCTCTTATCCCAGATCTCTTCGCTACTGATCTCGGGAAGTTTGATGTATTGTCGAGAAACGAGGAAGTGAAGGGTGCTGGCATTGATTGGAAACGAAGGACCCTCTGCGGGCTGGAGGTGGAATCCTAGAGGTTTTGTTAAGTGCCTGGTTATACCTTGGCTTACAAGATTTCTGTTGAAGTAATTACGAACCTCCACTATCGGCATAGAATGCGTGCTTGAGCGTCCACTCTTTTGAGCCTGCCAGGTCTTTGATTTGTGCTACCGATCTCCTAGCACTCTCCCATTGATTAGCAGCAATAAGTGTTAGTAAGTCAGGGCCTAGGATGGCCATAAATCCCCAACGAAGCTTTCTCGCTATGACACGAATCCATCTATCGTCCTTTGCCGGCAGATTCAGATGGATGACAGTCCAGAGAGAGGTGACGAGGACCAAAACACAGCTCCAGATAATATCTATTGTTCCTCGTACGTTTGGGCTATCAACCCATCCGACGAGCTGCTTTGCGTCGTTGAGTGTGTCCAGTAGCGGATTGTAGGTATCGTTCATGGTGATCAGATTGATGGACATCTATTTTCACCCTAAATCTCCTAGAGTCATCGATTGCTGATATAGCATACTTCGACTCCCATGATTGAAGCATATTCTATGTGGCTAAAAACCTCGATAGCTACAGACGTAGTTGAATTCCCAGTCATCTAGCTCCCATACGACTGTAAGGTCTCATTAGTGCCACCTACTAGCAAGCCTTGCCTACGATACCACCTCCTGTTCATAATGTTTATTTTATTTGTAACAAGCTGATGGCAACCCGCCCCCAATATCTTATTCGCTTGTCAGTTGTATACGCAATCATGCGGTTCTTTTGGGTAGTTATAATTGGCGGCGAAGCTGTGTGTTTGACGTAGGAAACGGTTGCCTTCGACATGGCTGAGTTACAGTGACATCTACCAGATTGAGTCGTCCATTGTCAATGTATCGCTAATAAGATACGCAATCTTACCCGGAAACCAAACCAAAAATAAACATCCAGAAAACCAAACCCGCAATCCCGGAAAACCGGCCGATATACGTAGCATTCCCCTTATCCCACCAGCGGCACAAACCACCCCCTTTCCGGCCCCACCGAAATCAATCGTCACCAACCTTCGCCTTGCCCTCCTCCTCCACCGTCATCGCCGCCTGCACCGCGCCATCCCTCGAATCCTCATTAAACCCAGTCCTAAACTCGTCCAAATACCCAGGCAACCCCTTCACCCTATTATACGGCCCAGGGACAGGTTCCCCAATCGTATAATGCACCGGAAACACACCCGTCCACACCCGATCCAAGACCTCCTGATTCTCCATATCACCCCTATCATCCTTCGGCAAGCCCGAGCGGATCTTTGCGCTCCCAGCTGTGATCCTCACGCGAAGCACGCTGGTACTCTGCATTTCCGCGGCGTTGGGCGGGACACGCGTGTGTCTGTACCTATCGCGCACGACAGAGTCCGTGATGAGGCGCATGGCGTACAGTTTCTCCTCGACATCGGTAACGAGCGTCGCGTAGCCGAATAGGGCCGCCGAGCGGTAATTATAGCTGTGGGAGTTCGGGGTGAGCGAGAGCACGAGGCCGTCTAGGTGGGTGGCCGCGACGCAGATGGGGAGGCCGTGTTCCTCGCCTTCGCCGTCGGCTTTGCGGGAGAGATTCATGATGCGCGAGGACACGTAGCCGTGGAGGTATAGCTCTAACACGTCTCCTGTGTCGGCGCTGGGGCGGGCGAATGAGCCCATTTGCCCTATCATGGGGAGGATCATGGGGAAGGGGGAGTTGGGGACTGTGAAGGAGACGTGGAGAATGGGGCATGTGTTGACGATCTGATGGATCGTCTCCAGGGCGTAGGAAGCTTAAAGATGGCATCAGTTAGTTGCTATTGAAGGTAGGTATTTATGTATGATTTACCTCTTGAGCCATATCGATTGACCTTGCTGTAAGGCTGGGTGGGGTATTCTAGGTTAACAGAAGGCATCTTGACTTATTTGAAACTCCTCAACTCGCAAAAAAAAAAATGTTTGGTGATTTATGGTGATTATAAGAGATACGATAGAATGCTTATCATTATCGAAGATACCTAGCTAATATATGTGTAGATGTCTTTGTGATCAACGAAATCACTCTTCAATATGAGCTCATTTTATAGAGGATCTCATCGGGACTTGAGTCACGACTGATGCCTATAAGAACTACTTGAAGGATCTATCTTACGCCCTTCAACAACAAGGTGGATATAAATGATTTGAGATATTGATATCAAGCAACGAAGAGGAAGACAAATGAAAAGCAGATGATTGGTTGGTTTCACAGATCGATGGAAGCTAGATCGGTGGGTACAACCTGGAGAAGAAGCACTTACTCTCTAGAGCTATCCATTCTTAGAAAGTCCATGCGATGTAGCTTGGAGATTAGCAAACTGGGAAAGGTACAATGCATCTGACCAGATATTCTAGGCCGATGGCGGGAAACTTGCGGAGGGCGAGTCATGCTTTGTATTGGATCCCGATGACAATGGTGATGAAAGGTGCACGTTCCACTCCGAAGATGCATCTCCGAGCCATTGTATTTAAATATCCGATTACTTAAGCTAAATGCCCCGCAATCCGATCAGCCACACATGGCTTGTAATCCCGACACAGCGGAATCCACCGCACAGCACTAGCCACACATCGAAGCTCCACCAAAAACTTCATCGCATCACATCCATCACGAACAACCCACCTTAAGCCTTTCCAAGTCAATCGAGACCCAAAACCACGCCGTCACCCGCCCGACGGCCCCCAATATAGACAATGGCGAAGAAGTGTAATTTTCTCCCATCCACCCTCATACCCAACCCGTATCCCCGGACGCAAACGATTAGCTAACCCATAACCTTCCCATACAGCCAAGTCCCGCATCATCTCCGTGCGCCTCCTCTCGATGGCCATGACCGGCTTCTTCTACACATACGCGCGCCCACGAACATCGCGGCCCATGAGCATGCTGAAATATGATCCCGTCGGTACGTCTTCGTCTTGTCTATACTTGAATTGAAGAACATACATTGGGACCAAGAGTCTCTTTACGAGCAAGAACCAATTCCTTAGATGACATCCTTAGCAGAGGTACAACCTCTATAAGCCAAGCTCCTCGCTAACGTTCTTCGTGTTGGATAGTACGAAAAAAGGTGCTATTCCTCGAACAGAAGCGGAAAGGGAAATAGTTAGAGCGCGCACGCTGCGTAGTTTTACGACACCTCACGACGTGACGATGAATAATAAAGTCCCGAGTGTTATAGAAGCCGTTACCGCGTACTCGTCGCAAGGACTTAGATGCGGGAGGGACCGGCCCGGAATAGCTCCTCGTGGATGTCATCATGGTTGTATACATATATAGTGTATTATACTTTTACAAGGCCTACGCCGTAATGGCCCCGACACATATTCGCGATGCATCAGGCGGCGCCTATCATGGGAAGTAAAATATTTGATTACTAGGTACTACATTCACCTCATCCTCCAATAAGATCAACATGAACCAGCACTTTGATTCCGTGTTTTCTTCATATTTCCACACATCGGCCAACATCTCAAGCAAATTCCAGCATCGATTTCAGAGGAACTTTTCTCAGGACCTGTTATTAGATTTTCTCACCGTGAATCGTCTGTCGTCATCGAAGCAAATGATAATAAGTCGACTAGAGCGGATGGGGATAAAGCAAAAATGAACTGCGTACTAATTTCGCGGCTTTGGTCTCACGGATCGTATACCCAGTACAACGTCGCTTAATCTTGGCTGTCTGTCATCGTTTGCGACGAGGCAATAGACGATTGGCCATGTAGTCGTCGTTTCATTCCCGATTACAATGTACCATAAGTTAACAAGCCTGATTGTCTTCTCTCGATAGGACCTCCTCGCAACGTTAGTGTCTTCGGCACTGGTGGCATTTTCTTGGGTCCTAGGTCGTCCGACTTAGCCGAAAACTGTGTTGACATGGAGCGAGATATCTTGACGTTTTGAATAATTTGACCATCATTAGTTCGATGACGTTTCATAGGAGGCTCATCGACGCTGCCTAGTTCGACGATTTTACTGAAGTCTCTTATGAGAGACTCATTGTTATCTATATCGTCATCGTCTCTGTACTCGTTATGACTAGCTTGGCTTGCGTCGATCTGTTTGCCGCCTAATCCCGAAATCGATCCCGACACAGGCCGGTTGTACAGGCTATGGGTTGTGAGGAAGGGTTTGGAGCCTCTCTTTGCTATTCTGCGGTTAGTGGACGGTTGTGGCGCCATTGCTTTCTGGGAATCCGTGGTAAGTGTGCTCCCTTCCGCTTCCTGTTCTCTCGAGGTGCTACGGGTGGTCATCTTCATGATCCCTCTTGGGGGTAGTAGCTGTCGCCTAGTACTTCTTTCCTCTTCAACCGACATAGGTAATGCAGGATTGTCATCGTTAGCTGGAGATTTTACAACGACCTTTCGCTTGAGGCTTTGTAACTCTTCCTGCGCATGGACAACATTGCTCTCCAGCCTGTTCACTACACTGAAACCATCCTCGCCATGGATAGACATTCCGTTTTGCTTATCTTCACTACAGCCAGCCATGACTTCTGAATTAGCTAGCCCCTCTTGATGATACTCTAGAGTGCCAGACACTCTTTTCTGTATCTCCAATAGTTCCTTCAACTGCTCGCCTATTTTAGTTGTGTTCGGTTGATCTTTGGCTAGTCGTCCTAGGAGATTTTTCATTTGGCCAACCTCACCTCTATCGCGCGACCACTTTTCCAGAATCCTTCGCAAAGCCTCCCGTTCATGTTCGGATTCCTGTAGGCCTGTTGTCAGCCCGGTCATTGAAGTTATTAACCCAACAAGTTCCCCTCGGATTTTGTCAAGGTCTTCATCGATATTCGCCTGACTTGAAATCTCCGCCTCCTGTCGTAATTCGGCTAGCTCCTGCTCGAGTTGCGCATGGGCCACGACGGCTTCTTGGAGTCTCTTCTCAGTAGCTTGGCATTTTTTTCCGAACTCTCTCGTCGTTTCAGAAATAACTTGGTTATGTTTCTCAACATTTTGTTCGATAATCCTCTGATGCTGTTCGTTCTCGTTCTGAATCTGCTGCTCCTTGCCTTGCAAAATACGAGCCTGTGCTTTCAGTTCTTCTTGGGCTGACTTGAGATCCTCACCGGATTTAGTTATTGTTCCATCCCTTTCGTCCAGAGCCCCTCGGAGCCACTCGACTTCTTCTGCAAGGCTTCTGGCCTTCTCGCTTGCAACCCGCTCTTTGTCTGCAGCGTTTTGAAGAGCAGTCACTTGACTCTTGAGTCTTTCTCGCTCTTCCAACTCTTCATTTGAACGGATATACATCTGATGAACCTCATCTTGCAGCTCTTGAATATTCTGTAAGTGTGTATGGATAGCCATGTCGGCATCATGAGCTCTTCCTTGCCATTCCGCGACATTATTGGCATCTGTCATTCGCTCGCAAATTCCTTCGCACAAGAGGTGAATTTCACCAAGATTTTCATTTAGGGTCCCCTGATCCGTAATGATGGAATCTCGGTAAGAGTCCATAGAATTCCGTACTCCCACAACTATCCTAGGAACGAGTCAGCATGGCATTTTATAAACCTGTTTCAAATACGTACTTTTCGACTGTGGTATTATGGAGTCCCTCTAGCCTTTCTACCAAAGCTTTCGGGTCTGCTGTTTTCAGTTTTGTTTCTTCCAAAACTTTGAGGATGGTATCAATCCTATCAAGTTAGCGAAACCCCATTAAAGGAGGCAATCCCTTACTTTTCATCTTGTTTCTGAACCAATGTATCTCTATTTTCACAACGCTCGCGATCTGATTTCATCTTTTCTAGCAGCTCTAAGTTCTGTGTAGCCACTGATTGGATTGTTTGCTCATTTAATTTACGGAACTCGGTCAATTGGTTGTTAAGGTCAAGACCGTGTTGTCGTTCGCGTTCTATTTCTTTTTCGCGCTCAATCAGTTGGGTTTCAAGAGACTCGATTGTCTTGTTCACTAAGTATTTATTAATATCTCCGTCACAACATGGATACCGGCGAAACTCACAATTTTCAACTTGTCCATTGGTATCATCGATAACTGTGGCCACTTTTTGCTTGATATCGGCTCGTACTGACTCTATGGCTGCAGTTGCTTTTTCCATGGTTTCTTTCTGAAAATGTCCCTCTGTTCGAAGGGCCGCGGTTGCTTTTTCGCAGTTCTCTTTGCATCGCAAGAAAAGCTGCTGTTGCTCATTAATCGCATCATTCAACCGATTCCTGCAGGCTCTCAATTTTTCCTCTAGCTTCTTGCGTGCGCTTGAGGATGTAGTTATCTCATCCTGGATCTTCTGGTTCTGAGCATTGAGATCTTCTTCCCTGGCTGATAAATCTTTAATCGTCCGGTCGCGAAATTCGATGTCTTGTTGATACTGTTCAATGATGGAATCTTGTGACGAGATGTGGTCCTCGAGCATTACCATTTTCTGCTCCCAACGATCCAGAAGCCTCTGGTTGTAGAGATAGTTTGTGTTCCATGACTTGGCGAACTTTATAAGATTGAGACTGTTTTGTTCACGAGAGGGGGTGCGCTGTTGATGGTGCATCTTCAGGAGAGCTCGCGGCTTTGAAATATTTGATGCCTGAGAACAAGGCCTCGTTGTCGACATATGATCGTATTGGGGAGACTCGAGAAGTACGGGCCGTGTGAGGTCTTTTCTTTTCTGCCGTCCGTCAGTACGATGCTTTTTTGTAGGACATTCAGCATCGCTCGTATGGGCATCTTCTCTAGTTTCAATGGAAGTCGAAGTCGTCTTGGGAATTTTTGGGCGATGCTTATTCCCCGGATGTGATCGTTCCACAGACGCCTTTGCCGCTTGGGCCAATTGACGTTCAGAAGAGGTCGACGATGACACTGAAAGCTTTCGTCGTAACAACCGATTGCGAGGCGACATTGTCGCAAGAGCCTTTCGACGAGTATCTGAAATGGACTTTGGAAGTTGAGACTTAGAAAGAGGGGAATACGACGATCTATGCTTCCTACCATCCGAATGTAGCAGATCAGCCCCGTCTGAGTTCTCATCTGGAAAGGGAAAGTTATACGTGTTCTCCTCGCGAGCTGGGTCTGATACATCGAGGATCGGTGCTTGGGTATGAGAGACCTCAATATCCGGAACTACTCGCGAGACTCTTGCGGTATTGACTGTATCAATACCTGAAGAAGTTGCTGGAGGACTAGCCACGTATTTTCCTATGTTCTCTACATCATGATTCAAAGGCGGGTCCCTCTGCCGCTTGTCGGGGTCAACGAACTCTAGTCGTCTAGAATTCGAGACCTTTTCCGATGGTTTGTTTATTGTTGGTAGTACCGATGCAGTAGGGACTTTTTGTGTCTTTCTGGGGTTCTGGGGAACAATTCGACCCGGTGGAGGTTGATACTGGAAACCAGCCCCTATTTCCTCAGCCGTCTCGATTGCTGGGCGAGTGAAAAGGTTTACTCCAGTGGGAAGTGCCGAATGAGTATCTTGACATGATTTTCCAATCACCGAATCTCGGGTTGAGGCAATACCACTTGAATCCTGTGAGTCTTGCAACGGTCGGAGGAACTCAACCTGGCTTGAAGTAGTAGGAGATTTGGTGATTGTAGGCTCATTGGTTGCCTCTATCTCGGCCGTATGACAAGATGAGTTTTCGTGTGACATTCTGATGAGAATGAGTCCGATATGTAATTAATTTACAATCAAATTTCAGAAACCAACATAAGGTGCAGGTTAAATTTACGGTGCAGATCGGGGCTATAGTGGATGCCGTGCCAGCCCATCGCCTGAAAGAGCGTGAGATTGGGGTATCTACAAAAAATCATGAAAAGTCTTCAATTTGAATTTTTGTTTCTAGTTTTAAGTTGGTGCGTGTGGATTGAGAGCATCTGTGTATGTGAGGAAGTAACAATGCACGTTCAGGGGAGTTGCTGCTTCTGCCACTTGCGTGACTGCTTGGATCTATGGATCCACGGCCCAAATATAGGGAGGTAGATAGTAGCCTACAGGCTGTGCTGTTCTTACCTGAACCTTAACTGTCTTATGAAACTGGAAAAATAGTTAGGTAGGTACTTACATGTATTTAATCATATACGGGTTCTCTATTCACCAGAGAGTAGATTTGATTATATCGAAGTCAAGGATAGTGCACCTAATATAAAGGAGACTCTTTTGAATGAGAACTCTCCTATTTCATTACAATTTCTTTTGTTATTTGCTACTAATATGATATGAAGGATGCGGACCGACCAGACATCAAGCCATATTTCCATAGGTACCTAGCTAGGTATTAATACGAAGTTGTTGAACAGGCGCTTAGGATATGTTGTATGTGTTCCGACTTGATACGCGCGTCCGTTTTCCGGTTTCGTAAGTAGAGAGCTGTGACATCTAAATGCCGCGGTTCGAGATCTATTCGAGTTTGAAAAAGGGCACCTCCTCGGCCATACCTAGGCAGATACGAGCATGATAGTAATCCGGATCTCAGCGCTATGGATTGAATACCTAGTAGGTAATAGTTTGGAAAAAGGGGCAACAACTTTACTACTCTGTCTTTCGCTCTCAGTAGCTGTGACATATAAACCCTGTTTGCGTGCTCGCAGACAGCGGCGTCCCTTTTGCGACAGTAGCTAACCAGCAGAACTCAATATATTTTACTGCAGATATGAATGCTTTAGAGACTATAAGAGCTGTATTAATAATCATATCTGCTATGAAAAAGTATTATGACTTCTAACTCACCCCGTGATATAGATAACTGACTAGGTGGGTAGGTAACAACTTATCTAGAAAATGTTTCATAGAGTAGAGCGTTGACGGTAAGGATATATAAAACATCATCTAAGTAGTCATATGAGAAGCGATGGGTAGGTATCTGGGCCATAGACGCCTATCCCTGTACAGACATCGAAGGAGGCGGCTAGATGCGATAGAAGGATCAACGAAAAAAGCGTTGGCACGTCAAACCGAAGCCCAATAAGCGCACGTCTATTTTCATCCACGGGGATTCTATATGGAGCGCATTCATTTTTGAGAAATTCCACACCTTCACTTGGCCCGGTCGTCTCGTCGCTAGAATCAAACATCGGTGACGCTCGCAATTCCGGCTGCTGTATGACTGCAACGCCGGAAGTTGTGCTGCTAAAGATAGCACGGTATCGGAATGTCTGGGATCCGGTTGCAATTAATATAATCCGAGTCGTATTTAAAGAGCGCGCTCCTACCACGCATGAAGAGACCCGATTTCCGGCCGAGTAATTAATTGACTTGCATGGAATCGGACGCACTTTTGGCTGGGTCGCGGGATGGGTCTAGTAAGAAGTCGCGTCTGCATCACGACAACGAAACTGAATGACTTCAAGTGTAAATGAACAAATATATGAGAAAATGGCAGGTAAGATGATTTATGCCTAATATTGGAAACGTAAGGGTCTTCATCACGACTAGTCTATGAGGGTGCCGATGGAATATAGGGAAGTTGCACTAAAACAGCCACAGTTACATCATGCTTGAGCCGTTATCTTTGCTTCGATATTCTTAGTCATACACATATCTGGGGGCGGTAAATGAGACGGACCGCGATTAGATCCGGAGGTGGCTTGTAGATGTCTTATGCGCGCGACATGATGACGCTATTCCAAAGGAATGACTGGCGTCTAGAGGTATTAATTGTCTATCGCTATGGTCCTCCAAATCTTCATGTGCGATACTATAGCGGAACTAGCTGGAAATGGTTAGATGAAAAGAAGACATTTTATACCAAGTAAACATTTGGTGATGAGAAACTTCTTCAACGAATTGAAGAACGAAATCCAAGGAAGTGAGCTTGGGCGACAGATGTGACAAGGTGGTTAAGAAAAGCAGCATCCTTGCCACGAACCCCTGTTTTCGCGCGCTGATTGGTAGAGCGACAAGGGGTCAAGTCGCAAAGCGCCCTTATTTAAGCGCCGCGAAGATCTCAACAGCCAATGACAAACCGAGGAGATCTAAATATGAGAGATCTTAATGCATCTCTTCAACGTGAAGCTCTGTGGTACCCAATAAGCACTCATGTAAAATGCCGGGACCCATGATGTCTCAACTGCCATATGTGCATCAAGCCTCTAGGAGGACCAGGTACGCCAGTCGTAGTGTTCTCTACTTAGATTTTTACAAGCACCTTTCATGCATGACTTGTCACGCCCATCGGATAGCTACTGTGCCTTCACAGGAGGATGTCCCCAAGCGCCTCAACTGGATCACCCCCGCCAGGAACACCTTATTCATAAGTACCGAGAGCCCCCATGTGGCATGATATCAATCCTGGTTTTCTTCCTTCCCTCGACATCATCCTATATGGCTGGATGAGGTTTGCTCGAATTCTTTAGCGGTCGCCTTACGTCGTCCCACGTCGTTCCACCTTGAACCAGAGTGCTGGATCTCACTTGTAACTATTTATTTATCTTTTGCTAGTGCAAGTCACTATGGCGACCTCTACTTCGGACTCGTTCCCCCTGGCGACGGACCAGCCTTACAGCGAAGGCGATAGCGGCCCCGGATCTATCAGCTCTGGTGGAAGCATCGACAACTCAGCAGGAGCTTCTGGAAGTAGCCCTGGCGTTGTTCAAATCTCTCATGGTGCGATAGTCGCAATAATAGTTGTTGTTGCGGTTGTATGCGTGCTTGGCAGTAAGTTCCCTTCGAAATGAACATTTACAATATGCTGATACGGCACAGTTTCTACAGCAGTACTCTTCTACCTTGCCAAAAAGAGAGAATGGAAGGTTAGAGAAAGCATTCGACGCTCGGCAAGGAAGGTAGTCACTGCTCTCACGCCTCGCCGCTCCGAATTCCCTAAATCAGTGAAGGATAATTCTCGAGGTCGTGTTCGGTTAGACGACGTACCGCCCACGCCTCGACTTCGACCCGAAGATATTGAGAAGGGCCTTGCCAAACCCAGCGTTCGACAGAGCCCAGAGGGAAGAAGTAAGAAATGGACGAGGAAGTAAATAATCGTGATGAATTGGCTGGTGAGCTGACACGGGGCTGGTTAAAGCTAGTTAAGAATTGGGAAAACAGTCATCGAAGCGGATTTTGCATTCAACTAGCTTCCCTTGGAATTGGAGCATGGAGTTTGGGGAAGCGAAGCCGATTGCCTTCTGGATATGTATCAATGTCAATTAACGCTAGTATTTGTTGGGTATCAAAGCCGTCTGAAGGTGTTAGTACTAGCACTCCGTCTTGGATCTGTTCGTCGGTCTTTCGTCTGCGGCTTGGGGGCCTCGTCATCTAGTTTCTTCTTCCTCGATTCTGGGACGAACGTGACCTGTCTCTCTCCAACTACTTCACCGTTTCGAGTTTTGCCGACCCTGCCCGACTTTTGGGTCCTAGAGCCTAGGGAGGTGTCTTTGGCTATATGACCACCATTTTGATTAGACGTCCTAACACGCATGACCATTTCCTTTGGCATAGTTTTCTCAGGTACTATCTCATCTTCGCTGTCGTCGCCGTCGCTCGAGTCTTGATCGCTTTCGTCTGAGAATTGGGGACCTGGAATCACGACCTTTGCGCCTGTTTCTGGGTCAACCTTCGTGCTTGGGTTTAGAACCTGGAACTCGCGACTATTCTCATCAATCTTAAACTCTTCGTCCTCGAACAACCGGTTGAATCGGTCATCGCCAAGTACTCCAGCCTTAGTATCGACATGAGCTCTCTTCTCTTGGCGCTTAAGTAGTTTATCGACCAATTTCTGGTTAACCTTGACCTTCTTGTTTCCGCGAATTCGGCTGGCACGCTCTTTTTCGACCTTCTCCTTGACGCGCTTGGCGCGTTCCTCTTCCATGGCATACGGATTGGCGATTAGACGAGCTTGGTCGTACAACTTCGAAGCCACAAAGTATCCATGCATGTAAGGACGCAATAGGTTTGTCTTGCCAATCAAGTGTGCCAGGCTGAGGGATTTCAGTTCTGGTAATGTCAAGAATTTGAAATTGTCGTACTGATCAGTGCTGATTTCCTCGGCCATCTCCTCGACCATGTTGTCAAGGAATGAACACCATCGTGGCGCAGGTCCTAACTGGGGTATGAAAAAACTGTGCAGAGGCTTGCCCTCGTTCGCGGTGAGAAGCATTCCGGTGTTCTTGCACCATGTAACAAAATTTATGTCAACCAATGGCTCGACTGAAGTCCAGGTCTCGCCATCAAGCTCGTCCCAGATCTTGATCATCTGCTTATCAGCAGATAAAATCTTCTTTTCCTGAGAAGAAGTGGTTAGGTGAATAAGATTCTTGATTGGGAATCCGGGACCATGGTCTTTTTGTAGTAGTGGTTTTGGGCTTCGTAGATCGAAAAGTTTGATAAGACCATTTGACGTGCCAGTCGCTAATGAAAGTCCCGAAGGATTGAAATCGAGCGCTGTTATTTCCCCTTCTTGGCCTCCCAAAATGGCAACGCGAGACTTAGATCGTGAGTCCCAGAATTCGACTGAACCGATCGAAGTACCAAAAGCAAGTAAATTATGACTGTTTTCAGCAACCGCAGCCGTATTAACACTTCCAACACCAATGCTTCCTTGTAGTCCAGTTTCGACGCCATCGTCGGCACCAACATCGATTTGATATGATTTCATGAACCTCCCTACTTCAAGATTCATTCGGAACACCTCGCCGTTGCCATCGGAATCCAATCCCACCGAGGGAACCAAGGCTTCAGTAGCGTGGCGATCATAGACGAGATCTCTTCCATATCTAGGTAGACGTAGTTCGTAGTGGCAGCCAGCCGGGGTCTATCATTGATCAGTATCGGGATCCAAACTTATTTCATGTTGAAATTTAGATCCTACATGGAATTCAAGTTTTCTATCACTTTGTAGATGTAGAGACTTGGAGTAATCGGTCGAGAGTAGGAGGAAAGTCGTATTGAGAGATTTAGTATGTCTTGAATAGGATAGTGCAAGATGTGGGAGATAATGGACATGGAATTGTGGCTTGTCTGCTGCATATTAACATTTCCCTTCAATGAGACTAGGTGGTTAGGAATATTGTAAGGCAGTTTCGCAACATACATGTTCCAGATGACACAATCCAGTCATTATCTTCTGAGACTCTGACGCATTGGCTGGCTTCTTCGAATTCGAAGTCTTGAAGTAGCTCTATTCGATTCTGATACTCGGGATCCGACTTGAGACTACGTTTCCGTCGACGTGCTAACCTGTATGTATATCTGTTTAATTTATCCTTTTCGATAGAAATATGCGGATTCACTTACCAGTCTGGAAGAGGACGCGCTGTATTGGCGCCGGCTATTGTGTACACGGACACATCCCCTTGATTAGTGACTTTCATGGCGGTGGTGGGTGCCGATGAGAACGTCTCCGACCGTGGGATTGGAAAGTGAAATAAAATGCGAAAGACGAAAAAAAAAGGTTGAAGATATTACGGTACATGGAAAAGCGCACTAGAGGGGCGATAAGCAAATTTTAGTGGGCATCCTTGATCGATAAGAAGCACCCCGGTAAAATTCAAACGTTCTAAGCTTAATTCGTCATTGCCTTGCATCTGCCCGAGACCCGGCCAGCCCCGTCTTCGAATCCGGGTTCCGCTTGAAGACCCACATATCACATTATAACCAATGAATGATATGCCTAGGGTCGCAGCTGCCCGCGTGCCCGCTTAGCTCTATTATGTACTAAAATACTCGTGACAAATTCCTGGAATTTGCCGGAGAACTTCAAAGCTTCAAGTTGTTCATCCTCAGCCCTCAGCCCTTCCTTCAACTACTACTAAGGCCACATTAGCCACAGCCCACCCAGCCATGACCGTACATATCCGGCACTGACGCGACAAAACTAAATAACTATTAATTACTAATCCTTCCGTCCACGCAATTCTCCAACTAATACCTGGGTATCTGCCGCAGCGAGAATTCCATGGCTCAATAATCATCTACACGTCTGCTTATTGCTTGCTTCGCGCTTAGTGATTCGAGCTTCGTATTGCCTCCTCTCGGCGTAGGCATAGCGGAGATGGAGCTCGGCATGTGCCGGAGACCTCAAAGATTGAAATCGACTCATCAAACTCGCATCCACCTCCGTATTCTATCTTTCCGTTAGTTGTTGGCGCTTGGCCAAAGGCAATCTTGTGCCATCTCGCCTCTTTCATGGGAACGATTGTCGCATCGGAATGATTGATACGATTTACGATATGGACACTGGTGAATATGAGACAAATGCATTGGTAATTGTTAGTTATAACCATCCTAATTGTGAGCATGCGCATATTGGCTAACCATGATCGACTCGCGATGTAGAATAATATATCGTTTGTCAACTTTGCTTTCTACGACCCCGTCTCTCCGACTCTCGCGTCTTTCGGTTCCAATGCGCTCGACCTCGAGAATGGACTTCGAAGAGATGGATTCTTGGCTTATTTCGATACTGTTCGACGGGGGGTGTGGTGTTTCCGCCTATCGCAAAAGGATAGACAATCAGCTGCGCCAACCTTTCCCAAATCAGTTGGAAGTGCTGGATTTACCTTTTCTTTAACTGAAGAGGGTGCCCTGGAACCCGCCGCACTTGTTAAGAATCGCCAATATGGCCCAAATGCAGGAAACACACCAGCAAGCTCCTCGTCGTCTAGTGCTTCTGCTGGTCTCGATTCAGCTTACCGAAATACCCAATCTGCTACCCTCCCGCCGGTTCAGCCATTCCAGCCATTCCCTACTCTAAGTGAACAGGAACCTAAAATAGCCCCATATGTTGATTCGAAACTCGCTTCTTCGACCTCAATAAAGGATATTTACGAACATTTTATCCTTGCCGCCCTATCGGCAATTTCTTCCAGCTTTTGCGCCACTACTGGCGCTATCCCATTGAGCTCACGAATTCTTCTCCTCCCTAGGTCTTCTCATAGTGATTGCATCGATACTCCGGCTATTCTAGCCTCCCTGCGCATATATCTTACAACCACAGGCAGTCTCGTTATATCTTTCGCCCTCTCTCCGGCTGAAGGCATAATCAACCTATCTGAAAATATGGGACACACCTTACCATCTCTTGGCGTAACAGTTTTAGCTGCGCCGCTAGGCATGTTCGCTACATGCCATCCTATCGCGAGCTCCGATACTGCTGCTACTGATAGCGGATTTGCCCAGTCACCCGATACGCAAGTCATGAGACTACGGTCCGAGAGAGACGACGGTCCGTGGCGGAATGTCTGTGCCAAATTCCTTCAAGCGCGTAATATACCATCTTCGTTCTGTGAATCTCAAAACTGGATTGGCCTTCAACGAATGCGACGGAAGCCGACGGAACAGAATATTGATGGAAAACGAACTCCGCTGATAGGAGCGCCTAGCATATCGTGGCCTGTCAATCTCTGCTTTTGTAAGATATTTTCACGACTCACAATTGGAGGCGAGACAGAAGATCAGTCCGCGTCCCAATCTGACCGGAATTTTGACCCTCTAAAAGCCGCGAAGCAATGGGTTTTAAGTGCTGGAGAACGAGACGAGTCCCTGGCAAAGAACAAGAAGGAAAGAGATGCCGTAACAGCCCGTGAGGTTTCAATGGCCGATGGCCAGGCTCAGCATGCGAGTAGATTATCGCCTTTAACCTTGCAACGGCCAAACAACGCCAATGCGTTGCCGGGAGGTTTATATCCCACGCCACCAGGGGCCCAGAATATTATAGGCGCAACCCCATCTATGGACGGGACAGCTTCTAGCCCCGGGAATAATGCGACCGCTACAACGATGACAGACGTTGATGCAATTCGCGCTATGCCATACAACGACGGCTGGGAACACACAGAGGTCAAACGCGAGCGTATTGGTACCTCATTTGAGACCGAGAATCTCTTCGGCGAGCTGGGTCCCGATATGTTTGGAGATGCAGATATCACTGAAGCCGATTTTAATTTCTTCGACGAGCAACCGGGCGATATGGGTCTAGGTTCACTTGATCTTCCTGGGCTCTCAGGAACTGATCCAAGTCTTGATCTTACGGTTAGCCTGCCCTCGACACAGGAGTCCCAAACCAAATTAGGTCCTCCAAGTATTCATTTACCAGATACAACTCCTTCGCCAACGTTCACAAAACCCGAGCTTAGGCATGCTCGAAGTTCGTTAGAGGACCCTCGACGTTTAGCAGGGCTAGAATCCAATAAATTCCAGCCACCGAGTTTGAAACGACCTGCCAGCCCATTTAACCCCGATACAGTATATAAGAGGATCAGAGCGTCTTTGGACAACCATAAGGCTGTTCAGAAGAACTCACGAATTAGCGCGTCCCCCCATAGCAGCATTTTTGACAAAGTGAATTTTGGACCTTGCTTGTCAATAGTGAACAGCAAATATGAAGGAAGCGGGCGCTTCGATTATTCTCTTGAGCGATCCGGAGATGCTAAGTCGCCTAGCCTAAATGAGCCACCGACGACCGACTATTTGCGAAGACATGTAAAAGGTCGAAAAGGCCTCAAAGAACTGCCTGCAAAAGTCGGGCAAATTTTGATTCGTGCTTCTGGAGCCCAAGTTCCGGTCTCGAATGGCGCAAGTCCTTCAAATATCCCATCGAATACCGAAGATGTCCATTCAGATGCAGACGAGATCAGTCTCGTATCAGATCAAGATGACTCGAGCTATGACGGCGATGAGCCTTTATCCCCAATAAAATCAGTAAGCATGAGACGGCGGTTAGTCGATGACGATGGTGAATCGCTTGCCACATCATTTAGAGAACTTGAATCTGTGGATGTGAGCTCGCCGCATGAATTTCCGCAGACTTGCAAATCCGAGGCGGACCTTCCGCTCACCAAATACTTCGCTGATCCCGAACCGCCTCTATTTCAATATTCATTACCAGATGACCAACTAATAATTGCCGCGCAAATTCTGACGGATCAATTTGCTACTTGCACTCTCCCAGCCAATGCGGCATCGCAACCATTTGGATTAAAGGTTGACCGGCGTCGTCAGCTCACCAGTTTGACACGCAGATCTATTCAAGACATTAAGTCGAGCCTCCCCCCGTGTCTAGCAGTTGCTACCGAATGTCAATTTCGCCCTTTCATCGAACTCCAAGATGTGCCTCTTCTTGGCCAGCCCACAAGGATGCAACCTAGGCCACCAAATGCCGATCAAATGAGACCGAGCAACTTATTCCAGATACCCTCTCCACATTTCGAACTACGTCGGTACGAATCCAAGCTATCTGTCTTGCCGTCTGCGGTTGCTTTCTGGGAGAGTCTTGGGCTTAGTCCATCTCCTGGGAATAAAGACATTAATGCCATCTGCATATTTCCCGATTATGAAGGTCTCGCAGACGATATGCTAGTATTCACAGATAGAATGCGTAGTATTTACGAATCATTGAAGCTGGGCTCATTCAATCGTCTACCAACGACCTCTGGCATAGAAAATGGCTTGTTCTCTTTCGCTGTTGAGAAAGACCCTATACCTTTCAACAAATCGTCGCCTTCTCTGAGACCATCATTAGCGAATTGCGCCTCCAAGGTCTGTCAAGTACTAGCCTCAATGAACGTAGAAGAGATCAATTTCGTTGTTTTCTTCGTTTACTCGCCTGAGGTTACGAGTTCGATTGTTGAAAGCTGTGCCGTCTTCAATCAGGTCTTTGAAAATTACAGGAGATTGCTATCCACTAAAAAGCTACCAATTGTTAACGACTTGGCTCTGCAATTAGTGCCACAAGATTTTGTGGCGTCTTCAAATTCGGTTGCTATGCCATCCCCCTTTGAGTTCTCTAAATTGGCTATCGAAACATATGATAGGTGCATTCAATTCGGCGGCACCTCACCATCTCCAGCCTTGATGCTTGAGCAACCACCACCGCGGATGATTGATTTCAAACTAACAACAAGTCCGTCTGCATCCTTACTACACGAAAATGCATGCCTTCACATCGCTTATGCGCAGAGCATTGACGGGAGGTGGATTACTGCCGCTTGGACAGATAATAGGGGCAGTCAACAAATGACAGCATCATACGGCCTTGGAAGAAAGGGGAAGAACCTGTCGAGACCAATTGGGGATGCAGCGAGAGGGATTTGGGAGGCGACCCTCGATTTTATCTCCGCCTGGAAAGTGCACTGGAGGGTTATTATCGCGAAATGTGGTGCGATGGAGCAATCTGAGATAGAGCTCTGGTCTGCTCTCGCTCAGGCAGAATCGAAGATCAGCCTAACACTCATTGCGGTAGATACCGATCCCTCAATGCAACTACTTCCGCCGATTGTCAAGGTGTCTAGTAGCGCTCTATCGGTATTTTACACAACACCAGTTTCGACACCACAAGGGTCCATGGTCTCGCCTGAGCAAAGTGGCAATCCGCCTACCCCTATCCGGGAAAACATGGGGACAAGTGCACCTACTCCAGGAGCCGACAACAACCCGGAGTCCGACGGTGACTCTACGTTAACAGAAATTACGGACCAAACTTGGGGGGCCGTTTTATCGCATAGATTAAATAACTCAAGCTCTTTAATGGAGCTAAATCCCGCTCTTGTGAGTGGCTACTTGGTAAAACGAGGTGGATCGCGGGCCGAAGACCCTCTAGTCGTGATGGAGGTTAGCATCGTACATACCGAAGGCCACATAAGAGCATACGAGTCGTTGCTAAGAGAGATGCTTACATACTACCGAGGTCTGGGGACATTGGCCAGGGCTCGCGGGATGGTTGATAAGGAGACTGATATCCGACCATGGCACATCGCGGCCGCGGAGAAAGCTGTTAAGGCGCTGTATATGCTAATGTGATATGCTAGGGTTGCTTTTTCGAGGCGCAGAGGGCATTGCATGGGGAGGTTACCGTCTTAGAAGGATAGAAGACAGCAGTTCAGTATTAGCGACGTAATAAGATACCAATGCTTATTGAGTATTTCCAGTTTTAATTCACTTAATTCGTTATGTCGTATCCGTGTAAGCGACATGCAGAGGGCGATTCAAGAGCAGGTGTGACGTGATGGTCGAGGTAAAGTAACATTCACTGGATGCCCACCTTGAAAATGACATTAACAATATAACGATACTTTAGAGGCGAATAATCATGAGCTCATCTAAGTATTCAAAAGCGACTATTCGGTCGTTTTGATCCGGTGCATATTCGATAGGCGCCACAGGGGTGCGGTAGCGGAGTTTAGCGGACTTCAGCGGACTTTGGTGGACTAATTTTCACAACACTATGCCCTTCCACGTGAGCGGTATCCCTCACCATTATCCGCATTCGAGGGGAAAATTGGTGTGAAGAGTTAGAACAAATGTCCTAATAAATTGAAAAGCCGATGAGTCATCGGCGTTAGGTCGTCTCTGTCTTTTCGTAATGCCGAAGGTACCATGAAATTGAATATAGGAGGATAGCCAACCTTCACCTAACAATTATATAAAGGGGTCCGAATAATCCGACCTATTTTAATGCTAGACCTTCTCTCAACACCTCTAGGACAATTTTAGCATTCATAACTTGATTTTTCGTCCAGTCTAACATGACTCAACTCGTATGGCTCATTACCGGTTGCTCCTCTGGCTTCGGGGAGCTATTGACACACCACATCCTATCTCGTGGTGACCTCGTCATCGCTACGGCGCGGACTCTCAGCAAGATCGCGCATCTCAGTCAAGCTGGCGCGGCTACTTTAGAGCTTGATGTGACTCACCCTCAGCAAGCCATCAATGATACCGTGGCTCAGGCTATCGCCATATATGGGAGGATTGATGTGGTGGTGAATAACGCGGGTTACGTTACATCAGGGGCATGGGAAGACATAGAGTAAGACACGATCGTCAGACCTTAAAACAAGTTATTCAGCTTACATAAAAGCAGATATGAGCAGCTTTTAGCGCAGTTTGATACAAATGTCTTTGGCGTTGTAAAGGTGACCCGCGCGGTTTTACCGCACCTGAGGGAGAAGAAATCTGGCACGATGGTATTCATCAGTTCCTTGTCAGGATGGTGCGGGCATCCTTTCGTTGGTCCATACGCTGGGTCTAAGTTCGCCCTAGAAGGTAACACCCCGAATCATTATTTTGCAATCGTTCCATTACCTAACTTCACGTAGGTATGGTTGAAAGTTTGAGTCGCGAGACAGAAGTGTTCGGAATTAAGACCCTGTTGGTTGAGCCGGGAAGGTTCCGTACAATGCTCCTATCGCCGGACAATCTTCACACAGCCCCGTCCAAGATCTCAGACTACGATAAGGCTTCAAAAGCGCATGTCGATGGGCTAGCACAGGAGGATCGAATGCAGCCAGGTGACACTCAAAAAGCTGTCAAGATTATCGTAGACCTCGTACGGAAGGAAGGGTGTGCAGAGGGTAGGGAAGTCCCATTCAGATTCCCTCTCGGCACAGATTGCTACGAGTCAATTAAGGAGAAATGCGAAGAAACTCTTCATCTACTTAAGGATTGGAATCAAGTGATAAATAGCACGGATCACGAAAATCATTCTAATTCAAATTAGGTCAGGTCTTTTGAATAGTTGCTAGCTGATTATATAATCAAGAAATAACCCCAAGTTTTGCTCACTACTAGGTAATCAGCCCTGACCTTAGATTGAAAAGAAACCCTAACCCTAACCCCAAGCTTACCTTGAGACTTTAGTAGAAGCCATCTAAACACATTCATAATATTTATCCGTCGATGATATTTCTGTTCCTTAAAATTTCTACCTACCTACGTAGTTAATTATTTTAATTCTGTGACATAACATCGTTAGTATTTGTATTCTTAAAAACATCATGTTAAAGCTTTCTCATTAACGTGGATATAATAACTTTGGTATAATCATCTTCCAGTGCTTAAAACATTCCTATTCAATGAGAACCAAGGTTAATAACGATATTAATAATAAGGGTTCACCATTGTACCCACTTACCCACCTACTTAATAGGTAAGTTGAACTGTTGCCGTTGCCTTTTACTTGCTTTACGCGTACCTACACTGCCTAGGTAATAATAGTATTAGTTAAAGACGTTGTCTAAGTACTTACCTAGGTAATAAAGAACTTTAAGCGTTGATTCACCTATATAGGTACTCATCTACTTATGTTAGGGACTGATTCGGATTTCAGTGTTTGACTGCCACATTTCGTGTAATTATAACAAAGAGCTGTATGAGTGCCTAGGTGGTATTAACATTCGCTTTGATGGCATTCTTGGTATATAAATAGGTACAATGCCTAGTAAACACAACTTGAATGAATGAAAGATTACTCAATAGGTTTGTTTTCTTTCTCCTTATTTGATTTATACAACATGTTTAATTTTAGAAAACAGCTACACCTTTAATTATATATATAAAAAGCCCAGTTATCATTCTCATATTTTCGATGTTCCGGTATCAATTCATTAAATTACATATTAACTCATTCACAATACTAAATTCTCACCAAACCAAGTATCATTTGTGTAGACACAAGCTACGCTACTTAACCATTTTAATCACTTATCTAATTTATATTAACGAAATTAACGAAAATGTCTAACGAGGAGGTTAATCTCGACCATGTTCTCATTTCATTCCGCCATCGGAGTAACGGTACAGTGCAGGTTACGTACCCTCTGCATCAATTCCTCAGAAGAGAAAGATATACCAGTGTACACCGCGTTGCAAGCGATTTCGATTACGAAGAATTCCGATCTACTATACATGACCAAGACGTTTATGATGAAGAGAATGAAATATACCTTCCACCCGTCGATGGCGGTGAGGCCTTCGCAATCTCCAAAAAAGAACATTTTTGGGTTTTTTTCACTTATGTTCAAGCCGGCAAATATAATGAATGGATTATTACTAATTCACACCCGCCGACTGTGATCATATACACGCCCGACCGGCTAAATCAACAGCCATCACCGGATGATGTCATGGAAAAAATTAATCCTCCCCCCGGTAATCCGGAGGCCGAAGATCCTAATCCGGGCCCGAAGGAACCCCGTCCAAAGAACGGCGATAGGGGGGGACGTGGGCCAGGTGGACCAAAGCAGGGTGGACCAAAGCAGGGCGGACCAAAGCAGGGTAGGCCAAAGCAGGGTGGGCCAAAGCAGGATAGGCCAAAGCAGGGTGGACCAGAAGTTATTGAAATTGACGACGAATCAGATGAAGGGAATGCTGGTGAGCCGAGCTTTTTAGACGAAGTCAACGAGGTCGACGACAGTGGAAGTGAGGCGGACCCTTTGCCTACTGATGGACAGTTGGTGGATCGATTGGGAGTTAACTTGCATGATCCCATAAATCCAAGCTGGCAAGCCGCAGCCAAGTTCTTCGGAATTGATGAAGACGACACATTTGCTGTGATACCGGGCCTTAAACGAAATCCGCTCGATCATCAACTGTACGCAGCGTATTATATACTAACACGGCCTCTTCACAATATCAATACAGCCATAATCGCTGACGATGTCGGTTTAGGGAAGACTAACTCGGCGTTATTGACAGCTTATATTTATCATCGTCTTCATGTTGCCATGGTGGAAGTCGACAATCAATGGGAAGGACGGCCGGCCGCTAGAGGCCCATTGCATTTCTCACATCAGGATATAATATCGGAGGATTCCGTTTGTCCGCTACAAGTCAAATGGGGATTTCAATGTCCATGCCTCCGACGCGAGGCTTATGATATCGCCCAAAAGCTAGGATCGAATCCGACGGTTATCGCGTGTCCCCCGGATTTGATAAGGGGGTGGATGGCCGAGGTAGATAAATCCTTTGACCTTACACAAGGCAGTCCAGCCCGAGATATGGTTTTCATGCAATACAGCACCTCGACGTTTTACAAGAATAGTCCGGCCGTCCTCGAAACTGAGTCAAAAGTGGAAGAAAACATAACTTCCAGGCAGAGATATGAGATCGTATACCCGCTCGCAGAGGACCTAAAATCTCGATATGTGATTATTTGTTCCAGACTCGTACCGGAAAATCTAAGAAAGTGTTACGAACGCGATGTACAATTTGGCAGAACGACGCAGCGCAATGTTTCCCATTTTAACGCTACCTTAGTTTTTATGGATGAAGTACACGGATACAAAGGAACCACAGCGGGCCCTACGATCCCCTTCCAGTTCGTTCGGAAAATAGATCGTGATTCCCCCGATCCTACGGTTATAGTAGGGCTTAGCGCCTCTATGCTAAGTGATGGACCTAAAGCTTGGGGCGCCTTCGTCCATCACATGTTCAGGTCAACAGATGCAAAAATCGGAATCCCAGAGCTAAGAAGTGAAGACGATCTCCGACAGCATAGGGTAGATTTTGATTTTCTAGTGGGTCATCTTGAAAGTTTGGAATCGAATAATGAGAATGAACAAGCAGCGGCGCAGGTTAGGTTCGACAATGTCAGGGGCTTTCTACGAGCTTTCTTACCTCGCATAATGCTCCGTCGAGTAGCCAATACTTTGTTCAATGGTCACCTCATTACAAGACCTCCAAGAGATATCGTAACGATAATTACAGACACGCCTGATGGATCGGTAAGAGAGGCGCAAAAGGCTTTGGCGGAATCAGTTCGTTCATGGGTCGGACAGATTTACAATCAGAGAGTACGGGAATGGGATGAAGGGGGGAGAATGGGCACCGAGCCCGATCGCAAGACCGTCCAAGAAAATGTGCTAAGTTGTGCCATTAATAATACTCCTGGCTTGAAGATAAACAGAGCGTACGAAATTATTCTTCGATCGTCGTGCTTTCCTGCTATTGCAGAACTCATCAGAAGTGAACAAATCACCTACGAGCAAATCTTGACCAGCGCCGTCCGTGAGATTTCCGAAGAAATAACCAAAGCTTTTGGGGGACCGGCCCCTGGAAGTCGGCCCCAGAATGCCGATGCGATCGACCGAGAGGTACGCGATATTATACAGAAGTCTCCGTTTTATGCGCACCGAAATTTGCTGAGAAATAACTCACCGAAGTTGGCACAAGTTTGCAGATACATTGAACATATTCTCAGTTTACAAGAGCACGACTGGACCGCCGCTTCGGGGTTCCCGGACCCGGGAACACCTGATGACGGTAGCAAGGTAAGGCATTGTTTGATATTCACAGAGACGCAACTTTCATCTTTTTTGCTTTTCATGCTTCTTTATCGTAGATTTGCAAAAAGGGTAGAGTGGCATTACATCCATGCGGGTTTATCAGGAGCCCAGCGTGGTGAGATAGTTCAGCGGATGCAAGAGCCGTGCCGGGTGACCGATAAGACCAAGATTCTGATATCGACATTTAGTCTACTAGGGACCGGGCATAACATACAGAGAGCCAATTACTGTATCATCACCGAGATGCCCAGATCTCTAGATATCCAGAATCAGGCAAAGGGACGTATCGATCGGACGGGCCAAGTACAGGAACCGAATAGTGTTCAGTTATATGATACGCGAAACCTTGCCGAAACTGTCCGGTACAATCGAAGCATGAACAGAGCTCGATTGGTGGGAGACGGTGGTGTTGACGGCATCGACCTGAGTAACTTTGTCTAGGAAAATAAAACGGCAAAGAGGTTTAGTAGGTTGTAGGAGGAGGATTTGCTTTTAGCATCTAACTTTAGAATATTTGTTGTACCTAAGCAATACTAACTTATTTATTTTCCTTTGGCTTACAACATCGCTTTTCCTAATATCCGGGTAAATGCATATCTTGATGCTGTCATATACAAATCTAGCTCGTCAAATTACATCTCCGCCGATGAGTATGGCCACCAATGGCCTGACGTCTAGCATCAGTGGTTTAGTGGTAAAATCCATCGTTGCCATCGATGGGCCCCGCGTTCGATTCGCGGCTGATGCATTTTTTGAGTGATACAATGTGCAATTGCCCACGACGTACTGCTTCACATTTCTTTTTTAATTCCCTATACCAGATGGGGTTCAAAGTTCCTCATATTTGAATGTCGAGTCTTCGAGGCTATTTGCGGCCATGTCAGCCCGTCAAACTTGTGAATGGGAATATGAATAAGTGTGCGCAGTTCAATCAATCAGGTTCAGTTCAACATTGTTAAAGGAGAGCATCATAAGTACGAGGAGTTTTAGTGACTCAATGCGCTATATTTTAGTTTTTATCGACTCTAGGGCGACCCAGCTACCTATAACAATCTTCTAAAACTCACCCCGGTCCAAGTGAAGAAGAACCGCCAACCGGACGCAACACTTTGCGCAAGATGACTTGCCCCACATTAAGCAGGGGTGCGCTATAAATTTAGGGCGTTCCGTGCGAATTACAGCGCATACTTCCTTATAAGTAAACGGCCCCGGAGGTCTTAGGTATAGATTACTTTTCAGTTACTGGGTCAGTTCAAAGATCAGTTCAACGAGCAATTGAAGAGTCAATTGAATGAGCAACGGTCAGCTCAACAGTTAGTATTATTTAACTGACTGTTCGACTGCTGGTTGAACTGAACTAATCTGTATCTAAGAGAAAAAACCAATCTGCACCTAAGACTTCCAAGGTTATCTCTAATGCGCTATAATTTTGAAACTTTAGTGCCTTAAGCCCTATAAATTACAGCGCACCCCTGCTTAATAATGTGGCAAGTCATCTTGCGCAAAGTGTCCAAGTTGTGTCCGGTTGGCGGTTTTTCTTCACCTAGACCGGGGTGAAAACCTCCAGGGCATAATGGAGTGGATGAACCACATATGTCCCTAAGATCCCCTATAAATACAGGGCTTGGTGCACCATAATCCCAGAAATAGGTCCATCAAGAGACGCTTATTAATCATTAATTTTGTTGACGAATGAGCTCTAGGGTCTTTATAAGGGCACTGCACTAGCAAATTTACAGCATCCATGAAAAAAATGGATTCGATTACTGCTGAAGGACCATTATAAACCCCTAAATTTCAGTGCATCACAACACCTGGGCAGTTTCATGCAATACCAGGTGCACAAGGCATATTTTCTAATGCCATTCTACCACCTATCGAAAACCCCTCTGAATATCGTAAAGAATTTCATATCGTTATAAAAACTAAGTCGCTACCCATGTTTAAAAACGCTTTCTGCATACATTGTGCTGTTAAAGCTGAACTACAACATACATACAACGGCCGAAGCCCTCAAAGCCAAAAAAAAAATACCTAGAACTCATCATCATCATACAGCCACCACCTTCCTTCCTTCCCATCCCATCAACCCCTTAATGGCCATTAACCCCATTCGCGCCATTCGTCGCACAACAACTCGCACTCCCACCATTCACCCCATTCGCAAACGCAAGCTTACTCATCTTATCCGTAGCATCAGTAACCCCCGCGCCCGCCGCCGCGACCTGGCTCGGCGTGCTAGCGTACGAGGGCGGGACGTCCATGACGGGGTTGTTAGTGAAGAAATTACGCGGGCGAAGGAGCAGGGTTATCGGCTCCGCGGGCATCACGGGGAAGTCCTCGGGCGCGGGGATGTGCGTTACCCCGAAGGTGTGCCAGAGGACCACGTTCGTGTCGTCGATGGATTCGGTGCCGTCCCCGATCCATTCGGGCAGCCCGAGCGAGGGCTCGCCTGAGGTTTGGGGGACGTGCCGGCCTGCGGGCCAGAGTTGGTCGTCGCGGTCTGCGGGGTGTTAGTTAAGAAAGGAGGTGATTGAGGTGGGGCAGAGTAATGGGGGGGTAAGGAAACGAGGAAAATGGGGAGAGGCTTACACTTCGTGACGTGCACGGCGTGGCGCGCGAAGCCGGCTCGCTTCCAGACTAGAGAGCCTTCCTTCGGTAGTAGCGGAGGCGCCTCTCGGCTGACGAGCTTGTAGCTCACTGGCTTCTTGCTGTAGGGGTGCAGCTTGCTCGTGTTGCAGATATCCCACGTGCGGCTCGTGGCGCCGTTGTAGTCTGTCTTCGACTTGCCGGTCGTGTCGAGCTTCGTTCGCTTCGCGTAGAACGCGTTGCCGTAGAAGTTCTCTGGGCTGCCGACGGGGGCGTCGGACGGGACTGCGTCGGCCATGAAGACAGTGTTGTTGGGTCCGTCGATGTTGGCGTCTACTCGGAGGCAGAACAGATGTTGGTGGTTGTGCGCGTTGACACCGGGGTATACCTGGGTTCCCCAGCCCTTCGTGTCCTCCTCAGGGTCCATGGTGTATGTGTTTAGGATACCCGTGAGTCTGATATCTGGCTGGATGGTACCGTCTTGATGGAAGACCCACTACTTTCAGTTAGCACTTGATTAATGCAGATTGAGAAAAGGGTCTTACTTGGATGGCATATTCATAGTTGGCGGCTGTGAAGATCTGTTGGATGATGAGTTTTCTCGCACGTGTGACGATGACGGACTCGTCTCGGAAATCGCTGTGCTTGAATAGGATGCCGTCATCTTCCTCGTGGATGCATATCGCATTCTTGATCGTGCGGATTTCACCGGATCTTGTGGGGAAGTCTGCGTCTAAGTAGTGGATGGAACCCTTGCAGTCGCATCCCAGTGAGAGACTGTTGGTCATGTATCCGGCACCGTACTCTCCAAGATCAAAGGCGTGCTTCCTCTGGTGAGGATGCTCGGGGTTTCCGCTACAATAATTAGTCTACACGTTTCTAACAAAGAAGACGAGGGTGCTTACTATGGTACTACCATCTCCGCCAGGGAGAGTCGGTAGAAGATAGGGCGAACAGTTCCTTTGTCGTTGTAGGTGATGTCATTGAGAACAATGCCCTCTCGGTAGTTAAAGCCGATGTGGAACTTCCAGTTCTGCCACGATATCTCGCGGCCATTCATTGTGAATGATACGCCTTCGGGCTGGGTGATGTTGATGGGCTTCAGGTCCTTGCGGTATCCTCCTAGCTTTTCAATAGCGGCGGGATGGTAGTTGACTGGATCAGCCTTGCTCACTGGTCTTCGGACCTTTGGAATATCTATGGCAATAACCTCCTGCTTCTCTGCGTCGTATATCGGGCAGAAGTCTAGGGGATATTGATATTGGCAGTCGTCGACGTTAGGTCGATAGTACATCAAAGCCTGCTGAAGTCGGATTTTGCTGCCGTGCCTCTCATCAAAACCAATTGTCCAAGGATCACAGTAGACTTTGTGCATATCGTCCTTGGAAATTCCACTAAGCACACATTGTTCGATGACCTTGGGGTCCTTTCGAACTGTGTATTCGACATTCTTCAGCTCTTCCATAGTAATCTGGGTATGGTTGTTAACGAAGCCCCTTTAAATCCAACTAATTAGTACTCACAATAGGTTGTAATCCATCTAGTAACTCCCATTTTGTTATCGTGCCAGTCGAGAGATCCACTAGTCCGTCATAAACCTTCCCGCCTGGTGCGATGACGACGATGTCTGCGATTCTCAGGGGTCGAGGGGTATTCGCTGGATCTTCCAACCATTTTGTCATCTCCGCCTTGCGCGGCTCGTGAAGTGAGACGACATTGAAGAAAACATCTCCATGTGCCTTCTTAACAATGCCAATAGCCGCCTGGATCTCATCAAGAGATAGGGGGTCAAAGGGGTGGGGGGCGGAAGCTGAAGTTGCGGAAACCATATTGACGGAGGCTTTATGGAGGTATGAGGAGAGATATTCCAACACTTCCAAGTTTCTCTCGTGATGGAGGCACTGCCTTAAATATATACTCCTCAAACCACATTTTGGCGACAACGGTTCTCATACCTAACTCTAGTAGTCCTAGATACAAATGACGCGGTGACACGCGGAAAACCATGTATCTAGCACCAATTAGCAATAGAATTATCCTAACAGCATATGATAAGAGCTCCACCTGACGTCTAGTCATGCTAGAGGGAGAACCCGGTATCGAAGCCTAGGCTCAGCTCTGCAGACGTTAGCCCCTCTCATGTCCGATAAGTCGACCAGGTAGGGCTATGATAGGAAGATCTCAGTATGCCCCTCTTCGTATGCGGGAGAGCCAAGTCGACGCCAATTGCGGGGAATTAGCCGCATGTAGTTCCCGAAACCGGTATGGGCTTAAAAACGACGGTCGACGATAGGCCGGTTTAGTAAGAACGTGTTGGATAAGGCCTTGAACGCGATAAGTGAAGGCATTCCAAGCGCCGTTATAGTCCGATACCGGGTTTTTGCAATGTTGGAGTCTAGTATTCAATATGATATATCTTCGAATTGCACTTAGATTTAGATATCCCAGTAGCCTACGATAGTTTATCTTTTACTCTTTCCGAATGCCATGACGAAGATCCCGATTTCCGAGTGACGATATCCAATCATGACCAAGGAAAATTATATACCTAAACGCCATAAAATCAATCCTTCGCTTAAAGACGATCGGACTAATTTGATCCCTGCGCCACTAGCAGAGCCCAGACAATCAAGCTTGCTGCTTTAAATCTATCCAGCCTATCAACTATCTCTATCCAATACAAATTAATACCGAATGGTCACGATGTTGCTGATATCTTGTCGCGATGTATAAATTGTAAAACAGTTTCCGTATAAAGAAACTAGACTATGTTACGCCCATGTGGCTTAGGTTCATGCACGTCTCTCGTTATATTCTCTTCTTTGGGAATAGCTTCATTTCTTAGCCTCGAACCTGCAGTATAAAAAATGATAACTGACTAAAACCATAACCAATCGTTGATCCAATCACATTTTGAGATCTCTTTGATTAACCCTCAACTTGCTATACATTGCGAATATAAACTGAGATTCGGGACCTAAGACTAAACGTGAAGGCGATTCGATGTTGCTTTCTTAGTATCTTTCCTCAGCATCTGGTGGTTCGACCAAGCATCGTTCGATTTACGTTATAGATAAAGATTATCATTTGGTTTCATAATGACTCAACTCGTCGTCCCGAAGATGATTCGATTAGGCTGAGTTGGTAGCTCAAGAAACACGATGCACAGGATGCATCAAAATTACCATATCAGGTAACTCTTGCTGTGCGGGGCGAGTTCATCAATGAGAAACAAGGGCGATCAGGATCCGAAACGCGGAAACATGAGGAATGCGACTTTCACGAAGATTTGATGTGGCAAGTAGGTACGCGAAAGGATTTTGAAATATTGAAGATCTCTCAATTCAACGTTGAAAGGGACTTGAATTATATTATACATGTCATTTATACATGCATCCTGGGGCAACTAAAAGCGAATGTATGACGTGATGGGGTATAGGTGATCTTAAAGTGGCTATTTATGGCAACGGATGACTAACAAAGATGACAAATGCCAAATGCCGAACTGGTCCAGGTCCTTAATAGATTCTCCGCGTAAATTTCAGCTCACCGATATATTCTAGAATGGAAAAAAAGCGGTCCCCCGAGGCTAACACGTCCAAAAAGTTTCGATTAATTTTATAAAACAGACTAGCAATTGATACCATCATCAAAGTTCAAGTATCTGCCATGGTGGAGAAGTTAGATCCGAAGGAATCAAGATCGGGACGGGCGGATGCCCCGGATTCTGTCACCGTAAGCCCATGATCCACAAAATGCCCGTGCTGTCTTTGAATCCCAACGGCATTGTTTGTTTGCTATGTCATGTCCCCGTTTTACTAACGTCCATGCCGCAGGCTCGCCGCGAAAGGGGCAAACTCGCTCAAAGGGCATTCAGACAAAGGCAAATCGACACAATTCGGAGTTTGGAGGGCGAAAACCAGAGACTACGGAAGGCAATTTCCGATATAAGTGTCGCCGCACGTCAAAGCGATGTGGCGCTGTCGCTAGCTATCTCGTCTGCCTGTGGAGTGGCAGGTCTTCCGACCTCCGAGACGGATGATCAACCGGCCTTGACCAATTCAGAAGACTCCGGATGGTCTTCTAATGATGATGCGGTCAACGTAGCACCGGTATCATCGGATGCTGTTTCTTCTGATTACGACAACATCTTCAAATACCTGATTCCCTCCTTCGATGACAAGGAGGTAGTTGACGAATGGTCCCAATTCTTCCCTACCGGGGATTCAGAGACGTATGTCTCGCCCACTAACCTGGAGATATTTGATAGTGGGATAGACATGACTCCTCCACCAATTCAATTAGCTCTCGGACCGCCATTAAATACTGTAGATATCTCGCAATATACGTTCGAGCCAGACAGAGCTATTCATCTTACCAACCCCCCACCAGATATCGTACCATACATGGGCGAGGGAGCCTATACCCTAGCGGGCCAAATATACTGGACCGCTATGGCGTTCGGTTTCCAAGCCATCAAAGCTATCATCTCAACCTCAACGCCACCACCAGCAGCCGTCAACACTGTTTCCGATATTTTCACACATACACTAAAACACATACCTTTACCAAAGGTATCCTACCCATACATACCTACTTGTTATCACAGTGTTCCGCTTTGCTAACACTCACTTAGTTAATGTACCTAATGCACGCGCGCCTCGCCTTCCGACGATACGGCTACTTCCACCTCGCCAGCGACGAGAACTGGGAAGCGATCAAGGTAACACCAACCCCTATCCCATCCCATCCTATCCTCCGCCCCCCCCCTTTCCTTACCCCACCACCCTCTTCTTTTTCACTTTCCTTTTTTTCAAAAAAAAAAAAAAAAACCTCAGAAACATCTCTAACGCACCCCCAGTCCTTCCTCGACCCAACCGGCCCCGCCAAAATCCACGCCGCCCTCTCGGACTCTTTGCAAAAGTCCGGGGTCCGCAAAGACGACTTCCTGACGCCTCTCACCGTCGAACAGCGCCTGCGCGACCGCTTTCAAGACGCGTATCCCGTGTTCGAGGCCGCGCTGCGGGGGCGCGCGGTCGCGGCTGAGCATGTGGCGTGCATGCGCCAGCTGATGCGTGTGGTGTCGCGACAGTCGCTGTGTTTTGGGGATGGACCGCGTTGGAGACCTGAGAGTGTGGATGCGCTGGCTGCGGCTTGGGAGAGGAGTGTTGGGGTTGGGGTTGGGGTTTTTTAGGGGTGATAGCATTGATGGGGGAGAGGGGAGGATTAGGGGGAGGAGGAGGAGGAGGGGGGGGTGTATTAAAGTGGGGCTTTGTGTGAATATAATAAAAGGGATGGGTGGATGGGCGGATGGAGGATCTCTACTTAGCGATTTATGGGATATGGGGGTTTATCATGAGTTATGATGTAATGGATATAGATAATTAAATTACGATTTTGGATGTTGGCTTGGGATTTAATGATTGGTACCTTTACGTGCAAGTCACAGGTAAGAGGATGGCTACTGTCACGAAAAATTGCACGGATCAACGGCAATGTTTGCGAAATTCAATTTATTGACTTGCGAAACCATTCCTGAGGATAACCCTTGTTCGATACCCGACGATTTGAAGCAATTGTGTCGAAGTTTTTATGCTAGTGTTGTGTTGATGCTGAAGGCGGCCGGTTGATGATCGGAGTGCAGGATCATGAACCTTTGGAGCATCCGTTGCGATTATGAAAGGCGGTGAGTTGCATATTCTGAAGTGAATAGAACCCAGCAACATAGCCATTTGTGAACCGGAAAGAAAAGAGGGGAAAAGAAAAGTAAGGAAATGGAAACAGGAAAATAGGAAAAGAAATTGCCACTGCAGTGCCTGTCCGGCAAAGTATGCTGAAGGCGACATCAACTAAGCTTCTCTAAGGTGCAGAAGTTCGGCGACTCGGATGGCGGTATTTTTCGACTTTAAGAAAAAGTCCCAGAAGCTTAAGCAGTGAGTAGTCTTTGAAGACTAAAAGGGGTAATGGGATGCAGTCGAATTTGCTCCCCCCTGGAAATACGATTCTTGGTAAGGTAGGTAGGATATCTTCCGTATCCTAATCTCATAGGCAGGTTCAACGAACACCTAATTGGGATTTTCGCAAATAGGTAGCCGTGCGACAATGTTAGAAGTCCCGGTGACTAAGGTGAAAGGTAAACGTTGGGGCACTGATGCCTTGATGGTTTATGTGGAGGGGCCCAAGATCCGGTTGTAAGTCGCAATGGATTGCCGGGACAAAGCGACCGGAGAACGATCCTTACGAGGGTCATGGTTTCTGAAATAAGACATAGTAGCTGCATTCTTAGGTCTAGTATCGTGGTTCGCGATAGGGAACGCTCGGTTGATGACCGGATCGGACTGCAATAATCGGAAATGACGATCGAAACGGTCTTTTTCCCAGAAGGCGAGTCCGTTCCAATTCTGGGGGTCATTGGCAATCAGCCCTGCGATTCGAGAATACTCTGCCGAAGAGGCATTGTGAGCGGAAAAAGACTTGCTCAGCCATGATGGCTCGTTTGATTTGTTCGGCGCGCCACGCCAACGTCCCATGTCTGGCGATACCATGTTAGGTATCAGAACACTGTCTGCTGCTAGGGATCTTTGAGAATAAAGCGACAAGGGTGTGTTGAAAAACACGTTCGCGTCAAGTCGCTGCGCCTCCTCCCACCAGCAAAAGTAGTCATCTATGGCAGCTTGGTCGGTTGCATAGAAGCCTGCGTCAAACTCATCAGAGGTTAACATGTTGAAAAGCTCTATAAGACCCGTGCTCATGAAGCTCTCCAGTCCGACGCTGCTAGGTGTGACATGTCGTCCAGGATCTAAGGGAACGGCCTTCCGACAAATGGAAGAACCCATTCGCCAAAGTGCAGCTAGGTGACACTCGATCATTCCATAGACGGCATCCAATTCGTTCAAGAGAAAGGGCTGCAAGGCCTGGATAAAGAGCATTTGCTCGGAAACACGGCCATTGTAGAACGTGTCGGGATGGCGCTGGAATAACATGCAGAATAGCTCATAAATGAGCAGGGCTCTGCAAATTCGATACGACTCAACGCTGCTAAACGAGTGCTCGTCAGCGCTATCTTTCTTCCCACGCATAATCTTGTCCTCGGCGTCATCAAAACTCTCGAGGTCATAGGTCTTAGACCTATCAAGGTGTAATCGTCCCTTCCAGAACCGAATGGCCACGAATAGTGATTCGATGTACTTTAAGGCCTCGGGAGTTCGAGGGATCTCGGGAAGAGGTGTGTTGTCACTCCGTTCGACGAACTCCTTGAGCCAGTGAGCGTATGTCTCTGCTCCGTTGTTCGCGTCTTCGAACAGCCGAGGGTGCTTGGAAAACTTGATCGAGATCAAGCGATACAAAATGTGTAGCAGCTCGGAGGTGTAGCGCATCACATCGTACCGACCGAAGAGAATCTGGACGAAGTTGATAAAATGGTCTTCAAACTTCTGTTGAATTTGTGGGTTCATGGAAAATATCCCCTTATAGTCATCGTAGGAGTATTTCATCAACTCCGCGAGCTGGGGGTCTTGCCCAGGAATCGCGGTTATTGCTCCCGCCATGCTGTATACTATTAGTTTGTTTGTCCCGCGAACATCCGTTATTATCAAAAGGGGCAGTGGCCGGGAAGGGGAAGGGGAAGGGTGCTGCGTTGAATAACCTCATTGGTATGATTGGAAATTATCATGAATCTCGAGGTTCTACTCGGAATAGGGTATCGGTCGAACTTCATAAAAAGTGCAAAGGGGAAAACTTACTTGATGCTTAAGGTCTACAAAAATGTATGAAAGAGACCAAAGGTTCGCGCGTCAATCTCTCTAGAGATTAGGAATGGAAACGGGTAGCTGTCTTCAGATCCTTGAAGATTGCTTGTCAGGTGAAGGGCTCACACGAAACCACAGCTGCAGGATTTGATGATAGGAGGATGATGGTAGGTTAATGACGACGGGATGGGTGCTCTCAGAGGGACTTGAGTTATGACTGACGAGGTATTGCTTGTTTTTACGAGTCAGAATACAATCACCTTCTAATGCTGATGCTACTTGGGAGCGGAAGTAGATTCTCTAGTAGGGAGAGTGGGAGTAGCTTATGGAAATATCGTTGTTCAGGAATTCTTGAATACCTAGTAGATCCTAGGTACTAGGTAGATATCTGAATGATAGAGGCCAGTGAGTAGGTATTGACTGGCGAGCCAGCCCTTGCCACAATATTTCCGTTCCAAGTGCCAATACTAGTAGTTTGGTAGAGGTGAAGATAGAGAAGGAAAGTTGATTGAAAGAAGATGGTAAATGGTTTTAAATAAAAAACGCACATGTGGTAGTGGTTGGTAGTTCCTCGAGTACGGTTTTAACTAGGGCATTGGATCATGGGAAGAAACTGTATCCATACCTAGTAGTCATAACCCTAGAGGTCACAAGATATACACCTTTCCATAAACCGATCAAGAAGATGGGACGCGGATTCCATTGAGGTAGCTACTGCCAAAGAGACTGCGTTTGTACTTGGGTACTGGTTTATAAATACCTAGATTGTTCATTCGAGGAGCGTGGTATTGTTGAGGACTCATAAACCACCCCCGTACCATCGCTCATCAATGGATCGTCTATCACCATTGCGAAATCGGTGAGCAGAGTAGTTTCAGTTCATCTCAACTAGAGTGACTGCCAAGTTGATACTATATGACAATAATGAACGATATGTCCATTTCACGAGCCGGTCGACTGAGGGGAGCATTGCCAACAGCAGATTCCTTTGCCTCTTTGACTGTAACTTATTGACTAGTTTGAAATGTCACTAGGCATGTACCTGGCTCTCGAAAATGACCAAGGACTTAAGCCTCTGTTTTGGAAAATCTGTTACCATCACAGGTAATGTCTCCCAGTAGCGGACGCCCACGACTCACTGGTGAAAACGGCCCCTTTGACACATGAATGGGATTATTTCCATCTATATAAGGGGAAATAAACTTTCTCAGTCTCGAAATCGGCGTCCCAGCCATCCGATGTTCATCATCCTCACAGCCCCTTACGGTGGTCATTAACATGCCACCAACGAGGATCTGATTTACAGGTGTCTCTCTATGCTGCTGAGGACAAAGATGTAATCGATCACGCCCGCTTGTACATCTGGCTCGGCACCCAGCTGACTGCTTAATAATCGAGCATCGTGTTTCAACTGAGAGTTGGTTCGCAAACTGCATCCATGGTCCATGGATATTATTTTGAGCAGATTTAAAAGACTCAGAGCACAAAAATTAGCTAAGCAGAATCTTGGAAATAGATCAATTAGAGCCAGATTACCGCAATTTAGCCGCTAGCGCCACCACTCGGACCACCACATTGCACCTTTAATTTCATTGTCTACTTAAATGCATATAATGTATCTATGTAGATAGTTGAGCTTAAGCTTCATTTCAATCCATTCCACTTTACTTTGCTTCGTTAACTTTTGTTTCTTACCAGTGCCGTTCTTTCTTCTTTATCTTCCCTTACCATGACAACTTATTCCCACTTGGATTATAGAGTGATTGAACCGACATCACTTCGCAATGTCGGTCAGCGCGAATTCGTTGTCCCAGTATCTGGAGCAGCTGCCTGGGACAACTTTTAGAAAGCTTTACCAGCAGCCATCCACAGCCTTTGCCATCTTCAGGCGCATGCTTCCTCACACAGGTAAGAGCTTGCACTGAAGTAAATGAAGCTGTTTTCGCAAGTCATGGATTGCTTATTATGAGAAACAGCAAAGACTATTGTGATGGCAGTTCTTTATTCTCCGACACCATTCTCTCTTGCCGACCTCGACCTTTGGGTTAAACCATCCGCGAATCGCGAAAAGGACCAAGCTTTAGCCATCCTTCGATCTCTTCATATAGTTCAGCCTCAGTCACTGGCCCTGACTGTTAACTTCAGAAATAGCCTACGGCTTGCGTTGGAAGGAGGAGGCGACCACAATTCGTTTGGCGTCCCGTCCGCCGATCCTATTCCTAACGAAGTCGATCATGCGTTCCTGGATAAATATGCGAGGAAGAAGTGGGACGATATCCTACACTACGTTGTCTCGGCTACCGGCCTTACTATAGAGAAGGGGACTACTGGACCTAAGCAGTCTGTTAAGGACCTTCTCATGGCTGGCCGCCTAGTCGAACGTAGTCATGGCGAACTCAAGATTACACACATCGGTTTCTCGTTCTTGCTGCAAGAAGCAAATGCCCAAGTTTGGGCTCTACTACTCCTCTGGCTCGAGGCCATCGATGCGGCCAACGCTAACGGAACGATATCGGATATGGACGGCGTGGACATGCTATCATTTTTCTTCCTGCTGGCATCCCTTGAGTTCGGGCGCGCGTATAGCACCGACGCCCTGTCCGAGAGCCGGCGCAACATGCTTACCGTGCTCATCGATTTCGGACTCATCTACATACCCCAACACAACAAGCGCCAATTCTTCCCCACGCGCCTCGCCACGACCCTGACGAGCAATGAGACAGCTCTCCGCAGCGTCAGCGCCGGATTCTCAGCAGCCGCTAGCGCGACGAGCGACGAGCAGGACAAGTGCACCATAATCCTCGAGACCAACTTCCGAATGTACGCCTACGTGCACTCGCCCCTCCAAATCGCCGTCCTCGCACTCTTCTCCGACCTCAAGTTCCGCTTCAAGGGCCTAGTATCCGGCCACCTAACCCGCAAATCGATCAAGAAAGCCGTCAGTCACGGCATCACAGCAGACCAAATCGTCGCATACCTCTCTACACACGCGGACGAACAAATGTACCGGTACGCAGCCTCGGCGAACAAGCCCGTGCTTCCCCCCGTCGTCATCGACCAGATCCGGCTGTGGCAGCTCGACACCGAGCGCGTGTCCACGACCGAAGGCTACCTCTTCAAGGAGTTCGGCGACTATAAAGACTACAAGGGCGTCGCCGACTTCGCCGAGAACATCGGCGTCTGCACCTGGCGCAACGATAAGAAGGGGATTTTCTTCGCGACGAAGGTCGAGCAGATCAAGGACTTCATGAAGTCCCGCCGGAAGGCGAATGAGGCCGGTGGTGGCTGATTCTGTAGCGCTGGGATATATAGAATGCTGGATTGATGCGAGATGAAGTGAGTACGCTGCATCCTACTTTTAGACGTTGGTTTCATCCTGGATGTCATGAATCATCAGGCTAGGCGTTCTGTGGTCTTGCATTGGGATACGGTAGGCACTGGATGAATTATGTTGTCTGCGTATAAGCAAGTAGACAGGCGTTTTTTAAAAAGCCATTCTGCATTGAATGAAGGCTTCTGTCATGTTTGCATTTAGGAAAATAAAAAAGGTTACTTTACGAATATCATCACGAGTCGATATCTTCTACGAGACAGTCACTTGTAGTCAAATAACTAAGTCCAAGTGGACGTTTTTAGCCAATGTGTAGTGCGATTACTGCAAATGATCATCTCGATCGAATCAATCAGTGCTGCTTCTGCTGCTATCCTCCGATGACCTCAACTCCGGGAATATTAGTGTACACTCCATTTTTTGATTTGCCAGCTCATAGCTCATGAATTCGTAAACCCCTCGACTGATTACTTCCAGATTTGCCCATGCGAAAGTTCCGTCCACCCCGAGCAGGACGGCAGAAATGTGTACCGTATGTTGCCATATGATATCACATCTATCCGCCCCCTCTCTCCCTATCCTATCCTATCCTTTCCTTTCCTGAAAGCCGAGCTTCTGTTCAATCGAATTTGCGATGGTATTGAAGAGAAGACAGGTCAAGAAAGACGAAAGGGATGAAATTTGAGTAAAGGAAAATAAATGGTCGAAAGGTAGACCCAAGCCCAAATACAGCGAAGCGAAGAGAAAAAGAGAAAAAGGTAGGCAAAAATGCCCGGTATCGAAAACCCAATCCCGATCCCAAACCCCCGATCCAAAGCGAGCTATCATCGTCGACATCACTACCGTATCGATATCAACCAATAATAGAGCTTAGCCGCAGCCACCTTAGATCGAAAAAGAAAAGGGAAGTTAAAGTGGGAGTGTGGGTATCAACCAGCGAAACGAAACGAAATAAAAAGAAACGCCACGAATCGTCATCGTCATCAGAATAGAGTCATGCAGCATAGACCCCAAGCACCCGTCCGTACCTAAAACTTCTTATCTTTATCCTTCCCACTAAAGATACGACCAACCCAACGCAAGCCCTTGCTGCGCGGCTCATCGACCATGGTGCCGCCGGGCGGGAGGAGGGACTCCTTGCCCTGGTTACGCGCATACTGCTGCTGGAAAGCGTAGAGGCTCTTGCGCGCGGCGTCCGTCATGCAGAGTGCTTTCAGGTGTGAGAACACGCGACGGGTGCGGGTGTCTTCGTCCGTGAGGAGGGCTGCGCGCTCTCGCGCTCCGGAATCATGCGCGGTGGGCGCTGTTGATGAGGACGGGAAACAGGCCATGGTGCTGGATGAGGGCAGGCCAGCTGGGTTGTGGGATCGGCCGACTGGGCCTGGGATCTTGGTCGAAGATGCGATGATCGCGGCCATGTTCTCCGGCCGCAGGTTCTCTTCGCGGAAGCGGTCTTCGAGGGCGAGGAAGCGACCAGCCCACCATTCGGTGTCTCGCGCGTCGTAGATCAGGCGCACACTGTCGAGGTGGTGCGCCGTGGTGGCCTGCTGGGCCGAGATCAGGTTTTCGCCGCTGGAGTGCATCGTGCGTGCTGGGGACTCGTCTTCGTTGGGACTTGTCATGGCAGACGGTGTGTGTCGACGAGAATGGATTCGGAAACTCGATAGTGATGCGCGTGAAAGCGACGTGGTTATATGGTTCAGCGCGTTGCGCGTGCGAGACTTGGGGATTCCGCCTCCTTTCTCTCCGCTGGCTTTCTGCGTCGGCACAGGAAGCTGTGAGCGTAGATCGAGTGGCTTGGTCACACTACCACTTCCTTCTCCTGACTGGGGATTCTTGGGATCACTGACTGGAGGTAAACCCACCCAGCCTGTGCGTCGGGCATCGCGTGTTGCTGAATCCTGAGCCAGGACGAATTTAAAGGTGTCATCGACCAGAGCGTCCATCCCTAGAGTTGTCAACATGCTAGACTCATCGGTTTCCGCAACCTCTTTTCCACGGTCACTCTCTGGTCCCAGCTCTACCTTTGTACCAGGGTGCGGGCCATCACCTTCAAGTTCAGCGAGGTTTTCCTGGTGTTTAACGTCATCTTGTGACTCGACAACCTCCTTCTGCTCTGAATCCTTATTCTGTGCTGCACCAGGTGACTCCTCTTCGGCAACATCTTCAACGTATTCCAGCTCAGGGCTGCCCTTCTGTACCTCCACAGGAACAGGCCAGTCCTCAAAAACACTCGAGTCACGCGTGACTTGCGAGTTTCCCGTTGAGACTGTGCGCGCCTTCTGGCCCTCCGAGACCTTAGGGCTGTCCGACTGCGGGCTGTCCGGGTTCTCCTTCGCAAAGAAGTCACTAAACTTGCCTTTCTTGGCACCCGGGGGAGTCAGTCGAGGGATGCTCTGAACACTGGCTAAGGCCAGGCTGTCGCGATGCTTCGAGCCGAGACTGTCGTCTGAGTTCGCGGGAGCGACCTTGGGAAGCTTGAGCTCGTGGCTGGTCCATGCGTCGGCGGGGATGTACGCGATGTCCTCGGGCGTGGGGGGAGGTCGCAGCTGTGGCAGGCGTACTGGTAGACTGCTGCCAGGAACTCGAGGGGGGTGGACCGGAGGTGCGCCCGTGTTAACTCCACCTTGTGTTTCGACGGCGGTCGTGGCCGACGATACGACGGTGGTGGTATCGCCCGTCATAGGTACATGGCGAATTCCCGGGGCTCCTTCAGGGCTGACCGATGTAGTGGCCGATGCATAGCCATAGTTCAGCTGCGACTCGGGGCTTCCAGTCGTGTTGCTAGCCGATGGACCGCGCGACGATGCGGGTCTGGAAGTATGCTGTTGATAAGCTACGTTAACGGGAGGGGGGATGCCAGACTGGTGGGCAGCGGGACGCATAGGTCCGACAGAGTAACCGTGAGATTCGTTGACGGTTATGCTGAGAGGCCAAACACCAATTTGACCGATTACTGATGAGCGAGATCCGCTGCGGAAGATATCACCTCGACCGGCTGCTTGCAAGAGACCGATGCCGCGACGAGGGTTCGAGCGTGTGGGCGATGTGCCGCCGGGCGGGGTGGAAGGGCGCGGGATGCGCGTCGGGGTGATAGGTGGGTTCGATGATTTACCCATGATTGAATGTCTTTAACGAGAGTTCAATATGTTCAAGGAGAATACGATGGTTTTAAGAAGATGAAGGAAAGCGTTCATGAAAAGAAGGACTACCAACCGCGCCTAAATGTTGAGCAGTCCCCAGGTCGCAGAGACGTAGAGACTACTAAGTATCAAAACGCAGTGACCGGTGCACTTAATGAGAAGTAAAAGAATGTCAAGGGACTCGTGGGCTAAAGATTGAGGACTAGAGCGAGATGTTTTTCGATGGTAATCCTGATGATATTCGGATGCCATGAGTGTTGAGGGAAAAGATTGAGGTAAAGCGTGTTGTGTTTTGAAAAGAAAACCCAAGAGGAAAACTTTTGTGTCCTGTGAGATATAGAAGAAGCACTAATTTCAAGGGCAGGCCGAAATAGCTTGTAATTGATTTCATTTAGGGCATTATATGATCGTTCGTGGTCGAGGATCGTTGGATGAGTCTCGAATTCGGCTTCAGATCGGCCTCCAGGGATGTGTCTACTGCGGTGGCAGCTTCTACACTTCGGTCACAGCCAGGGGATAACCCCTTCTCCCACTATATTACCCAGTTACCATCTGTAGTTCTTTCCTTGGAGACATCGGGAACCATCGGTCGATGGACGACCCCTTGAACCTAAGCGGATAACAGCAGTTCTGAACCGATGCCGACTCCGAATGCGACACCTATGTCATTCTCAGTGACAATTAAATTAGCAGCAATAACTCATATGGACACTCGAAGTTAATATATAATAAAAAAATCACCAAGACAATCATATATGGAGTCTTACTACTCCTTAGCACCCCGTGGAGAATAGGGGTTGAAAGTAGACATGCTATATGAACATATAGGCTCATTCTGAAATATCATATGGCACCTCTGATAAGTTGTGATACTTTATTCATTGAACATCTATGTCTTTTAGGCTTCTATCTTATATTTAAACGTCTCATCTCCTTTTCCCCTTTCAATTGGGGTTCCATGAGAATCCCATAGTGCCCGCTCTTTATACGTCAGATTCCCCTCCCAGTCTAAAAGGATGATGGTCTGTCTCTGAGTGCCGTAAGCACCTTTCATAAAATAGCCATGTGAGCTTTCTTTCGGTTGGTCTTCTGGGTCGCTGGGGTCCTCAATCTCATCAAAAGCCGCCTTCGCCCTTCCTTCGTCGGCAGCGCTAGCCATTTCCTTCCATCCTTGATCCTCCGCAAAACTTCGGATGAAAACAGACTTCCGAAGCGCGTCCATGTGTTCTTGGAAGGTCATCTTCGGTTCCAGGGGTAAGGTATCATGATCGAGAACCTTGAAGAGTCGTTCGGTTAAGTCGTCTTCGTTTAGGTCCTTGTCAACTGCTTCTTGTATCGCTTCCACCATCAGCTTCTCCCCGATTTTAATTTTTTCCCATTTGGGAGGCTCAACATAAACCGCATTGCTAAGACCGTACGTCTGTCCGCGTTCTCCACCTATCCACGGGACATCGCCGACGTGGTCCCACCGATTGGAAATGATGGCGAGCGGTTTGATATCCTTGTCTGTTTTCTGCTTAAGATCGCCGCAAACGAGCGAGAAGCCTCCGACACCTTTCGCAGCACGACCTTCTAACATCGAATTAACGAAATCGTCGAGTCCGAGCTCGGACGGAGCGCCTAGCCAACCAGTGACCATGCCGCCCCGGCTTTTGATCCCGGAGATGGCGTGATCCGGGTCCGGATCATCTTCACTCGACTCCCGGTAATTCGTCAAGATGGCGAAACGACCGCTCTTGGTAACACCCAACCATGTTCCTCGCTCGCGACGATACAGGTCTCTTGCTGATAGTATCTTCTCACCAGAGGGTTCATGTGTCCACCAGTGAGGTCGACTTGTGGGTCTGAGGATGTATTCGTCCCGGTTGTCGATAGCTATAAGAGCATATTTCGGGTGGGCCGTTGTGATAAGAACGATACACATCGTGTAAGAAAAGTAAGATGAGTGCAGGTGATCTTAAGGGGTTTTAATATCTTATTCTCTTTTGTTGTTTTGAGTATTCAGTAAAATAGGTATGTATGTATGTAGGACCGGTACGGTGTGATGACCGTAGGGAAAGACAGTTATAAACACTCGGGGACATAAATATCGACGAAACAGAAAAGCGGAAGAAACAAGAAGAAACTAAAATCATCCGCCCTCGCCACCGTCTACTTGGTATTCAATCTCCTGATACACACAGCCTTTTCTTCTTGTACAACACAACAGGACACGGCAGCGGCAACGTCTAGGGCTAGACCGTAGACAGAATAGATAGGATTGATCCCAATGGTGGCGTGACACGTCTCATGTGAAATATGATATTAGAGGTGTTGTTAAATGTGTGTAGACCGCCTGGAGTTGCAAGGCTTTGTACCTGCGACCTGCGACTTAGGACATGCGACTTCGGCGAGAATAGGCGAAGAAGTTAAGGTCGTTTTAATTTCTCGGCTTTGAGTTCAGCAGGCCAATTGTTTTTAACTTTCGGTCCCCTAGGTGTCTTCTAATGATTCCAGCTGCCCGTAAAGTCATCGGACTTTCGTGGGGTGACGGGTAACAATAAACGGATACTACCGAGAAGTGGCTGATAAATTAATTGATTTCAGCTCCAAGGGTAGCACAAGTGGCTGAAAGTGGAGATCACCGACAAGTAGCCTGGTCCGTGCAATTAAAATGGAACCTTGTATCCCTGCCGGGTGGAGCACCCATTCCAATTTAAAGCATCGACACATCAAATCCAACTTCTCCACGAGATCGATCTACATTTCTCTTTTCAGAATTTTCAACTTTTACAAATACTCGAATTACAATATTGAAGACTACCTAGGAAAGAAAGCAATTGCTTACATTATACTACTACCTTAAACAAGGAATACCGTAAGAGCTGCAGATAATATAGACACCACAGGGTTTGGGCAACAATACTTCTCAACACTTTCACCCAAGTGGATCGATTCACCGCCGCAAATCATACATATTCTACATGCTTAGCCTAGCATTTATATGTAAGACCTGTGACAACTGCGAGTTTACATATTAACCGCATTGGTGACCGAGTCCCGTGCTTCTCCGTTATCCCTTTTTGAATAATCGGATTCGTTACTGCCTCCCGGTAGACCTGGCCGGAACAACAATCAACTGCCGGAACTGAACCCACCCAATGGCAAGGAATACCGTCGAAGCTCTTACATCCGGCATGATACCATACGGGGATATGTGGCCGGCTATGCCTATCCGCAAACCGGTAGCGATCGATCCTGATATATACGGTTAGCGACGTTCATCTTGCATGCTAGCCTTCCTAAACGCGCGGCCTTCTATGATAAACGTCCGTTGGCTACGAGACGAGCAACACTTTCTACCACATTGACTAATATACCGCCGAATTTCCTACTGTCACGTCCCCCTTTCCGCCCATTTCCACAACACACACATATACCTTGTTTATGGCCTCTATGTTGAAGTCAATAGCTTTCCTCAGCCTCAAATGATTTCCGACCTAATGTCCATGTTGATATTTATCGCAAGGAAGAAGTTATCTACTGTGCCCTACTCAATGTGGCGTCAAAGCAAGTGCAAGCCGTTAGCGAGGACTCAGCACGCTAGGTTCCTTCAGCTTCAAGCCATGTACTCACCTACACAGCAGTAAAGACCGCTAGAGACTACCTGCTCCTTCTTTCCAAAGCAAATTTTGGCCTTATTCATGAAACATCTCGAAGCATCTGTAAATCCAAAAGACGGCAACAACTTCAATGTTCAAAGTTCCTCTTTTCCCTAAGTATTTCTCTCGTTTTCCTGAACGTCCTCAAATCCATATCTCCCTATAATCATGGTCCTTATAGACTCACTTCGAGGCTTCCGAATCAAATCAAGGTAATTAAGAGACAACCAGACAATGACTCATTTTCCTATCGTTGGTCGCACATCCGTCGGTAGCTTGGACGACGATCAATTTTACAGCGCACAATCAAGTCGTATAGCTAGTCGGCACGCCAGCTTATCAGCTGCACCGCGAAATCTCCAAGATGAAGCAGCCCATGTCGTGATGCCGTCGGAGCCCCTCGTCTCAGTCTGTCAACCTGGCCGCTCCGCTCCCACGCCGCCACCAGAAGCCCAGAGTCCACCACCGATGACTGCACCGAAGTCGAGATGGGCCATCCCTTTCTCAATGCGACATCATCACAATCCTAAACATCGTCATTTTTGTCCAAGACCGTTAGGTCGCCGCTTTCATAGGACATTCCACGGTACATCAGATAGTATTCCGTTACTCCAACCACTCAGGAGCGAATCGGGTATAGATTCGATCGAATTTACAAAACCCCTAATTTCATCCCCTGCGTCTCCAAACGTAGATCGCCGAAATTCGGTATACGCCGGAAGCCCTTCTCCTCGCTCGGAAAGGTCATCCTCCTCGGACCCGACTAATATAGACCAACAGGGAACGGATGCAATCGTATCCACCATTCGTGCCTACTTGTCCAGCAGAAGACACAATGATTGTTTGCCACAGATAAATGTCTCAGCTACTAATGAGAACTACCCTCCACTAAAGCTTCAGACAGTCCAGGATGCTCTCCGAAAAGGTCGTTTGGGTCCTGATGAGATGATTGCAGATACCTATTTGGTTACCACGGACGATATCGCGGGAATCTTAGATATTGTAATTTCTGGCATTCGCAGTATTCATCGCGGTAGATACGCAGCCAAATGTCTTTCGATGCTGCTACCCAAGGAGTCACTACCAAAGCCTTCCCCTAATATCACGGCAATCGTCCCTGGGTCTCCAAGTATTGCTGACCCAGCCACAACAATCAGCTCTGTTCAACCTTCTTTCAGCGTCACTGGATGTTCTGGAAATCATAGACATTATCTCGATGCTTCTAGGACTACATTCATATCTCGACAAAGCATTACCGAAGTTACTTAGGGTCGATCTTCGGGCAGTGCAATTAAAGAGGTACACAATGAAGATTATGCGAGCATTACCGAATCGTTAGAGGTCGTTCATAATGGCTCTACACGGCCTTCATCTTTATTTGCTTCCAAGTTGCCGTCTCTAAGCGATTCTAGATGGGTAAGCCCCAGACTAAGTCCTCCGGTAGAAGAATCAAGTCCTATGCTAGAGCCTTCTCGGGAGCAAAGGCGTTCAGCATCCGAACCGGTTAGCCCCAGGGCATCTTTCGGGGATCTCAAATCTCAAAACGGCCGCCGCCGTGATGGCTCTATGACCTGCTTCCCCAAGCTTCCTTCGCGGACATCTACGACTGACTGGCTAACACCATTAGGCTTGTTCGGGGAATCAAACATGTCACAACATAAGGCAACTATGTCAGATCTTTATGTACTTGGCATCGATGCCCACTCAGGAGCAGATGTACCAAAGCCCTTAGAAATATTAGAGGAATCACCACCCCCAACACTGGCGCCGAGTGAGGATTTCCTCTTCCAGTCTTCTGGTCCACAGTGGCCCACACAAGTGGATAAAGGATCCGATACGCATCTCAAGGCGGGTTCTGCAATCGGTGTCTCTGCGCATCGACGAAAGAGTAGCATCAAACCAATAGAAGCTCCAAAGCCGCACCAAAATCATGGTCTCTTGGACACGCTGCGCCGGTACAGTTTTATGCCCTTATCAGACCAGACGCCCGAGAACATCCGTGAAGCATCACCCCCAGCCCGAACGTTGGCCGATCTACCGCTGCGAGAAGATGGCGGGAGGAAGCAGTCGTCAAAAGACTTACTGCAGGAAATCCTCGACAGGAAACCGCCATCGAAAAGATCGTCGCGGAGATCGTCGCGAAGACCATCACACGTTCACATTGATATCCAGGGCCGAAGTAGAACGGGTACAGGGTCATCGCGGAGAAGCGGGCTAGATCGTATGTCGTGTTCAGAAGATCAGACGCCACATATATGTATGGACGAGCAATTGACACCTGTAGGGTCCGACACGGCTTGGTTTGAGTGAGGTACATCAACTTTATGATTGCTTGGGTAGAGATTAGCAAAATAAAATGGCTTGTTTGACCAGCACGCTCTTCCCTTTCGCGAAATCAAGACCTATTCAGATTGCTAGAGATTATTCACGTCAGACATAGCAAACAGATTTATTCGAACGTTGCTTCATTTGATATCGTCTAAGTGTGTAGTAAAACTCGGCTCTATCCGACCACTCAACCCATCTTTCCCATGTAGGTACCTAGGTACCTATCCTAGACAATACCACAATATCATTACCATCTCAGCGAACCGTACCCCTTCGTATCATCCACCCCCCTTAAACACCTCACCGCTTCCACTGTCCCGCGTTCTCAACCCCCCTTGACACGCTCTCAGCCCCGTTCTGCACTCCCGTGCCAACTGATCCTAGTGCATCGCCTACGGGCTTGCCCGCGGACCCCGTCGCGCTCGTCACAGTGTCCCCTATTCCGCGTCCCGCGGCCCCGACTACGTTCCCCGCTGTCCGGCTCACGCCGCCGGCTACGTTGCCCACGGTGCTGGTGACGAATTTGGCGGCGCCGGTTATGCCGGTGGATTGGGAGGATTTGTCTAGTGGCATTTTGGTTGGGATTGAGAGGTTGGCTGGTTGATTTAGTGAGTGTGGTTGGTGTGTGTTGGCTTGTGCTATGTACGTAGGACGTAGGTGTATGAAGTTTGTGTTTTTGTGCAGATTTGAGTATGAGAAATTGAGTTGGATTATTAGAGATTATGTTGAAGGTATTTGTATGCATACTGTTTGTCTACCTCGACCGCAACTACGTAAACGTGTAACTCCAATGCTGAGGATGGGATGAGGTGTGACGTCATGGCTTCCTACAGCCACTTCGATCATCGACGGTGAGACCAATGAGCAGGGACGGGTTTAGGAGCTCTATCCATGTAGATTGGTGACGTCATGGGGACCTAGGGGGTGTATGTTTAAGGTGCTGAAGTAAGATGGATATGGTCGCAACCAGGGATGGCATCGTTTGCTGTTACTTAATTTGTGTAACATTTATGAGACCTCTTAATGGGTTTCAACGTCTGATTCCTCGTCCCTCGGCGACAGCGCTGTTCGAGATGATTTCAACCTACTCCCATGTAGCTTGAGAATGACAACTGGGCCATTCCTCCGGGGAAAGTGCGAGAGGAGCATTAAAGATCTAGCTCTTTTCTGGCCATTACAAATCTTCTCTCTTATTATTGCTATTTCAGGTGTAGCTGCTCTCGTTTGACAGGATGGTTCCATAACTCGAGGCTCAACATTATCCCACTATATGTGATTTTCATTCCTACACAAATAGCCGGGCAATCATTTAGGAGATAAGATTAGCTGCAGTCGGATCTAAATATCGCCGCCTCTTTGTTACTAACGACCCCCATAATGCCCGAAATACCGGCTACTTTTAACACCGATACTACCTACTCACCTAGGTAAATATTACTTGCATTTGCGAAACATATGCAAGATAATTCGGTTGCTTTTACGAGAGTAAGCGGCTAGCTAATACGTCGATCTGCTACGTAAAAATTGGCCATTCAGGAATATACACAATTACTGATGAATAGGAAATAAGATATCTCGACAGGTATCATGTTACGCAATCTTGAATTTATAATGGACCTACCTAGGACCTAGGTTAACTATAGGAATGCGGGGCTTCACTACCCTTCTGCTTTTCGATGCCTAGGCCTAGGTCCAAGCCCCGAAGCCACTTATATGCCGGGAGAATCACATTACTCCGTTCTCCGCTCCCCAGCGCTGCGATATTTAAGTTGGACACATTCACTACAAAGAAGGGTCTATAGCTCTGTTCATATTCTTCCTCAATAACAGTTCAATCCTACGTTATTCTCCTCATTAGTCATATCAACAAGCAACCATCCCCTAACACAAACCAAACAACAACTTCGGACCTCCGAAACTCGGCAAAATGGTGGCAGTCGTATGCGTCGCCTACAAAGCGAGCGAGCGGTTCGACATGGACTACTATCTCAAAAACCACATGCCCCTCGTACAAAAGACCTGGGCAAGCGCCGGCCTCAAGAGCTGGAAGGTAGCTCAGTACAGTAACGCCGATTCCCCATACGCCGTCATGGCGTGGCTCGAGTTCGGGGAGCTATCACAGTGGGAAAAGGCTACCTCGGCTCCGGAGGCTGCTTCAGTCTTTGCCGATATCGCCAACTTCACCGATGCGGTGCCAGACAGGCTCTTTGGGACACTTACCGGATCTGCGACGTCTTAAGGCAGTGTGGCGCGTTGATCTCATTCATAGACGGGAATTTTGTCTGAGCTCTTCTTGCCGGTGGATGGTTGGCGAACGTAGTGGCGTCGAAGTACCTGATACTTTTTCGGGCGGCGGGAGGGGGTCCGGAAGCTGAGTAATGGTCTCATGTACCAGCATCACATTTCACAATCCTTCGCCGCGTATGCAATCCTGGCTTGTGGTCGATATTTATTCTTATAATTAACCTCAATATGTTAACATTTATTGAAGAAGAATTGATGTTATACCTAAGGGTAGCTGTAAATTGAACCGATGGCGACGAATCAGAACCCCTTTAAAATCAGCTCGTAAGGCCGACGCTTTCACTAAAGGCATCTAGATGGACAACTAGGCACTGATAATAATGATGAATCGCTGGCTCTAGTTTAGATCATGGCCATGCTAATCATAATACTTCTGATTAACACCCGCGATAATCTCCTTCTCCCGCTGGTCAACCAATCCCGTACGGAACCTATGATCCTTCGCGATTCGCGCCCTCGCCCATTCTATAACCTCATTAGCAACTTATCGCACCCTTATAGTTTCCTCATGATTTAGGCACATACCTTCCGCAGTAACATCACGCGCAAACAGCTCCGTCTCCACCTGCAGCCCAAGCTGTCTTAACAACGGGCTCTCCACAGGTTTCAACAGAATCTTAGCCTCCGGCCTCGCGAAGTAAATCAAGCTCAACCTCGGCCTGTCCGTCTGGTCCTCCGGCGGCCGTATCACGCGGTGCACAGTACTCTTCAAGTACCCACCGCTCAGAAACTCCAGCGCGTCCGCGATGTTCACGATGATCGCGTCCCGCGGCGACCTGACGTACTGCCACCGCCCCTCCGGCGTCTGCACCTGCAGCCCGGCGATCGGCTGGTGGAAGAGGAAGGTTAGCGTGTTGTAGTCCGTGTGCCCCTTCGCCCAGATATTCCCCACTTGCGCGTCTTGCTCGGCTGCGCGTGGGTAGTACTTCATGTACCGCAGGTACTCCAGCCCTTCTGCGTCATAGCGGTGGCGCGAGGTTAGGTACTCTTCGTCGATTTCGAGCACGTAGGCGAAGAGGCGTAATAGTGGCAGCAAGACATCGTTGTGGATCTTCAGCGAGAAGTCGCGGATCTCGTCCCAGTGGTCTTTGATCAGCTGCGGGTGCGGGCGCTCGTGCTCAGGTGTGAATTTCGGGATGTTGTATCGCTCGTCGTTGTCCCGTCCCGCGAGCTTGCCTGTGGACTGCGGCTTGTAGCCCCTGAAATCACCCTTGGCGGTGTCGCAGGAGTACTTGAGCTTTTCTTCGAGGGGCAGCTGGAAGAATGCTTCGCATAGCGCGTATTGACGCCTTACGGATTCGTCGGAGAAACCGTGGCCGGTGACGTAGAAGAAGCCTGTGTTTGATTTAGTCATAGTTTTCACCCGAAAGGAGTGGAGGGTTAGTCTTACCATTTTTATTGATGAACCTCAAGACTTGCTCTGCGAGCTCCTGTTTTCCCCCTGGCTGGTCGAGCTTAGAGATGTCGAGCGCTTCTAGCTCTGCATATTCTACTATTTAAGATATCGTCAGTATTGTGGACAAACAGTCGCCAGGTATGCACATACATTGCTCCTGGGTCTCCTTCGGGTACTCGTACGATAAGGGGGCTTCCACCCGGGACGGCGACATTTTTACTGCGCACCTACCGTAAACTATGTCGATTTGAATGATATAGTGGCCTGTAAGTTTGGTATTTTCGCTTGTCCAATGTGACTTATAAAATAAATAATCAATCTATGCTTCCGATTATACTGTAGAGCGGGGAAGTTGAACCTTGAATTAATCCTACATCGCAGATGTCTCTAATCGGATTGGACGAATGAAGTCCATATAAAATGATGCCATTATGAGCTACGAAGGCTAAATCGCAACTACAACTTTTTGAGTAATAAGTCAACAACATATAATGTAGTAACATCACGAAGACACAGAGAATTCAAACTCACATCAATGACCTCCTATTTTAACCACCATTTACATCTTAACGCTACTTGACGCTTAACCATGCATGACCTCCATTCATATACCTATCCTTCAGAATCAAAACAGCTTATGCGGTATTAGTGATACTCCGAATCTCTCTTTAAATGATTAGTTCCGTGTTTAGATGAAGAGAAACATTGCTAAGAGAGGTAGAATCTTCATGTTGTCAACCCCTATTCAGAAAATTAGTTAGAACTAAGAGAAAGGAAAGAGCTCCGCCTTTAGCCGAGACATTCGAGCCTCGGTACCAATCGGAGAATTCGGTACGTACAAGCGTACAGGCTGACAGGGTTTAGCTGGATTATCTAAGACAGTCCGAGTAAAACACCAACAAAAGCTCCAAATCTGACTGGAGACTCAATTGTACGCAGCAAAAACCATCATGACCAGAGAATAAAACCGTCGTTGGTTCTGAGTTATGGCCGTCGTCCAATTCTCTCCTCTTAAACTTCTTAGTGATCACGTATACCGGGATTTAATTTAATCTTATCTTTTTCCCTTTCAATTGATTCCAATCAACACAACACAAATGGCGCATTGCATGTTCAGATCACGTGCCCTATTGCCATGCAGGGTCATGCAATCAAATGCTAGTATTTTATTCGCATCCACGAAACCATTGCCGTCGCTATGGCAGAGGCAAAGACCACAACAACAGAGATGGAGTTCCCACTCGCCTCTGGGCATAATGTCGGGTCCTCCGAGGAAAAAAGTGACGGTGGCGAGTATTCAGTCTTTGTATGAAAAGGAGGAACCAATCACAGTGATGACTGCGCATGATTTCCCCAGTGCGCATGTCGCCGACGCCGCAGGAATGGACATCATACTAGTTGGTGACAGCTTGGCGATGGTCGCATTGGGTATGGAAGATACCAGTGAAGTGACAGTGGACGATATGCTTCTGCACTGCCGATCAGTGGCGCGTGCCACCAGATCAGCCTTCACAGTAAGATCCCACGTAACTCCGATGATGTGAGATATGAATGGCTAATAATAAATAAGGTCGGAGATCTCCCCATGGGATCATATGAAATCTCACCGGAACAAGCCCTAAAAACGGCTATACGGTTTATTAAACAGGGCCGCGTGCAAGGTGTCAAGTTAGAAGGTGGAAAAGAGATGGTGCCAACTATTTCTAAATTAACCCAAGCCGGCATACCTGTTATGGCGCATGTCGGTCTCACACCTCAACGCCAGAATTCCCTTGGAGGATTTAGGGTCCAGGGGAAAACATCGGAAAGTGCGATGGGGGTTCTCGAAGATGCACTAGCCGTCGAAGAAGCCGGATGTTTCGCCATGATTGTAGAAGCTGTCCCGGCGGAGGTCGCCAGTATCATCACGCAGAAGTTGTCCGTCCCGACCATCGGCATTGGCGCGGGAAATGGATGTTCTGGCCAGGTGCTCGTCCAAGTCGACATGACCGGATATTTCCCGCCAGGTCGTTTCATTCCCAAGTTCGTGAAGCAATACGGAAACGTGTGGGCGGAAAGCCTGCGAGCGATCGAGTTGTACCGAGAAGAGGTAAAATCGCGTCAATATCCAGCCAAGGAGCATACCTACCCGATTCCTAGGGAGGAACTAAAGGCGTTTGAAAAGGAAGTTGAGGAGCTATATCCCGAGGCCCCTGAGTCCGATCCCTCACTAGGAGGCATTTTTTGATAATGTAGAATCCTCAGTTTGGATTTACTATATCAGCGTGAGTAGGCGGGTGGGAATTTTCATGGAGAGCGTGTTCGTTATGAAATTCACGGCTCATCCAAACGCAGGGGTGATCGAATACACCACGATCAACTGATCGCTTGAATCCTTAAAGCACTATTTGAGAAATTAGCATTTCGTAGATATCCTAATGAATAATAACGCGCGTACCCTATGCAAGTTGCCGACAATTTCATCTAAAGCGGGTGCAAATGCACTGTTAACGTAGAGGAATAAGCCATCCGTCGGGCTAAGCCGAAGCGCCTTGCGCAGGTGAGACACGACAGCTTCAAACTTCTGCGTCGCGCCTATTCGTCGCACTTCGCGCTTCAGTTGAGGAGCAGATCCGACAGCCTTGAAACGGATAAGAATGCGTTCCTGCTCAAATTCGCCAGCACTAGCGAGCGCTGAACTAGCATCTTGAGGTAACGCGGTGAGAACGGCTGAGGCAGTCATGGTGAGTGGGAGGTCCGGTGATGTTGGCCGGTCCGGAATGGGGGAGGCCGGGGGAGATGGGGATGGCTGTTCGGGTACGTCTGGGTACTCCATCTTGCGTCACGTATTTCCCTTATTTCCTACGTATTATCGCGAGCAGTGATAGGGAAAATGTTTCCTAATGAATGGGTCGCTTAGCTGGAAAAATCCCGACTTGTCGCAGGTAGATGATAAGGTCTACTAATGTTTCGAGGTGGAAAAGTGATCGAGCAGATCGAAACCAGGCAACGAACTGTCAGCAAGCCACATTCGTGATCCATGTGACAGCGTGGCTTAATCTGAGGCTAGTGGCGCTATAACCCCACTCTGTGTAACAATTTCCCCCCTTTATTTCCCCCAAGTAATTTTCATTTCGTGACTGCAACGAAAAAGCAAAAGTTCGACCAAAAATTCGCAAGCAGTTTTTGGAATCTACAAGCCTACACCAATAACTCGGCCACTTACTTTCACGTTACCGTTGAATGTTTTTAAATCATTTTGAACCGAGGAAAATGTAATTTCTTATCATAACAGAAAATATGACTACGCGAGTAGTTGGTTGGTACCTATTCGTTACAGTCTAAGCCGGTCAAAAGATTCTTGCAGTGGCTCGTTTACGCCAGTTCTACCTCAATCACGCCTTCAAATCCTCGGGGATCCATCGTGACCGATACCATCTCTAATCCCGCCTCATTTATCACCTTCTTCCATTCAGCTTCGGTTCTCTCATAGGCAGAAAGATTTGCCACTATAGCAACCAGAGTTAGCGATCTCTCCTTGGAGAAAGGGAGCAATAACTTCTCAATTAATTTGGTTAAGAGCTAAGACGCTAGAGACAAGCCATAGAGTGGGGGAAATAGCGCTCGGTTTTACTTACTCAAGCTGACATCTAGAGATGCTTGGTACATGCTTGCACCTGTACGCGGCATTACGATCTCACATATAAGAATCTTAGAATATCCCCTTTTCAATGCCGGCTTGATGTTTTGCAGAATCTGAATTGCTAATGCGTCTGGCCAGTCATGGAGTACCATGTGTAAGAAGTACGCGCGACTTCCTGTTACACAGCATTAGTTCCGAGTCATGGTCACCGGTGATGATGTTGGAATAGAGATCTTACCATGGAGCGGCTCAGGCTTAAAGAAGTTGTATTCCATAAGCTTTATCTTCTCCGTATTAAGAGTGACGCCTGAGATGGCGCCGGCTAGATCCTGGAGAACTAGAGCACCAGTCGGCAGATCTGGGTGCTTGTCCAAAACTTTAAGGAGATCCGCGCCGTGGAGACCTCCGACATCGACAACAAGCGGGCCAGAGGATAGGTCCGCTCCTTCGATGAGAGACGCCGTATCATAGAATTCTGTCCACGGAACCCTATACTTCGAGTACTCATATAAGAAACCTCTAAGGCTATCTCGGTAACTCTTGTTGGTCAGGAATCTGTCGAAGATGGGTAGCCTTTCTGGGTTTGCGTCGATGTAACTTGTGTTCTTCGCATCCTTAGGTTCCCGATACGATGTCTTGGCCAGAAACGACGGCAGATTCAGATGGGACATATCCCAATGGTCAGTCCTAGGATATATCAGCAATTATGAAGATCAACTCAACAAGAAAGCACTTACTTCGAAATGATTGCTTGTGCCATGCAAGTAGAATCATCACCGATTGAAAGTGAGAACTGAGTTGGTTTGTACCGATCTTCCCCTGTTTCTTCGATGATATTTGCAGCCCCCAAAAGCCGGAGCAGGCGACCTATACAAATATTAATTTTCAGCTCATGAATTTAACTAAAATGTGAATAGGCATACGAAGGAGGTTTAGCTCGCAAGCTTTCGTAGTTAGTCCCACCAACTCCTTGACAGGCTTTTCTCCTCCGCCAGCTGCAGTCCATCCATGCCAAAGGCCAATGTCGATACAAACCCTCAGCGCTGCATCTACAAGCGACTGTTGGTACGCGATCTCATAAGCCTTTTCTCCGTTGGACTGTAGGCGGCTGACTAGTTTGCGAGCAATCGCCAACATTTGCAACCTCTCGGCATTGTAGCCTTCGAAGTCGGCAGCCGTGAAGGCTTCAAGCTTATTCAGAACCAAATCGAGACCCTCCATTGATAATGATGGTCTCAGAATAATGTATGAGAAATTCAAGAATCTTAATCTTCTCGATCTACCAGTGGTGGCCTCGCAACATATATGGCAGGTGCTCCGGGCACTTCTCAGCCAAGGTTGCAACCATGGCCGCATTTATGTGCATAGTGGTGTCAGCGCCGATGTGTAAGTCTTCTTCATGATACGTGCCACATCGACGAAGTGTCACCCAACCAACTTCACAATAAAAAGCACAACTTGGTCACAGCGACAAGACACCCGTAGGCACATAATCAAAAGAGCCAATTAACATAGAGCCAGCCGGATCTCCGAACCGAATGCAGAGTGACAGAGTCAATAGTAAGATGGCGCAGTGTTCTCGTGCATCCAAAATTCTTTCATTCAATCGCCAACGCTCGTCAACGGCATCATTGATAGGGTATGCTAAAAAGCATATGGTGTCTAGAACGCACCAAACAAGGCAGCACAGTAGTATACGGCATTATCACGAAATCATAACTAAGAGATTATTTTTCGCCACTATTACATATTCTCAGCAGCACCTTGCGATCACGTACATATTATACGCAAAAGGCTACTATTGTGTGTTAAAAAAGGCACTCTCGTGATACCAAATTATCTTCTAGCGTCATCGAATTCCCTATACATACTGGTATAAGAAAAGAAGAGCGCTGAGAGTGGGGGTACGGCCGCCTAGACGTGCCATGTGCCCGTGTCAGCTCGCTTACAGAAGGAATTGCATTTTTTAGCACCTACGATCCGCTGATGTAATTGGTCGTATTTGACGATTAGAAATAGGATCTCGGTCTTGGTCCCCCCAATTCATTTCCAGCGCCCTTCTCGGTATCTCCGACATTACGTTGGCAACGACCGGCATGACCATGTCTTCTTGCGATGAATGTCTTCGTCTCGGCATTCCGCGCGCTATCCACCAGTTGCAGTATACGGAAGGGACCGGCCGGCCAGATGATGACGAGGCTGGCTGGATGTACGGATGGCATAATCGTGCCCGCGACGTCTTTCGGTGTGCGGAGGTGTCGAAATGCGGGCTGTGTGTCGCGGTGGCGAGGGGTTGGCAGGACTACCGCGCCGCGGCTATCATCGATAGTTCGAAAGACGGCATGATAGACGCTCAGGTGCCACCTGATGATTTAGATGCTGACGTCCAGAACATACCCGCATATAACAACGGCGAAGTCCAAACTGTAGTTCTGCGGTTAGAGCGCGCGGACGATGGACGCCAAAGGTGGAGCTACGCCTTACGCGTAGCCTGCATACCAGAGTCGACAGTTGGTTGGGATGTACACCATGAACTCTTCGCCGAGCTAAAAATAGCGAAAAACTCACGTTTAAGGAACTCCGGTGAGGATTCTTACGGCCACCTTGATATGGACTGGACAGTATCGGAAAGCCCAACGTCCGCCGAATCTGTCAAAGTCGCCAGATCATGGTTGGAGACTTGTGTTTCCAACCACTCTTCGTGTCATCAGGAGGATGGGAATTCCAAAATGCCATCGAGATTCCTCGATCTCGGCGATCCAAACTACCCAGACTTCGTAGTTCTTAGGGAGACAAGCGACTACCATGGAATCCCACCCACAGATTTAAGATATGTAGCGTTAAGCCATTGCTGGGGTACAGCGCGAATTATCACGACCGTACGAGCTAACATAGAGGACCACAAACGCGCTATAAAATTCGGATCCCTACCCCAAACATTCAAAGATGCAATACAAATCGTCCAGAAATTCCAGCTGCGGTATATCTGGATCGACAGCCTATGCATCATCCAAGACGACACCGACGACTGGGAGAAGGAAGCAGCTCAAATGGCAGACGTATATCGAAACGCATACTTCGTCCTCGGCGCCACGAGAGGAGAATCCGATACCATAGGATTTCTCTCCCCTAGACAAAGAGCACCAGGCTCTACGGTATTCAGCGACTTTACGTTCTCCCCACTACCACCTCTACTCCACCGATGGACCACAGGAGTCGACATGATGAAAAACGAACCCCTAAGCGATCGGGCATGGTGTCTACAGGAACGGTACCTCGCACGACGTATGCTGATGTACGGAAGCACACAAGCGGCATGGGAATGCGCGGAACTGCGCGCAAGCGAAGACGGCGAGTCGATATACGAGGAAGGAGACCAGTTGTCGCGCATCCTGCAAACAGCAAACACTGGAATATCTGTTTTCGGCGACGTCTTGCCTACGGCGTGGAACACAGACCTCCTGCCGCGGAGGCGTGAGACGGTTGTGAGGTACGCGGATTGGTATCGCATGGTCGAGCAATACACCACGCGGAACATAACCAAGGACCCCGACCGGCTACCTGCGCTGCTTGGTGTGGCTAACGCGCTTGGCGCTATCACTGGAGATGAGTATATCGCCGGGATCTGGCTTGGAGGTTTGTTGGAAGGATTGGCTTGGTGCGCTGTGGATAAAGATGGGCTGCAAGAACCCCAGGCCACGACTAGCCCATCGTGGTCGTGGGTTTCTGTGAAAGGGCCTGTGCAGTTTCCGGTTTATTCTTGGTACGAGTATAGCCAAGGATGGCAGTTTGAGCAAGTGAAATTCGTTCCTTTAGCTGGCTACGTTGAACACTCTTTGGTTGGAGGTACGTTACATCTAACGGCCCCGATTGTAGCAGTTACGGGACATCACCAGAGACCAGTGAAACAACCCGTGAACACGGAAAATTGGGTGCCAGAGCCACAATTCTCTCCGAGTACTGATACTGTTTTCGGCTTTCGGCATGGATCTAGGGAGGTTTGGGTAGAGGGGGGATTTGATATCAAACAGAAACAAAATCATCAGTGTCCGTTGTTTGTCATGTTTCTCGTCAGACTCCCTTTTCACCTCGGGGAAGAACAACTCTATCGTTGTTTGGGTCTTGTTTTGGAAATGACAGGGACTGCTTATGAGAGAGTTGGCTTTGTTGACAGCTGCATCCTCGAAGCTGAAAATATTGATGGCAGGCGACGTTTCTTGAATCTCCCTGTAGACATTAATATCTTCGGGTATCAAGAGGCCGCCGAACTTGATAGCCCTGACACAGAGGAGAATTTTGTTGTAGATAGACAGCAGGTCATCTTAAAGTAATTAAGAAGATAGGGGTCTATAGCCTTAGGCACCTAGTTACAAGTAGTTTCAAACCGATCAAATTCAGCAACGGTACGTATACCCGCCTACCTGGTAAGCAGGTTACGCCAAACATTAATGTAGGATTGTATAACAGGTACTAAGTAAGTATTGATAGTTTCTCAGAATTATTGTTTAAACAAAACAGACAATCAACCAGCCCGTAACCCTGTAACAACAATTTATGCCAGATGGAAGACTACAAAAATAACTCCGAATCGGGGAATCGAACCCCGGGCTTGGCGGATCACTTCAGATAATAGATTGCCTACATCTGGGGGTGAGAGCACCAAATGTTAGCCACTACACCAATTCGGATTTGACCATAGAAGCTGGTTGCGATGCGATATGAAGACCACTCTGTTCAAATTTGTGTTATATGCCCTAATCCTGTTAGCGTTATTGTCCGGTCATATAAAAATTTAACCCGATGACAGCGTAAAACTGGAAGCTCTGGAAGATTTTAACTAATAATATTTCTAGGGCTAGGTCTGTAGCGTTAAGTCTATAGTTGAGGTTAAAAACCTGCAAGATTCGTAATTCATCTCGAGCCAGCTTGAGCCACAGCGCGGCGTTCTTATTTTACTTCACTAGCTTATTATTCGGTCTCTTCTTCCTCATCTCCTTCATCCTCCTCTCCCTCATCTCCTTCATCCTCATCTCCGTCATCCTCTTCATCCGAGTCCCCGCCAATCCCGAGATTCGATAAGTTCGAGCTTGCTTTGCGGATTGTAGTGTTCGCAACAACCACAACTGCCGTCGCGTTCGGTAACTCTTCTTCCCCTTCCTCTTTAATCCCGTGCTCTAGTACCAATGTACTAGATATACTTGCCACGTCTTGGCCGAGGTGCTCCACGAAACCTAAAAGCTGGTTCCTCTTAACATACTTTCCCCTCGTCCCCCAGTACCTATTCCCGAGTTCGACCTCCTTGTCTACGCCGATTCCTCTCGTCGGCTTGTTGCGGTAAGATAAGTTTACTACCGCGTTTAAATATGTCCACCACATAAACCGAGCGCGAGGACGAAAGTTGGTGCGGAATGTGAGCCGCCTTCCGTCGAGATCTTTGACTGACTGGATATTATATACTGAAGAGAATTCGAATACGGTACTTAGCCTTTTCCTAAGGCTTTTCGAATTTTCGAGGACTATGAGTTTGTATTCTTTGGGATCTGAATTCTCCCAATCCTTGACGTGCTGTCGACGGTTGATCATATCCGTATTGGGGTCTTCGTTAACGTCTGGTTCAAGGCGGACGTCTGGTACTATGGCGATGTACCCCAATTCCAGCGCCTTTTCAATGTCGGGACATAAGAATAATCCATTAGAGGCTGTCATTAGCTCTTTTTTTGCTCCCTCCCCGAATATAATATCCATATGCTCGATAGACTTCGCAGGATACAGATGTGCAGCGTGTACCCACTCGCTGCGCAACCAGGCACCGCAGACTGGTTCCCAGATTTTATCTTTCTTCTTCTCTTGAGATTCACCCTCGTGGTATTTATCCATCATCTCAGCTCGCATCTTGCTCTGCTCTTGGCTGCTTCTTCGACCAAATGAGGCTGCACCCAAGCCAAACCCACTCGCCGCGCCGAAAAATAGTTTGACCCACGATTCGAGAAGTGGGTGTTGTTTAGAGAGTCGAGTCGATTGAGATTTTGCAGCTGATAGCTTTAGGTCTATAGCGCTTCGTTTTCGTCCTAATTCTAGGCCCATATCTACTGAACGTAGCCATTCGTTATAGGTTAGATGTGAATTCGACCCCTCCGTGTGTCCTCTAAATGCCATGAGGCTAGTGCATTCATGGAGTTCCTTCTCCATTTCGAGAACTTCTAGATGGGAAGACCAGTATTCGGAATCGAAGGAAGAACTAGGCTTGAGATCCATTCTTCTCTTTTTAATGAGACAACCTAGATCCGATTTTTTGGTTTCCAATTGATGGATGGTCATATCCTTTAGAGTGCGTTTGCTCGATGTTCTGGATGGTATAGGACCGGCTGGGCCAGAGAATTGAGGCGACATTGGTGGGATTTCTTGAGAATCCATCGTATTTCAATATGTGGGCAACTGTGAGATTGAAGATTGGACTGACAAATGCGTACGTTTCAGAGACACGATTATTTATCTTTAGAAGACTCTCACGAATGCCTTTTCCGAAACGACTGATTCTAGCCTTTTATATACATTTCAATCTTCGAGTAAAGTTTCTTTAGTTTGTACTAGCACTGGCTAATAACGCCTCCTCGCGCCTTCGACACTACGCTTTAATTAGGAAAAAAGGCAGTGACTGTTATAATACCTTATCTTGTATGTGGCGTTTTGTATAATAGGAGGTATCTCCTTAATAAATACACCAAATTCTTAAAGGGGTAAGGATGTTTAGAATGTTAAAGATTGCACCAAAATCCAGTATATCGGCTAACATTCGGAGATGTAGCAGTTGCTGCCCGTTTTCCTGATTAAAGCGCAGTGCCGAAGGCACGAGGAGGCGTTATTAGCTAGGTAGTGCAAGTACCTAAATCGGCAGTAACTTTCCTTTCCTGACGGGCTCTCGCCTGCTTCTAAGTTTCTAGTTTACAATGGTGACTATTTCCAGGCACCTAGAGAAGGAATTCATTACGAACTTAAAAAGTAATTACCTTTTTTTTTATCTTCTTGGAGGCTTCGTGCGCGGTTTGTTTAAAGGCACGGTATGAAGTTTATATAAATTTAAGTATTTTTTTCGACTGGAGTCGCTTTGAATCGTTAACGTTGCTGTTGCCTCTTTCAACCTTGTGCCCTAAAACTTCGAAACACCATCATTCAAATCATTAATATTTCAAAGTTTTAAATTTTTAGTACTTTTATAATAAGACTAGTTATTAAAAACTATATTATAAGTATCAAAATTTATACTAAAACTAGCGTAATCTTCAAAAGAATAATAGTAAACTTTTTAATCACAATAAGTCGAAAAGATAGGTAGGTACCTACTTAGATTTATATATATTTACCTTTCCTGGTACTAGCTTTGGACTTTGAAGAGGTACTAGAGTTTGTTTCAGCACTCATTTTAGCGTAGGTAGGTAGGTAGGTAGGTGCGCTATACAAAGATAGTGCCAACAAATACAGGTGGGTAGGTAAGTAACATTGCCAACTGTACTGTGTAACCATCAGTTTAGTGACTGTGATATGGATTACAATAATGAGCCTACTTAAGCAAATATGTACATGTAATAGGCGAGCCGCATGGAGGAAAGTCAAGTCAACTAAAACCTCTTATAAGAGGTTCTGGGTTGGCATGGTACTCCGAATAGAGGAATTAATGTTCGTGGATATGTATCCCAAGAGCAAACCGAAGTCTCAGTCGAAAGCGATGATAAACAGAACACGTAGATCTACGGTAGGCTACTACCTAGCAGCGTTGACTGACGGGAGATGATTGCGACATAGGTTGGTTACTACGTTCCAATTCAGGGGTTATCCAAGGCCAAAAATTGAACCAATAGGAGAGACGGTCACCCGTGGTAGGATACCCGACAAGTGTTATTACTTAATTTTTGAATTTTTGCATTGATTCTTTACTCGTAGACTACTACTTATACATGCATGATCTATGGATCATATGGTTGCACCGTTGCTTCATCAGTGTCGAATGGTGTTTGTTGTAAAAGCCAGACCTGGTCATGTGAATCAGGTGGCTTTATAGTGCCGACCTTGACCTAACCCCCCCGTAGAACTGCTCAAATCGAACGCCCCTACCACTAGGCCAGCCAAGAACTTGTGATTGTTCGGAGAAGAGAAAATAAAACCGCCCTTCGCCGAGAAAATGCACGATGCCAGGGTGACACCCAGATGCGAAAAAGTAGAACCAAAATGCTAAGACTCCATGCCATGCCGTTATGCCTTTTCCGTTTTAACTTTTAGGAAACGGATCAACTCCAATCGTCTTATCGAACAGAGATGGCTTAGGAAGCCGGAAGAAAAGTAAGGGAAATGGGTATCATCGCGCCGCGAATGCCGAAATTAGAAACAGGTTCATGGTATTCTATGTGCCTGGAGGTGAATTACGAGTGAGCAATTGGGCGTAGAGCAATGTCGGAAGTAATGTGATTTCTGCGAAATGTAGGGGCCACGAGCAAATTAATAAGCTTCTTCAAAATCCGCAAGAGTAGGTGTCCAGGATGCGAAAGACTTGTGTTTAGGTGCGCGTTGAAGTTGGGAAAGGAGATCATCCAGATCTCCCCAGTTGTCATTATCGTCAGCAAATTTGCGATGCTTCTTGGTAAGAATATGCTAAATATACTTTTAGTAATCAGTAAATAAGGGTAGAATTATAAGCTGAAACATACCTCATCGAAATCCGCATACTTCTCCGAGCAGTTCTCGCAGTAACCAGGCTTTAGCTCGGCTTTCTTCGGTTGCGCGGTCTCTCGCTTAGTCGTGCGTGGAACGGCCTTTGAAACAGCCTGAGTGTTCTTGCCGGCTGCCGCCTCCTCTATCATATCAAGTTTTCGGCTCGAAGTACGACTCATAGTACTGAAAGACCGTTTGGCTGGAACCTCATCTCGAAAGCTTGCTTCTCCATTACGACGGGAACTAAAGTCCTGTGAAGTCGCAGTACTATTACGCTTCAAGACTTGACGTTGCAGGCCGTGTACTTCCTTGCTCAACCCGGTGATAACGCCGGGTGTTGTTGCGGTTGACGAAACCATCTGAGATCGAATTGCAGAGGTCACGTTGGAGGGCTGAACACCAGATGCGACGGGTTCACCACCGAAGAGGCGGCTGGCAGAACGACCAGTGAACGCCTGGGGACGAGTATCTGCGAATGGGCCGACGGTAGGTTTCGTTGGGATGGACATTTCAATCGAGGCAATGCTGGAACCACGGCAATGGCCCTTTTGCATCTCACCTAACGATCGCTTGCCAGTCACAGGCTTCGGTGGATCCATCTTCGTGGGAGGTTGGAGAACAGGTTTGGTCTCAGCGGTGGCCCTGGTCACTTGGACTTTTGGCTTGGGTTGAGGCCGGGTATCTCTTGGTTCATACTCATCGATGAACGGGCAGCGTCCCAATGCAGCAGTCCGGAACTGAGGCCACTCTCCCTTAGATTTTTCGGCAACCTTCTTATACTCCCTGACCATGATTGGCTTCTGCTTCTCCTCAAAGTCGTATATATATATGTACGGGCCCTTGAAAAATTGTAGATCCTGGGCGTTTGCGGTGGGATCTCGGTCAGATGGTCCATTGACGCGCTCATTATGGAGAAGATTCAGTAAGTTACGATCTTCGGTCGTGCGAGTCTCGGTGACCCTCGTCTTGCGCGCCCCATAAGCGATTTCTGCACTAACGTAAGGGTCAGTCTCGAGGAGCAGGTCCAACATTCGCTGCAACTTGTCCAAAGACCAAATCTTCTTCCCCATCTCTCTAGCACGGAGAAGCACATCCATATTGCGTTTGGGCGGCTCGATCTGAGTATGAGACGGCATCTTCCGGGTTCGAAGGTCTCCGTCAAATCTACGTTTCGTAGAAGCCTCTGATAGCCGGGTTAATAGAGACGGGTTAATCGTCTTTACTTCTTCCTGGTCCTGCTCTTGGTCCTGGATCTGCTCGGTGTGTTTCTCGCTAGCTGCATGCTCTTCCTCTCGACGGCTTACACTCTTCTCCGAGGGGATCGTTCGGGTGGTGACAACGTGTGTGATATCGATAGAGAAGAAGGCTGCCTCACGCTGTACATAAATATTGTTAGTCAACTGCAAATTTGGGATCGAATGGGGATCAAATAGGCTTGGCAACTTACGGCACCTAATGCTGCGATCTGCTTGGCGAGCTTTTTGTGTGCGTCGTTAGGGACCTTCTCGAAGTAAAATACAAGCTTAGGAAATCTAGCTCGATGATGCTGCTGCCAAACTTGAATCTCTTCAACGTCCTTCTCGGTATAACCTGGGTTGGTGGACACAGCCTGCTGGTGTTGGTGTTGGTGATGATGATGTCCGGATCTCTCCTTTGCCAACTTGTTCTCATAACTGTTCGCGTTGCGACGTGTTTGTATGGGAATCTGACTTCTAGAGGCACGATGCTGTTGCTGCGAAGGAGACTTCAATGGTCGTTGAGAACGGCCCTCAATTATCTGCTTTTTGGCGGGAGGCGGCTGGCCATATTGGTCCTCGCGCTGTAGCTGGGTGGCAGAACGTTTGTGCTTAGCTAAGAGAGCTGAGCTTCGCAGGGGGGAATTGGCAACATTCTGGTTCGTAGAAAGAGGAACTCGTCTGCCAGACATGGTGGGAAACGGAGCAGGAGTTGGTGATAAAGATACGGCTGCCATATAATTGAGGTATTACTCTTAGAAATGTTGTTGTGTGGGGTGGAGATGGCGGTGGGCAGCCTTAGACTAGCAATTTGAAGGTTAAGATGGTCAGATCGTGTATCTTGCTGTGTATCCTGCTGACCAACAATTATTGACTAGTCAGTTGCTAAGGTCAAATTGACTCGGCAACAACAATAAAGTCAAGTCTAAGTCAAAAGACTTTTCATCGATGTTGTTCGTAAGGTTGAACCGAGTTACCCAGACATCTAAGTTATTAGTAGGTAGGTTGGTAGGTTGGTAGGTTGGTAGATATTTTGCTTATGTCCGAACCCTGACCCTTTTAGTTGGCACGCGACGAACCGTGACACAACACGTCGGATTTGAAGGGCAAAACACGCGCGATTATTCGACGTCAGAATGACATTGAGATCAAGCTAAATGAGAAATTAATGATCTTGAATAAATCAATGGGTCAACCGACGCGAGAATAAACTTGAAGATCGACGTGCAAAGGCGTGGAGGTCGAGTCGAACTTGGACAGCTTTAAAGCTTGGTGGTGGGCAAATATTAGAATTCGAGAGTTTAGCTCCAAAGCTTTTGAGGGATGAGTGGACAAACCGCGCTAGCACTAACAATTTCCAAAAATCAACAACAAGGTTGGTGCACGGTCCATTTGACATCACTGTCAGCCCCCACTATTGATGTGCACAGCAACCACAGAAGCCACACGGATACCCCACATACCCACCACCTGTGGCACCCATTTTTGCATTTTATCTTCAAGTCATTAAGTAATCGGCCAATCATCTTTCCAACTTTTCATTTACTCAGCAAAAAAATCCGAAGAAGGTCGACGATTTCAACCCGCCTCAATCCTCCGAATTACAACATCCAATTCGAAACGGTCGCACCAGATCTTAATATATATACCTTGGGTTAAGGATTAAAGACTGTTGGTTACCTACTAAAGTTCTTTCCTTACCCAGGTTCAATTGAACTTAAATATTCATATATTACCCTTTTCGGAAATGTCTCGAGCAATTGGGTGATGCAATTGGTTGATACCTTATTCTCACTCTAATCATGAACCTCCATCGACTCCCATTCTGGCAACTCGGACGACACCTTAAACTTCACCCAAAGCCATCTTCTCCGCAATTGGCACGGCCATTCTCAACCAACCCTACTTCTCGATTCCCGAAACCTTTAATAAAGTCAAAATGCACGAATCTAGAATGTAACTCTAGATCTAAAACGGCCAGAAGGGCCTATTCGACAACCATTTCTGCCAAAGACATTCTCTTCGGGCAACCAGTCTACGAAACACACCCACACCTCCTCAAATCGGGTGAACTTACACCAGGTATCACCGCTCAAGAATATCATGAACGCCGCGTCAAATTAATGAACAGCCTGCCGCCCAATTCTGCTGTCATTCTCCCTTCCGCGACTCTTCACTACCGTTCAGGCGCCGTCTTCTACCCTTTCCGCCAGGAATCCAATTTCTTCTACCTAACCGGCTTTTCCGAACCCGACTCACTCGCCGTGCTAACGAAGACCGGAGAGTCTGACGACTATTTCTTCCACTTATACTGCAGACGAAAAGACCCGAAAGCGGAACAATGGAACGGGCCTTGGAGTGGCATCGACGCTGCGAGGGATGTGTGGAATGCAGACCAATCAGCGGATATTGGACGGGTTGAAAGTCTACTACCCGATGCTCTCAAAGGGATGCAGCAGATCTATACGGATGCCGAGTTGACGAGCAACGGTGTATTTACGAAGTTTGGCAACCTATTGAGTTCAGCAGCTCCCAAAGTGAAGACGGCTCCCCTGAAGCCCTATGTCAACGCCCTTCGTGCCGTCAAGTCTCTCGCCGAGGCGAACAACATGCGACGTGCGGGACGAGATTCCGGAAGGGCACTAACGGAGGCCATGCGACGACCGTGGAAATACGAGAAGGAGCTCGCCGCATTCCTAGAATATCAGTATCAGATGTCTGGTCTAGACGGGTATGCGTATATCCCCGTAGTAGCCGGGGGGCGAAAAGCGCTGCTAATCCACTACGTCCTCAATAACGGCACGCTGAACGATTCTGAATTTGTTCTTGTAGACGCAGGCGGCGAATACGGGACTTACATCACAGACATAACGCGCACGTGGCCAATATCAGGAAGATTCACCCCAGCGCAGAAAGACTTATACAACGCTGTGTTACGCGCGCAGCGATCGTCGATCTCTCTCTGTCGCGCCAGCGCCAACGTCACGCTCGATTCACTGCATCGCATCACGGAGAACGCGCTCTGCGACCAATTACAGCAACTCGGCTTCGACGTGAGCGGCTCCCGCATGGGTACTCTATTCCCACACCACGTTGGGCATTACATCGGGCTCGATGTACACGATGTACCGGGGTATCCGCGTAATGTAGTCCTGAAAGAAGGACACTGCATCACTATCGAGCCTGGAATTTACGTACCCGACGACGAAAGATGGCCGAAGGCTTTCCGGGGCTTGGGGATTCGCATCGAGGACAGCGTGTACGTAGGGGACGATAGCCCCTGGATCTTAACTACGGAGGCGGTTAAAGAGGTTGACGATATAGAGGCGTTGAGAAACTAGAAACAATGCGGGATTACATCGTAGAATGAGTCACCGTCGATAAACTCGATGAAGCTAGCTCAAGATTCATACCGTTCCGTGAGAGCGGATAATGAGTTATGTGGCATGAGATAATAGACTTTACGACGCGTACGCAAGGGACGCATATGCCATCAAGTAAGGCGTCTAATTAACATGGATGGTTTATTGTACATTATCCTAGATACATACACACATGTCTATCCACGGGTAGGCAAATCCAATAGAGGATCACTTCTCAATCTTGGAAGTTCACGAATACGATGGCACGTACCTACCTACTTACTAGGTACCCGGCATCATGAAATTTGTGATGCCTAGGCGGAAGGCGACTAGTAAGAGCCCACCCCTGAGGTTAATGAAAAGGGGGCAAAAATTAGGTCTCGGATGAACTTCAAAGTTCGAAGTTCCCACCCAAAATTCGCATATCCCATTCCAAACAAGAATTCTCCTCTCCCAACATCCACAACAACAAAAAAGTTACCGAGCTACGGAACTGTAATGCATTAGTTTCATACGGAAACCCAACACAATCATAGCGTTTCAATTCCTACGTATTTCCCTTTCCCTAATTCTTTTTTTCTTTCTCTTTCCCTTTTCCGCAACTAGTCGGAGTAGCTATGTAGCAGGAGGGGGGAGGATGGGGAGGAGGCGCGCGCGTTTCTGTCCGCCAAGTAAACCCGGATCGTACGATAATCAGCAGATGGGCCACGTCCGCTTTAAGAAATTCGCTCAACTAGGCAAAATCCGCCTACCGGAGTGTCTAGGTCTGATGTAAGAGACGCAAATAGAGAGCGTGCGCGCGAATCCGAATGAAATCTCTTTCTGCCAGGATAGCCTGGGGTTGTATTCATTTCGATCGAGATCTACCTAGGTAGTGGTTACCTAGGTAGCATGTATGTATTATCGCTAGAGTGAGACGGAAAGGGGATGAGAGTGAGAGAGAAAAAAGACTTTCAAAGTTCTGTCAATGCGCGCCATCTCCCGTAGGAGGCGATAGGTATCATATTTTCAACAATCCCTAAGGTAAAAAAAAGAATCCACTGTCTGCTCGCTTCTGTAAAGCCTCTTTAAAAAAAATACATCTCCTTTTCTCGGTAGATGATAATAAAACACACAAATTCCCACCTCTTAGTTTTCATTCCCTCGTAATTTCAACCCGCGGGATACCTATGCCCCTTAAGCGGTTGTGAAAACTGTATTGTAGGACTCCCAAAACACCGTAAAAACGCCATGATTCTGCCTCAGCGGCAGTTGTCCCCAGTTTAAAAGGCCATTCATCTAGATATGCCCCCAAGACTCTTACTCCCCCTAAGATAGATATAGTTTCAAAAAAATCGATATTTCTTTTCCATAAACCCCAACATGCAACCCGACCGTGTATTTGTACCGGACTCCGATGTGCTTGTTTTTCATACAGTAGTGGTATATATACGTTCGTAGCAGGTGTGTAGATGACAGGTGAAGGTGACTCAGAAGTATAGGTGTTAGATTATATATTCGTATTGTTAATGTCGCTGGTATCGTTTCGTGTACTTCGATACGGAGCGCTCTGAGAAGACCAAGTCCAGCTTTATTCGGGTGGGTTGCGAGTGTTGAGTATCGTTGCTGGGGCAAGATATATGTGCGTCGTCATAACTATGAAGTTGTTGCTAAAGGTTCGGCGTATAATTCGAGGATTAGTGGTGTGAGTGGTGATTGTGACTGGGGACAAATAGTTCAGGATGAAATATGAGATCGTTGCCTAAGAAAAGGCTCGGGGGTTGAAGACAGAAGCGCCATATCCTTGAGGTGCCCAATTTGGTGCGGGTGCGGCGCCGACTAATTGTTCGAAGGCGTGTAATCGACGAGCAAGTTCCTCATTCTTCTGTGCCATCGATCGATTTCTTCGCTCCAGTTGGTGAATATATTCAGTTGCCTTTGTAAGAACAGTGCCCTAAAATTTTAATTAGCCAAAATGTGGTACAAACACCGTATTTGAACATACCTTGCTGACTTTTGGGGCTGTTCGTGATGCGGTGGGATTATCGTTCTCATCGCCGTCTTCTGGGATTGCGCGTAGGGATGGGATAGCATCTCGTAGTTCGGCAATCTTGTCCTTCAAATTGGTACGATATTTTCTTTCAATATCGTTGTGCGCAGCCCTGTCACTATTCCGTGGTTTGTCCTTACTCTTGTCCGCAGTGGCATCTATCGAGTTGGTGCGCGAAGGCGCTTGAGGTCGAGTCATCACTGGCTTATTTCGGGGTTCAGGCGTGTTGCTCTTGCTATCACTCATCGTCGTCGGACTTTGGTTGATTTCAAATCGGAAATCCATACCGGCGGGTTGTCTCGTTTGAATCTGTGGTTGAGGAGCTTGTCCTGTGCCCATAGCAATGGCGAGCAGCCTTTGACGTTCGGGGTCGTTGAATGGGGGGTTCACATTCACGTAGTCCATGCGGAAACCAGGTTGTGGCTGTTCCCAGCTAAGAGGCGTTGAGTAGAGTCTCTCGCGAGGAGGGATGTCTGAAGGAATAGGTGCAGAGTCTGTCTTGCTGAGTTGGTCAGCTAGGGCCATGGAGAAGAGGTCTTCTTCGTCCGACAGCGCGTGATCAAGAGCGCTATCGTCGACCAGGTCAGCAGTTGACGAGGGCGGATAAGCCACTTTGAAACTGTTGCCGGGTCGCCCGACAATCCTCGACCTTGGGTGAGGTTGGGCTAGAGCTGGGGATCGCGTCTATATTTCAGGTGATACATTAGCGCCATTGTTTTGCGCGAAGTTGTAAGTTCTGGTTCTTACAGGTTTGCCTTCAGCGAAAATCTGATCACTCTCGTTATCGCTGTCGAAGCGAAGCCAATAGTCAGAACAGTCTAGAGTAGAAGGGTCCTCGGTGAATCTAGACCTTCTAATATCAGAGCACTGTCGCTTCTTAGGTAGCTCCTGTCCTGTGAGCTTGTGCTTATGGGATGGGTTAGAGATGTTCTGCGAGGCAGTTGAGGCCGGTGAGTCGGCAGCAGTACTAGGAGTTTGACGAGATCCTGAGGTTGGGATAGAGTTCACAACACTTGATTCGGCAGACCTATCTAGTTCGTCCCAAAAGCTAATAGATGAGAGTTGCTGTGAGTAATCTGTTGATTGATCGAAGAATGTCTCGAAAGTCTAAGGGAATGTTAGGGTCTATTTAGATCCAACTAAGGTAGGCAGGTAGGTAGTATTATAGATATAATAGATTTATATCTATATATGATCTAGACGAATGAACGACATTCAGTAACATACCTTGTCGTTACCAGCAGGATAAACGTCAATGTCCTGCATAACACCTGTGTCCATGACGAATCCCACAACAATTTTAGGGCCACCAGTAGGTCTTTGGTGACACTATAGCTTAATTGCTATGGTTTCTTAAAATAGGGGGGAGAGTCCCGGTGTGGGAAGGGTTAATCGGGGGGGATCTAGATCTTGTGAGGTGATGTAGACGGGATCATGCGAAGTCCAGGCTAAGCTTGGCGAGATGGAGATAGACGATGGTCGGATTATTCAGAGGGCAAAAAAGTCAGGTCGACAATTTGCCACGTCCGTTGCCGTACGCCGTTATACAAATCGGGGCGATTGGGTAACGTCAGTCCGGGTAAGGGATGTGAGTTGAGTTGACTGCCCGAGGGCGTGTAAGTCAAGTTGTGTGTGAGTGCAGTGCAGTGCGTATGAAGCCACTAGGCGCAAATAGAGCAAGCCACACACACAGACAGGATAGTATAGTATAGGAAGGATTCTCGTCCTTGATAGGATGGAGAGATATGATATCACCAATATTAGTCGAATAATGCCACAATGGCAAATGGGATGGTGATGATGATGATGATGGTTGATAAAAAATCAAACGATGTTTGAAGAACGAACGATTCAGATCGGTTGGTGCCTTAGTTTATCTAGTCGATTAAGGATTGAAAGTAAAAGATGGGAATTCGAGAATTCGGCTATTAAAGAATAAGAATCAGATCCCACGAACTATGGCCGAGACCGCCCGATGATGCAAGGGTACAAGTTACAATCGAGACCAAATGGCCTGACACGATGCAGAGCAACGGAGACGCTCAGATACATAATTCCAACCCGGGTCCCCAAGGGTTCCAATGGCTCCCGATGGACCCCTAAGGGCGATCCCGAATAGTTACTAAGGGAAAATAATTTATCTTGTTCCCCCATATACGTACGGTACCGTATGGGAGAATATTGTTGTTGGGCCGCGGCATTGGCATTGCCATTAGATGGATAGTCTATTGCGACTTTATTGTTCCATCTAACCTTCCAAGGTTGGAATACATTAGCTTCTGATAGTTTGGTTTGTATGTATGTACGCTGTAAGTATGCTGTAGGTTACTGTAGGTATCTGTAGGTTGCTGTATGCGCGGCTCTCTTTTCCGAATATTCCTAACCACCAGATGTACGGAGGTAAGTATCATACCTACCACCTACCGTACCTATCGTACCTATCGTACCTATCGTACCTATCATAGGTACCCATCATACCCATCGTACGCTATATTCTGTACTTACTATTACTTACCCAATGTACTGGATTATAGGTACATACCTATGAATGGATACCCTCACCAACCTTGGAAGTCGAGTTCAAGAAAAACCCAGAAAAAAAAAAGGTATAAGCGGCGGGAAAATGAAGGACCCAAGAACCCTGGGGTAACCAAACAATCCCACGATTCCCACATTATGGGCTGATGGGCGCAGCGGTCAACTTTTCTCTAGTAATTGGATTGGATTTGTCCGGGTTGCAAATTTCGTCACAGTTCTGACAGGAAAAAAAGGCGAAAAGCGTTGTCATCGGTGCATCGGGGTGTAAAAAATGTGGCCTGATCTTTTGTCTGAATAAAGTCCAACTTCAAGGGGGAGGGTCTAGAATCACGCGTCATGTGGGGTGAATTGCTCAAAGATCAGGCCACTTGCAAGGCTGACCAAAAAATAATCGTATGACACTCCGTTTCCTCTTTTGGAAAGAAGGAGATCAGGGGTTCTAGACGCCGTTACCCGCTGTAATTGGCCAAAACCATATTTACCGAATTTTAATTGGTTGGCTTCTAAAAGTACCCTGTCAAATCAGATCTCTACAAATCTATCAGCCTTGCCTAGTCTCCACTTAACTCGTTCAATTTGCTCCGGAGGAAGCCATGTGCCACATGTCTCGAGGACGATAGAGATTTCCAAATTATCTAATAATGAGGCATGTGGCGGATGTGGCTTATCACTTAAGGAACTAAGAAACTCCAGATAGAAAAAAAACAATAAGAAAGAACTTTGATACCGAATATATGTACCTAGGTACTTTGTACAATACGAACATTTTAGCCAATTCGAACTCCGTTTTCTCCCGCTTCCCAAACTTCCCTCTCTCGGAACATTTTCGCGGTCACGGACAATCATACCGGCTACAACCTACAACCTTACTACTGTACCTTACAACCACCTGGCCACACAACAACAAGAACTTTCACGACGCTTCTCACCGACGTAAACGTAAACGTCAGCAATCGTGCTTCGCAATCTTCTCTTAGCTTAGCTATACAATCCATAATTAATGCATTAGTGCTTCTTACTAGGTATTCCCCTCACCTTCTGGATGATGAATAATGGATGCGTACTTCGTACAGCATAGCATATACAGATACAGCATATTATAGCATTGCAACATACAGCACAGCGCATACATACCTATCTCGTCCGAGGCTACGATGTAGGTGGGCATCGTCAGCTCGCCTCTGTCTCAAAACTCGGCATGGTCCCCTTGGAATCGTCCAGATCTCGGCAACCGCCTACGCTTTTTATCATAGCCTCACCTGGAAGCTCAACAAAATAGGTAATTCAATCCTCCGCTTCCAGCGCCCCCAGAATTGGTGACACCCGGCATTGGTCCCCGTCGAGTCCCCGTCTTATTAGGTAGGGCTCGAGCGCGGTTCCATTGGTTCTTTGCCGATGTTTAGATATTCGGCTAGATCTACTCGATCGTACGATCACAGCGAAATCCTATGCGAGTGATAGCGCGCACGCAGGGTCTTTGCCATTTTTACCTTGCTAGATGTCGCGTGTAGCTGCATACCCGTGCTTGCAGAACCATACAATACTTACTATACCACCTATAGTAACCAGCTCCTTACTATTGTACATATGTAGAGTATTATCCCATGGATCTATGCGAACTATCGTCCTAGCAGCGCAACCTCGTGAACGATTCCGTAGAAGGTCGCCTCCATATAATCTATTCGGACCAACTGGATAGAAAACCGGTCAATGGCCGTAATGCCGGTATCTGCAACCGCTTCTAGCGCCTCTCTGCTGGCTCTGCTGGCTCATCGTGGCTCATCGTGGAAGGCAAAGACGTCCACAGGTTTTGAACTTCCGCATTACCCTAGCTTTTCTCCATCTACCCGTCGATCGGTACTGATCGAAAACCCCAGTCCCTCCTGAGACATTCATCTACGGAGTCGTTATCCTATCACAACTCCAGTGGGCACATCGAGGCTGTTATGCGTATCGATTATGTTTCAACCCGCTCGGACGATGAGACTTACGAACACAAACCCGCGGCACCGGAGTACGGAATATTTCGTAATATGAGGAGTGATTTCCAGGTCCTGTCAACGGGGCCCACCACCAAATGTTCGGCTCACGATGCATGCTTCCGTACTTGCAGTATACTACATTTTTGACCGGTCTCTTATCTTATGATGGCGCTTGCCACATTCTAGACTCTTTTTAAATTAACTTTCAAGGTTTCTGGCCATCCTATCAAGTCACATGGCCACACGCGGCGAGAGTGTTGTTAATAATATCGTATATTTTATAGCCTCAAGTGCCATCGGCGGCAGCTCCCGACCCAAGCTTGTGCGCCCTTAGCGTCATTCAGGCGGGATGTTTTCTCCAGGTTAGGTAAACGGGCCGTTGTAGAGGCTTATTCCCGTGACACCGTAGATTGCGACAACTTCATGAACTGGCATGAACCAGCATGAACAAATTCTCCTGTGATGAAGTCCCACGTGAAGTTTCAGTCCCGTAGATTTCATCTATACGAGGCTGCACAACGCTGAAACCGTGGCTCGGTAAGTCTTATCAAGACACATAGATTTTGGCAGCTGCCTGTAATCCACATGCCGCTAAATAGATAATTTTTGGTTTTCTTAGGGTTTGCCCCTATTTGCCGGCGGCAACTTATTATCGCGGATAGTATAGGGGCTAGCAAGCCCCTTTTTTACTCGATGGGCAGGCTCTGGCAACGTCAACTAAAACGACTTCCTTTGTAGATTCAAGACTTGATTACGAAACATAATTGAAGAATAATGCTCTTAATACCAGCGTAAATATGTTAATTACTAGGTACTTGCGACTAGGTGTATTACGATGCATAATCTTCTAAATATTTCTGCAGGACCTTAACTGTCCCTGAACGAGGCATGGAGTAAACAGCATGGCGTGGGATTCAAACTGCATCATGTAGGTCTACTTGACACAAAACTCTAGTATATCTCTAAGTAGCATCATACCGAAGTTCCGTTTGGTTCAAATAAAATGATTACTATTAGCCGCAACGTTGAATCGCGTGTGAGGCTCATTTACTGTTGAGTCGTGATAACCGAAAACGCCACCTACCCCTTACAAACGCACATGAAGCTGGTTTTTTTCCTTCAGACCTGCATGAGGCTGCAACTCCACTAAAACCAGCATTCACACCTTGATGATTGAGACAGTGACATGAATAATGGGTAATCAGATATGATAAGATTAGCTGATCTGATATCCTACGAGTCGCTTCGTCTTGCAGTGTAAAATTCGAGTCTGTTTGCAAGCGACAAGGGGGTAGACGCCGTGTGCCGGCCGAAAGGATAACGCGATGCCATCAATCCCAGGTATACGTTGACAGTGTCGTGGACTTTAGCTACGAGAGTCGTACGTGATCTACGCCTTTCAAGCAGGTACTGTCATCAAAGCCTCGATGACTTCACATATTTCGATCTCTATATTATGCAGGTACCTCACATAAACAAGTAATGGCTGCCTTGCAGCCAACATGGTCTGATATACTCAATATATTCCTGCAGTAAATTCCTCCTTAGCCGCTGTAGACGGTCCGCCTGCAGAGATTGAGACATCCTCCGACATCTCCTTCCGTATTATGCATCTTACACAACAATCACACAACTTTGGCAGCTCCACAAGACTGCAACGACGACTTGGCTGCAGACGGGAACGGGAATGCATTCGGCTGGAGTCGTTAGTCTTCCTTCGATCCCCTCAACTCGGGATACCTAATTGTCTAGGCCGACCCGGCGCTTTTATCGCCCTGACTAACGAGTGACAACTGTCCGCGGTCCCTTTTGCAACCTCTACGGAGGGGACAAAGAATTGGATGGCTCGTGCCATTCAAGATTGCCCAATTACCTTTCTATGGTTTGTCACTGTGATTGTGCCGATCATTAAGAGGGCTTCCCCATAATATTAATGAGCGACAGCATACCGTACCAATTGCCGTGGGGCTCGTGGGCGGTTAACAAGTCAAAGAGACGAAAACGAAGAAATCTCCAAAATGTAAATAGGAAACAGATTAGGCCAACCACAAGTCACATAGCGACGTGTCTTCACAGACAGCGCAAAGTATGCAGTCAATATCACTATTGCCCTCCGAGCGTGGTCCATTCGAGGTTAGACATCGCGAGTTGAAGAGAAATGGTTTTCCCCAACTTTCCAATTTTCTTGTTTTGTCGGGAGGATTTACCGGGGCTTCCTTATCCAGCATACATAAGTAAAACCTGCATCTACATGCATCCCTAGAGCTAAGCGGGTTGTGAGGCCATCATCCTCCAGAGCCCACTGAAGGAAAGATTCTCCTTCACCAACACCTTCTTCAACAAAGAGCCGTGATGACTTTCTCGTGCTCTTTCATCAAAAGATAGTATTCCCTAGAGTTAAGCCGCATCTAATTTAATAGCCGCTGGACTGGCGCGGATCAACACATCCGCTATAAATGTAATTATACACGAGGCTTGAGAAAATAGAGCAAGATGGTCCGTGTACTGCTAATTCAGCCAATAAAATCTGGTGCTTTGACGTCGTGCCGATCATTAAAGCGCTGCACTGGACTTTATGGAGGCATCTGCTTTGCGCCAGCCTGCAGAATAGGGGTACGTTATGGCTTACGTATGACAACGAGACAATGGTGGTGACTAATCAACCGCTCGCTCCAAACTTTCTAGTTCCGATTCCGAACCTTCCCAAGCCCGATTAATTACGGATCCTCGATGAATATCTACGGAAGTTCGTGACCGGCTTCGGGTGGCTAGTGAAGACCGGGGCGGGAGTAATCTTAGCAAGCACCAAACCCTATGTGGAGATATTTACGGGGCAACCGGGACTGCCTAGACCCCAAATCGGACCTTCCGTAACGCGAAATGTCGGAGTGTGGGGGAGAAAGCACGCCATTGGTAGTACTAGTGCGATCTCGAATTAATAAGCTCTGGAATTGGGGAAACGTTTAGTGGGATATGTACACTAAGTAGTGGGATGTGCTCACCTAAATTTTGTATTTGTCAAGTCGTAACTATCAACTATCAACTAGATATATTAGACTTCACTCATTCACTAACCACCTTCCAGTTTACCAACTATCAGACAGTTAAGTTATATTCGTCTCGACAAACCGACCATAAATCTTCAAGCAGGATGTCTTACAAGTCGGGGGAACACACCTACCCCTCACCGTTAGTGGGATATGAAAACGCCCCAGCGCTTTCGGACGAGAGAAACGAAGACGGGAAGAGCTTCAAAAACCCGGTCAAGGATACCCTAAGTAAGGCGTACACCGAGTTTCCGGACCCGCTAGATAAGGGTCGTCGCGGTGGCTTGTAAGTGTATCTGAGACCGAGCGTTAAAATGACCACTTACTAACATTAGAAATCTCGCCCCCACAGTGACGTGCATATATACTATCTTCAGTCCAACGAAGCTCAGACAAAGTATGCGAAAGAGCTATGGGAGCGCATTAGACATGAGTGTACGTTCCTTCATACCTATTGAGTTAGGTATTGTTTGGGTAAATTCATCAAACACTAACTCTTATACAGTTCCCGAGCTGAGGATATATCGGGTCTGGGACCGACCGATCGGACCGCATCCCCTGGCGATGTTTGAGGTTAATCTCTTCACGCCGGCCCAATTTGGCGCCTTCATCGCCTGGCTCGCCATCTACCGTGGCCCCCTATCTGCGCTGATTCATCCCAATACGGTTGAAGGAGAAGGGGCCGAGGCACAAGCGGTCGACCGTCGAAATCATACACAAAGGGCTATTTGGATGGGTGAAAGACTTCCGCTTGATTTGGACCTGTTTTACTAGAGAGAAGCAATGTCTGATTAAATTTCAAACGATGAGTTCAATTGAATGATGTCATATTGTATTGGATACTGCAATATGTAAGAAAAAGATATTGCTGTATGGGAGCGCAATCTATTATACTCTGTCCGTGCATTTGTCTTAGCTTTATCTTCTGCCAACTCTTTTCCAAGAAACCTTTCTTTTTCACAACACCACACTACGCCCATTTAATATGAAGGAATGTGAACAATTGATTGTGAAAAAGCCCCCTGGCCTTGGCCGTAGGGCTTTCTCTTTTATATTGCTCATAGTATCCGGAATAGGGACCGACCGCAATTGAGGCCGTTGACGCGTGTCGGTCCTACGATCTCGGTATCGACCCCTGTGTACCACAGCAGCCAAAGTTGACGACATCCCGTTTCTTAAACAAAGCTGCAGCCTATCATATCCCTAAAATGATCTTCATTTCATGGATTTCTTGATTCCTGGGGCACGAAGATCTACGGACATAGCCTCGCAGTTTCTGTCTACATCTGGATGTGGCTGACGGTAGGGAGGCGATCTGAGCCATATGATTGGCATGAGATGTTCCGCCTATCTGTCAGCACCGGGAGGATCAGAGCCACATCTCGATCTCTAGCCAATAGAGAGCGACGGCACCGTTATCCGACCTCTGTCTATCAGTTTAAGATCTTTTCAGCTGTTATTATTAGCATGTGTTCGGATCGTTAGCGGAGGAGTTGCTCTTCAGACACCTAGATCCTAGGTACTATGTATAGGTGCAATGGGGGCTGAATTGCGCGTCAGGGTTGATATTGCGACACTACAACTCAGCCCTAGGTGCTATATCTAATGTCCCTACCCGAGTCAGCATGCGCGTAGGTTTCAAGTAGAAATCCCGGCATCGCTTTTCTTTGATGACTATCGCGTTAGAACTTTTATTGGTGGCTATGTACAAAACCTCAACGTGGGCGCTTTTGGATTTTCTCAACCAGCCGACTCGTTAAATCTACAGCATTTCGTTGGATGTTTTTCAGTCGGATGATCTACATCGACCCGATTAGGGTAGAGTTGTGAGGACGCGTGGTTCATTTTCGATTACATGAATATGTCCCTAACCTCTTCGCACGTAACATTCAGCATAGACTGGCAGGCGCCAGCATTTTCGACACTCAATTTTGATCCCCACAATGAAACCATCTGTAAAGCCGCTGGCGCGTGGAAGGCTGCAACCCTGAGCGTCTTCCAGGGGAATCAGAACATTATCACCACTAACTATGTCACGGATTACCTGAAGGCTATTCTGCCCTCTAATGTGACGCGACCAAGCGACTGGGTGTTGATACATTGGTATAATGATTATATCATAAAGGAAGTTATTACAGACGATACGAATTCTACGGTCCCAATCAATGGTTCGCTTGCAGAGAAATTCAATGCGTTTCCCCTTGTCAATTGTACGACCGATATCTGCAAGAATCTCGATTGGATCGGTGACCCGGACGTATCAGGGCGAGGGGTAAGTATCATAGCATGGCATACACAATATGTGGTAAGTTAACTGACACCCTATAGATGTTGATTACATATTACATTGCGGCCGGGCTCGTGACGATATATCTATGTGCACTCACGTTAACCGACACCGGTCTCTTCAGACAACAGTTCCCCACAGGATCAAAGAGAGCTTGGATACTTGCGGCTATCGAGGAATCTGCTAGCACGTTCCTGGATGCAACGCTAATATTTGCCGTCTCGATGCTTGCCGCTGCTTGTTTCCGATTATCTCAAGCTTACTTGCAGGAGTTTGGCCATATCAGTGGTCATTGGATGATCTACGCTTCCATCGGATCCATATATATGTCGACGTTCTCATCCTTACTCCCTTTACTGCTACAGCTATCAGCGCACGGCGTGCGGCATCACTGGCTTCGAGTTGTCATGTGGACACTTGTCATATTGCTTGGCATCGCTAACGAGATCTTGTATGATTATTTCTTCGGAAAGGTGAAGTTTCATCTGTTTTCTCAGTTGAAGGATATGCTTGAAAATATCTGGCTGGGCGTGTGCAGCCCTCTCAAATTGTTGAACTACGGCCTCGACCCGACTCTTCGCATCGCCCAAATTCTATTGGTTCTTAATGCATTTTCCTACATCATATGGATGGCATGTAAGGGAAGAACCGCAAACACCCAGAGATCGCCAAGGCTTAGGCTGTTTCGGCAGAAAGCGGTTCGATTCATCAAGATCTTGAATATGGCGGTCTGTTGTTTGTTGATGTGGTCAATGTTGGGACTTTTCCATATCTATAGAGACAAGGTTAATAATACAGCTGGGAAGGATAACCAGAATTCGGACTGGACGTTCGGCCAAGTCCTCGCCGTTGCCACCTGGGTTCCTGTCCTGGTGGAGTTCGTTACCGTTCTCAAATGTAAGTCCCCTCCCCACTCCCTAGGTAAGCTCCCTTGTTAATGTTATTTAGATGGACCCGAGGAAGGACTCGGCAAGAAGATTTCAAGGAAGTACACCATCATCCCGAATAACTCTTTTGATTACGACCATAATAAAGAGGATTCGCAGTATTTGAAAGTAAACCCTGGGCATTCGAATCTTTGAGTCGATTTTGGTGATGGGTATCATCGAGAAAGGAGGAAAACCACCTCACGAATAATACACAACTTTTGAATAAACGGCATCTATGATACTCCCGTGGATTGTGCTTGAACTACTAAGATTACGACCAAGTAATCGGATACCGTGAATGTTTAGGGAATATTACCTGGGTACTAAGGTATATGGTCACATCAATTTCTACGAATACAATGTTGGCAATGACGCTGCCTGACCCCCCACAAGTCTCCTTTCATACATTTGTTGGCGCTTATCTGACAGTAACTGATGGGCGATGTAGCATCACACTAACCCCTTCCGCGGTTTGTAGCTTCAAACGAAGATGGCCTATTCATCTAGGTGCCTAATCTTTCGGCGCTTCGAATCCCCATTCAACTCCAAATCCAACAAACTTCCCTTCAAGAGCGTCCTTTGCCAATTCCACGGCTCCTCCGTTCTGGTCTTTGGGAACGTGATACCACTTCATGAACACGTCAAAATCCTCCTCCATCTGGTCGAATATCATATTTTGGTACAATTCACCGTGTTGGATAGGTTTGCCCTTTTTCGAAACGAGCTTCCCATCTTCCTCCGTCCATGCCTTGTAGTGTTTGCAAACATTGTCGACAACTTGGATTTTGTCCGAGACAATGATGACTCGGAAAGGCAACTTCTCGAGTGCATCTTCCTCCTCGTCGCTTTCATCATCTTCCAGGTCGTCGTCGTCAAGGATATCTACTTGTCCGGCGCGAGCAGAAATATCCGACTGCAAGGTCCTGGATAAGCTCCTCGCCTCGAGCTTGGCTATCTTTTTTTCTATTTTCGCATCGAGTTTAGCTTCGCGTTTCTCTTCCCCAAATTCTAGCAACAATTCCTTGCGGTCATCGAGAATGAAGGTCTTCATTATCGCAAGGGCATAGTCGACTGCAGTAAGCTCGGCCATTTCGGCGTCCTGGGGACTTGTTATACCCCCGCAAGGTAGTGCTTGATTGTACTTGGAACCTTCGCCAAAGAAGATCCCCACACCTGCCAAATTTCCCACCGGACTCTTGGATGGTTTACCTGGCGCAATGCTGGCGCCGTGGACGAAAATTACGAGAGATGATTCCATAGGCAAACCATATCTATGGGCGTCTAATCCATAATCTCCCATGTCCCAAGCGAGGTGATGTGGATGGTGATGGCCTTCCAGCTTGTCATGTCCAACGAGCCAAGTCAACTGGCAGTGTTCGCAATACTTGAATGCGCCTTGCATCATAGGGTCCGTCAATGGGAGAGGCTTGGGCGGATTATCGAAATCCCACTTGATTCGTTCCTCTCTCCATGGCAGGCCTAACATTTGTTCGTCCCACTGCGGTATAAAGTAGCGAGTGTCATACAGAGAAGTCATAGGCCCTCCCGGGGTTTGCCTGACTACATCCTTTGGATTTGGAGGGTATGTCAGTGTTTTATCTAATTGGGTGTAAGCAAAGGTTAAATAATATAATGATAGCAACTCAAACGAAATGTATTCATACCACTTTCACGGAGCTGTTCAACCGCCGACGGCGTCAATGAGACGTCATCATCAGACTCATAATCTGAATAATCATCAGAGTCATCGAATTCGCCTATATCGTCGGAATCGTAAAAATTGAGATCTCCAGTGGTGGAATCGTAGGGGCCATCATCCCCGCCAAGATGACGAAACCGAGTGACAACATCATCGTCAGAGTCGTTTAAATCGTGAATATCCAAAGGTCGTGACATTATAACAAAAACCTTTGAATGTGAGCCTGAGATACTGTAGTTGAATCGTAAATACCTAGAATGTATCGTGAAGAAAGAGAAAAAAAGGTAATTGCGGTGAGTGTCCTTCTAATGGTCCTATTATGGGGGACGTGCTCAACTAGGGAGTTACCTAACCTACCAAAATACGGTGCGGATTTACAGTGCACCATCCATCACCAGCGATCGTCTACCAAGGCCTCAACCATCCAGGGCCCGCCACCAAAAGCAAAAAGGCGCGGATGACCGGATGAGTACTGGGCATACATAAAGCATAAAGCGCAAGCCATCTCGAAAAAAACCCTCTTCATTACGTCGTACAACTATCCACAAACTCAACAACCTCCCTATTAAACCGTTCAGGCTCTTCATAAAACAACCAATGCCCGGCCTCGAAAACCGACATCCTCGCGCCCCCAGGCCTACTCGTCTCCACCCTCCGCACCGTCTCCCTCATGCCCTCCAGCGGAAAACACCCCGTCCTGCGGCCCGCCATAACCAGCGTCGGCACCGCAATCTCCTCAATCGCCTCGCGGTGATCGTACCTCGTATGATCAGCCAACAGCTTCGCCAACCAAGCCTGGTCGCAGCGGCGACTTATCCCCACGAAAAACTCCTCGTCCCGCCGCCCCGCCTCGTCCGAGATATCGTCCGTCGACGGGTCCGGCAGGTACCGGTACCCGAGACACGCGCGCACGAGCTCGGCATGTGTCGCCGCGGAGTCGTAGATCCACGCCCGCTGCGCGGCTAACATCGTCGCTTCGTCGTAACACCCCAGGTGCGCGCGCGACGCGTCCCAGTCCCCAAACAGCGAGCGGTCCTGCAGCGGGGCCTGGTCCACGAACACGAACCCGCTGAACTCCGCGCTGCCGAACAGCTCGACGTATGTCCAGAGGACCGCGGCCCCGATACTGCATCCCACGGGGACGATCTGCAGCTTCGCCTCCTCGCTGGGGGTTTGGATGTCGTCGTTGTTATCGTCGCTTTGATGCGCGGTGCGCAAATACGCAATCAAGTCCCGCAGATCCGCGGCGAGACGCGCGACGTGGTACCCCCCGCGCGAACGCCCGGAGTTGCCGTGGCCGCGCAGGTCCGGGGCGACGACCCAGTGGTCGTCGGCGAGGGCGCCGACGTTGCGCGTGAAGTACGCGCTGGACCCGCTGAACCCGTGCAGAAGGAGCACGCACGTGGCGTACCGCGCGTCGAGGGTCGCGCCGGGGCCCACGGGAAGCGAGGTCTGGAAGGCCAGCGTGCATCCGTCGTTCGCGGTGCACGAGGCGTATTGCATCCCTGGCTCTGCGGAGGCTAGGGGGAGGGATGCCATTTTAGGTAGGTAGGTGGGCGGATGGGAGACTTAGGTGGGGGTGGGTATGTGGGAGACTGAAGTTGCTCAACCTGGGTTCTGCTGATGTGTAGGTGTGTGTAAGTGTAGGTATGGTTCGGCCGCAAGGTGGCGGTGTGCTATTTTAGATAGGCACGTTAGATACCTTATTGATGGTCGGTGAAGAATGTGTTCATGTTCGAGGAGTAACGTGATGAAAGTGACGTATCGTGAGATCGTCATTTGAATAAAGGTAAATGAATTTGGTTATTTGCAAACCCTTAATTGATATATATCATGGGTATATGAATTCTGTCTAGGTACCTACCGATACTTACCTAGTCTGCTAGTCTAGGGACTTCCCGAAGCTTGAAGCTAAACTTCCGGGACCGTCGGGTTCCGCGATAGGCTGTGGCAAAGAAACAAGTAATTCTAGAACAGTTCCATTACATCCAGGGTCTCGAAGCTCGGCGTAGCTATTCTTATACCCCTTGCATCGTATCCAGGGACAAGATCTTCTAAAATGAATTAGTTAATGCTAATGTAGTTGATATTACTGGAGAAGGGAGTTCGGAATGAAGAACTCATCAGTTGTAGGTAGATACGAATCAGAAAAATAGGTAGTCACAATTAAGGGGGTCTCATCGCGAAGGGAAGTAGGAGTACACATCGTATATTGATAGAATGCTCCATAGTAATGTAGGCCAATGTAGGCCTAACAAAAAGATATCCAAGTCTACTCTGAGTAGCCTCATGATTACGTGTTAAGGCGTCAAACCATTAACGTAAGTGAGCGTATCAGTAGCCTTTGTCGGCTTAAACATACAGCTCGTCTATATCTATTCCTAGCCCTAGGATTGTCAAAAATTGCCGGATGGCCTTTATCCAAGCAGAGGTGAACGCTTTCTCTAGCCCGCTTCACTCTAACCGAAAAACATAATACAAGAATAGAAAATATTATTATCATATATCGTCGCTCAATCGCTCAATCCATCGTGTAGATTATCGCTTGTTGAAATTTAAGAAGCGGCCCTAGTATCAGAATTAGTAAATGTATTAAACATAAAGGATGGAATAAAACTTACCGCAGCGAAGAGGATGATGAGGTTGCTGCCGACGAAAGCTAAGAAAACACCGAGGTCCCTCCACCGGTAATCAAAGCTGAAGCCAAGAGGCTCGTAGAATTGATTGCCCACTTTGTAGGCACAGAACTCGCAAACGTTGGATGCGCTATCCACGAGGTATCCAGCTCCCTTCTGCACGTTGAAGAAGGTGTCCATATACTCGCCACAAGTTTGGTTTGCGGGTGCGGTAAATGTATTCAATTCCGACGGTTTGCAGTTGACCGGAAGGTCCGCTAGAGCTGTAGTTACAGTGCCACCGATAAGGCGTGTGAAGGGGTCCAGTTGGTACAGCCACGCGCGCCAGAAGCCAGGCATTTGCGGGGCAGGGATCGTAACACCGCAGAATAGGGCGAAGGTGATGACGATGAAAGGATCGAATTGACTGGCAACAAATGAAGATGGCGAGATGGAGGCGAGGACTTGACCCAAGGTAACCGCGAAAAATTCGGTAATCAATACCATGAAGTATTGGTAACCGGCACGCGAAGCTTCCGACTGGAAACCCGGGATGAAGTAGAGTGGTAGGAAGAAGAAAACAGAACAAAGAATGGAATAAGGCACCTCTGCAACAATCATAGCAAGAGTGAAAGTGAAAGAGCTGTACATCTTGCTCGACGCTTCGCGGAAGAAGATAGCTCGCTTGATGACGTACATAAGCTCAACTTGTGGCATGAGCAACGCAGGCAACACGGTAACCTGAAACATGACGAAGACCTTGTACTGTAGGGAGGATCGCGAGTAATCAAGGTTCAGGTAAGTTAGACCGGTGAGAAGAGCGATGACAACATGGTTGAAGACTCGAGTAAACAGATAGTTGGGAGATCGCCAGAATGAAAGGTTGGTGCGCTTAATGACAACCTGGAGTTGATGCAACAGGGGTGAAGCGTATTCGCGCTGTAGAGATAAGTCAATTTGTGCGGCGGCCTCTTTACGGGCTTCCTTGAACTGAGAGATTGTGTCCTTGGTGTTAGCAAGTTCAGGGCTGTCGGTCCAGATATCGGCCCAGTCACGGTTTCCAACACGAGGGGTACTTCCAGCACCAATTGCCTCTAGCATGAACTCAGCGATGTTGTCAGAAGGGCCAGCGACTGCGCCATGTCGCGCAAGGTAATCTCGGAGAACAACTGCGTCCTCGCCAATATCACCGAAGTACACGCAGCGACCTCCCCTCTGTAATAGAAGTAGACGGTCGAAGTTCTCGAAAAGAGCGGCGTTCGGTTGGTGGATGGTGCAAAGAATGGCTTGTCCAGCAGCAGCGAGCTTCTTCAAGAATCGAATGATGTTGAAGGCGCTCTGACTGTCGAGACCCGATGTAGGTTCATCGAGGAACAGTAAGAGTTGAGGCTTAGCCGCAAGTTCGACACCAATTGTTACTCGCTTACGCTGCTCAACGGTAAGACCAGCCTCGGGGGTACCAATTATACAGTCTGCGATGCTTTCCATTTCTAACAGAGCGATAATCTCTTCGACATATGCATATTTCTCTTCGCGGGAGGTTTCGAAGGATTGACGTAGATCGGCCGAAAATCGTAGGGCTTCGCGAACAGTCTGGGTCGGGTCGTGCATGTCGAGTTGTTCCGCATACGAAGTAGATCTCTGAAACTCCTTGCCAGGCTTAGCACCATCGACTAAAACGTCACCAGCGATAACACCAATGTTCTTTCTCGATGCTAGGACATCTAACAACGTTGTCTTTCCAGCGCCAGAAGCACCCATAAGAGCGGTTAGTTCACCGGGCTTGCAGTAACCATAGACACTGTTGAGCAGGCGGCGAGTGCCACCGGGGACTGGAACATCGTAATTAAGATCCTCCCAAGTTAGAATGCTAGTAGAATCAATCTTCAAAGTGGTATCCTCTTCTTGTTGCCTTGACTTTTGGCGTTCCAATCGCTTGCTAGCAAGAGCTTCGTTCAATTGTTTTCGTTCGGGGTCGGGTTTCGCAAAGACCTTTGCTTGATTGCCACCCATGCCATATTTGACAAACTCTCCAAGGACGACGTTCATAATAAGGAAGAATACGATGATGGCCATAATAATTCCAAAGTTTCTCCATAAGTCCGAGGGGGCGTAAGAAAACCCTTGGGTGATGTAAGCGGCGCCGCTCACCGTCGCAGTTCCGGGGGTGGAGCCCGCCAACGTGCAGACTTGATGGTTAATGTCGCCGTATGAAGGACCAGAAGGAATGAGAGATTCATTCGAACATGTCAATTCGTTATTACCAAACTCGTTCGCCATCATACTAGAAAAGGCAAGTCCCAAAGCATTTATCCAAAAGATCCATCGTAGCCAGACCTGCTGTGACTGATACTGAATTAAATATCCTGATGTCAGGATAAATAAGGTAACGGTGACAACGGCGAACTTGATAGCGTAGTCGAAATCGGGACTAACGCAACCAATAATACGGAAGTAAAGTGTCATGGCAATGTTACCGACGATAATCAGCAAGTAGAACGTGAAGAAGGCTCCTGGAGTCCGGTTGAGGTTGGCCATGAAGTAAACGATGATCGAGAACACCAAAATACGAACAGCTGAGAACGCAGTATCCACGAATATCTGTGCTATCCACAATGCCGAAGGTCGATGGAAAGCGTATGCTTTGTGCTTGTTCACAATTGGCCGACCTGTCATAGTTTCTCCTAATTCGGAGAAGGCCTCAAAAGCATTGAACAGGAGAGAGATGAAGAGAAGACCACCTTTGCTAAACGCGCTAGCCGAGGTTCGTTGCAGATTCAGGTACAGAGTTCCGAGGACAATTGCGATGACGATGGTTCGAACCCAAGACAGCGACAGACTAAGTTTGTCCTGGAGCTTCAGAGCAAACTGACGTTTCATCAGGGCCCAAACTTGTAGATGGAACCCGACGTTGTAAACAGAGTGCTTGGCACCGGTTCGCTTGCTCTCGCGCACAGCTACGCGGAAATCATCGTGACGGGCGATCTCTTGCTCATGCTGGAGCCTAGTCTTGTATTCCAGCATATCGTTATTTAACCGCTTAGTAAGTTGGGACTTCTCGAAAGCTTCGGCCAGCGACTCAGGGCTATGCGGGGCATTTTGCGGCGAAAATCCGGGGGAGTATTGTCGTTCGAATTCGTCGGTGCAGCCGGTCACATAGTCAGGGGTCGTCTGTCGAGGGCGTGGGAGGAAGCCAAGGCCTTCAAAATAGGCTCGTGCTTCGGTGGCTGGACCGAAGTACACCTGCTTACCAGCATCAATAACCAAAACCTTATCGAACTGTCTATAAATGTTTTCGGATGCCTGGTACAGCGATACGAAGGTAGAGGTCTTGTAGAGGTTGGTCATAATTCGAAGTGACTTGGTGAAGTCGAGGGCTGTGCTAGCGTCAAGTCCTCGAGTGCTGTTATCCCATGACAGAATGCAAGCATTAGTGATCATCATCTCAGCAATAGAGACACGCTTTCTCTCGCCACCGGAAACACCACGGACCAAAGCATCACCAACCACCGTCTTTCTCGTGTGCTCGATGTTGAACATTTTCAGCAACATCGAGATTACGTCCTCCTTGAACTTGTTCTTCGAGGTGCCTGCTGGGAGTTTGTTAGACACCTTGGTATCTAACGCAAAGCGAAGGGTCTGCTCTACGGTGAGAGTGGCGTGATGAATGTCGTCCTCCTGGTTGTAGACTGCTTCGCCACGGTACTGCTCGAATTCCTTAGCCGTGAAAGGTCCGTAGAGGACATCACCCGTAACGCTTGTGTAACCCCATCGTTGATTCGCAATTGACTTCAAAAAGGTTGTGCACCCAGAGCCTGGCTTTCCTAGTACCAGAACCATCTCGCCGGGATCGACGACGCCCTTGAAGTTGTCCAGCAGCGTAACCTCAGTGCCCTTCTGTCCTTTTCCGAGCAGGCTCATCAATGGAGTCCAATAATCAACAAAGTCGATAAACGCGTCAGGGAATGTCTTCACAAAATTGGCGGTGCCGCCCATGCCCTTAACCGTTAGTCCATCCCAGTAGACACCGATATGCTTTGGTTTAATACCCGCCTCTCTCTCGGCATCTAGATCACCTCGCAAAGTCGTCTCGAGATCAAATATCTCGACGGAGTCGTCAGACTGGGGAGAGTCAATGCTGGCATGGCCTTTCTCGACATCATTTTCCCTCCTGCTTCGAGTACGACTTGCTCGAGAAAGCCCAGATAATTCCCTCTGGAGCTCGGCAAAGTCAGCTTCGGCTTGTTCAACCGAAACGCCAGTGTTGATTCGTGAGAAGCCATTGGGATTGTTTTGTCTAGCAGATTCACGCTGTTCCTCAGGATTTACCGTCGCGGTAGAGTTTGAGGATGGCGGCCGCGTGCTCTTAGACGAAGGAGTCGACTCATACTGCTTATCAGGGTCGTTGTTCGTCATGGTTGCGACAGGTTGCGCTAGCGCTACCTAATTAACCACGTAACTTTCCTAGCATACACAGATGTCGAATTAGGGGGTTGTAACTAGTCGGGATCTTTTTTTTTTTTTTAAGTAGAATAGTACGTATTAGTTGCTGTGGTGAAAGTATGTCCTGTGTCCACCTTTAAAATAAAAAACAATCAACAAATGATGGGTTAAACCTCAACTGCTAACCAAACACAGTTGAGGTGAATCTTGTGCAGCTTAAGCAACAAGAGTCGGCCACCCTAGGAAGGATTAGGATGTAACAAATTCAAAGAAAAGTGATGTCTTTATCAAGACTTTTGAGTAAAGGGGAAGTCCACGGGATAATAATAATAAAAAAGATACGGTGAAAGGGCGTATAATAAAGTAATAAGAAAAGCGAAGGCAAGGGTCCTCTAATAGGAAGTGCGCAGCGGCTCAAACCAGGACCTGAGCATCTGGGTTCTTGGCAATCGTGTGGGATTATCAATCAATCCATTGTATTCAACCCACGCCGAATGAGTCGAAGAGAAAATTCCTCTCAACTCCTCCCCGTCTGATAGTAGTGTATCGATGATGAGTGGAGAAAGATTTCGCGTAACCGTAGCATTGGGCAAGAGTTTAGTCTCCACTACATCACCGATAAATGCATAGCCTTCGAAGCCTGGTTTTGAGGACGGGGGGGTCAAACGGGGACCAGACCGGGTTAAACGGGGTATTCGACAAGGGTTCCTTCCCGGAGCATGCAAGCTAGACCGGTCGACGATGCCGGGGTTAATACCATTCTGGTGTAGAAGGCGTTGTCAACCTTATTGTAAATTCTCCACTTATCACTTGGCGTACGTGCTAAACTATCAGGCCAGGCTCTTTTCCAATGTGAATTCTCGCTCTTTTCCCTACGCGATTCCATGGAGCCGGTAACCCATCGGCAAGTTGGCCACACCCATCCGTTTTCTGATGTCAGGGACGCTAGACTTCGGCATCGATAGTTCTGACAAAGATCATGCAGTAGGGCGTGGTCTCGGTGCTTCTGTCAGTCCACGGACGAGACGTGACAGAGTTGGCGCACAGACTGATTAGGTGATTTGGTAGTGTTTCGATTATTATTCTTAGACCGAGAAATATCCTATTCGTCCGTTCTTACCAACTACGCCCGGGATCCCGCACGCCGCACCCGCACCCCGACTTGTGCATCTCGAAGCCCCATGGAATCCGTGGACCCCGACCGAGAATAGCCAAGGTACCGTCCCATGTATGCTGCCAAGGGGCAGCACGTACATATTATGGACTGGTGGGGCTTATCCGTAGGCATGCCATTTTCCTACAGCGTACCACTTCGACTCATCCCACTGAAGGACAAAGCAAATGAGGGTCGTCGAATATCCTGCTGGGTTACATTAGACGCATTGGCTGCAGAGGACAGGCTTATGTACCTACATAACGTGCGTATATACGCATGTATTTGCATATAAAATGCCTATATAATACAGTATCTATGCCGTGCAGGCCGTATTGGCGGGTTCAGTAAGCCTTGGCCTGTCAGAATTATCCTGGATTAGGCCATGTTTCACAATAAAGTGATAGGTTGCCCATGTCGCGATCATTCGCTTATCCATTGGATCTCATATTCGGCTCTCATCTCGGGTTCGGAGGGATATAACTTTGCGAATTACATAACCCGTACTTTAGTATACGAAAAGATTATCTAAGGGTTGCCTTTTTGATACAATTAGATGGCAATGACCGCCGCGGTCGAGTCGCGATTATGAAACATTTGACGAATGGTGCAATCGAGACCGATTATTTAGAATATTACCTGTTGTTGATTGAGTTGAGTTGAGTTGAATTGAATTAATAAATTGAATTTGCCAGGTGGGTTTTGTGACACGATGAGTAAGCTTAGGTACATGCTACATAAAAAAGGCTCCGATATCATATCTTCGACGCCACGCCGCTATGTATGTACATACACTCACTGTACACAGCAAAGTCAGCATCGATATACCTAATCTAGATCAACCATCTCAGGTCATTCGACATCTCCAGTGTTACCAGTTTCAAAATTCCATATCCCGGCAACTCGTTTATTGGTTAGGTAGATCCCCAGATTCGTCTTATGTAAACTCTTGACTTTTAAATCCTGCACCCTGCAACCTCTTTGACCACTATCCTAGACCCTACATATGCCGTGGAACTTGACGCCTTAATCCGACCCATGGAAAGCCAAACCAAATCATGATATATAGGTAACAGACCGCCATTATTTTGTGGTAACATGGAGTCACGATGTTTCCTCCTTGCGACCGGTATGTAGGTATGCACTATGAGCAACAAGCAAACATTGATACCTAATGTGGGATGAGATATCGAAAACTGTATATAAGAGTTGCAATTATCGAATTGATCTCGGGCACTTTTCGATAAATCATTTGAAATAATCACCCCGTCCTGTGTAATCAAAGATGACCATCATTCACGTGACCTTTTCTCGGCTTTTAGATTTTAACGTTCACTAAATGCACTAGCGGCTTTCTACGCTTTCTACGTTTTCTACCACATGTACTTGGCCCGAACTTGGCAAAGCCGCGGAACGGGATGAGCGACCGAAGAGATGTTCTTCTGTGATTGTTTCGCTCGTATATCATCACCGTAGTTTCTCGGCATTTTCAACGGCAGCCAGTCACATGTAAATAGATTTCTCGAGAATAGATTAGCTTATGACTCACTCATATTAGCATCTTTATGGCTTTGAAAAGCTACGTCAGTGACGACGTGGAGATAATACGAACTGCCCGGATAATCTCCGTAACATCCTTGTCGCAGTGAATTTCCTATGAGATCTCACGCAGCCTATCAATCTAACGCTAGCAAGCGTCTAGCTCCCTGAATAAGCTGCAGATTGCAGTTCGTCTCAACCATCATATCACACAATAATTGATCACCATGCATAGTACCTATCTGAGAAGATACTTTAATTGTTTCTTATTTAAGGCAACTAAACGGAGGGATTCTGTCTCAGACGCATGTGCCATAATATTATTATGTAATTAACTCTGTGTTGAAAACAAATTCACATTAATACGTACTAGGTTGTATGTGGGATAGATGTGTTAATGGGTTTATTACGGTACTTGACAACGACCTATAAGAGCCCTCGGCTCCCGGAAGTGCGAAGTACGAATCAAGAAAACAAAATCGACAACTCGAGTTACATATCCACAAAATCCCATCTCGTATGCTCCCGTCCAAGTTTGTGTTACCTATCCCCCTTCCCCCCTTGATGCTAATCAGGCTACAAAGAAAAGCCGGCCTGGACTAGGAACATCAGACTATTTACCAACGCCGGCCATGCATGGTAAGAGAAGAAGAATAGGAGAGGGTTCATTCATCCCTTTCATTCCGTTTCCTATTTGGTATCGCGAACTAATCATCTATGCCGTCTAATTCCCTATCGCCTAAGACAACGACGAGTACATAAAGAGTAGAGGTGGATGAATTTACGACCATGACCCCCCTAAACATTCCAGTTTGTTTAGGTAGAATCACGATCGATTCGGTGTTATAGTTTGGGTTGAGGTGCAGAAGCCTACGAAGGGTAAATGGCAGCGCCACCACCGCCAACCGGGTCACTGCTAATAGACACCTCTTTCTCCTAGAGTTCGGATTCTGCACCGTTCGTCTCCACCGCCATAGGGCTTCCTCCTTGACCATGTCGTCTCCGCGGCCGTAGTCTTCGCACGGGTCGTCCATTAAGATTCATGCTCTCGTCATCATCTTCACTATCAGGATTATCCTCCGCGTAACGACGTGCTTCGTCTAAGTCGGTAATATCATCCGGTTTGTCTCGTAGCCACTGCATCCTTGGGCCAGATCTTGCAACTTCCGAAACCCGGAAACCGTAGATTCGGGGCTCGTAAATCTTGCCCTTGCCTAAGCCGGGAGCGATGTTGCATGTGTACATGCCGTTTAGCATCTCCTTATCGTCATCACTGACGCGCGCGTTCGCAAGCACATCGGCCCCTCGTTTTGTAAGGTCATATTCGGGGAAGGTAAGAAGGAATAGAGCGCCAAAGGTTCGGCCGAAAAAGGCACCGTCGACAGTCTGGAATCGGCTGTTAGGGGGTACGTAGACGTCGAGGCACGAAGGGCAGAAGAGCTTCACCGTCTCTTCGCCCGGTATATCGGAGAGGCCGACGGGAAGAGTTCGAGATAGTTCGCAGTGGCTGCGTGGGCAGACGCCGAAATGGCCTAGCTCGTATTTCTCGGACATCTGTTGGATACCTGCTCGTGAGCAGATAAAGCGCTGGTGAATAAGGCCGTAGAGCATCTCCGCAGATGATTCGATCACAGAGAGATCGCTCGCTATCCGGCTATGGTTACGTCGTTCCCCATGTCGCACACGATCAACACCCTCGATTGATTCATCTTCCTCATCCTCGTCCTCGTCATCTTCTTCGTCATCGTCTTCGGGCTCGACATCGAGTATCATCTAGGGTAATTATTAGTAGAGGACCATATAAGGGATGAAAATTGAAAATTTTACAAAACTGCAAAACAAAGCCTATCTTACCTCTAATGCCTCCTTATACATTGCCACTTGAGTTTGTAATCCAGTTAAGTTAAAATCATCCTCAATAAACTCTTCGGAGACCTCTGCGAAATACTCGTGACCCAGGAGAGAGCAGAATGAGGAGATCCAAGACTCCGGGGTGCCTGAGGAAGAAGACATGATGATAGAAGATGGATGGGCGCGCAGGTTTTAATCGTCAGCTTCGTCGAGTAAATTAGAATTATCTAGGAGCGACGATGGAGAGGTGTAACGTTGAAAGACCCCGCCAGACCGTCTACTTCTCGTGGTTGGGAGGAAAGGAAGCTATGGCACCTGCATGGTGCGAAAAAATAGTAAGGTGAAGGGGAGAAAGGCAGATAGGAATAGAAAAGTGGAATTAACTATTCCGGCGAGGAATTTTTAGTAGATAGATAGTGTCATGCAATGGTGAACCAATATTATGAAGATTAAGCGGTGGTGATGGTGGTGATGCACTGGATGGATGAAGTTTTGGCGGGGAATTGAAGAGGAGCAGTGGGAGAGGCTACCAAAATTAGGATTAGGATTAGGATTAGGATTCAGCCCAGTCTAGCCCAGCCCAGTTTCTGCCAGTTGCGGCCTGCAGTTGGGCAGTTGCCCCGACTAACAAAAGCCAAATTCCATTTGAGATACGTGGTCTGTGCATCCAATGGACCCATTAAATACCCAAAATTCAAGGTGTGTCTGATTACATAATACAATCCTTTGAAGGTTACATAATTCATTCATACAGATCTTCATTCAAATATTTACAACATTGAATTATCTCAACCTAATCTACTTCACAATATGCTAATAACATCTAACCACAATACCGTCATTTCTACCATTCTCATTTAGATACTCTTAATTACTTCTTTCAGATGCTTTCCAGTTTCAGACTTGGACCCAGACCCGGACTCAACTCACGCTTGGCCTCATTCGGCCATGTCTCTCACTGCACAAAGAGACAATCCCGATCTCAGTCGACGTCTACCGACAAACGGTACCATTTCGGTGTGGAAGCTGCAGAAGGAAAGATCGACATAGATTCCTTTCGCAGAATCGCGTGGGATCCCAAAATTCCGTTGCTGCTACGAGCCTCTCACAAATTTCCAGCCAATGAAAAATGGTTTCGGTTTAGTGAAAAAGGGTCCTACCCCAGCTTCTCGCCTTACTTTCTTTCCTTCGCGGATGAAATCCTTCCATATGAATTCACCATTCCTCGTAGCCCTCTCCACAACAGGCCGAATTCGGAACATGAGATCTTATCGGCGTTTCTGGAATGGCTTCTCAGACCACATGAGGATAGAGAACCCCCACTGATTGCGGCGATGGAATCTATAGTGAAATCGATAATCAATGAGACGCGCTCTCCTAATAATCCCTCTAACTTTCAACAATTCGAGGCTCCCGTGGCCCTAATGATAGCCGCATGTCAATTCAATGAAAATAGGGAGTCTGACAAACGATTGAAGAACCTCTATGTAGCCCAATCAGATCTTAGTCACCTACCCGGACCTCTCTTCGGAGATTTACCCGCGCCAGACATTGTCAAACACGCTGGTAAAGGAGACATATATAGTTCAAGTATTTGGCTTGGTCTGCAACCAACATACACTCCGCTGCACCGCGATCCGAATCCGAATCTGTTTTGTCAACTCGTCGGTTCCAAGAAGATACGTCTCATGACACCAGACCGTGGAGATAGAATCTATGCTCACGTCCGTAAGGAACTCGGCCTGAACGGCAACTCACGATTTCGAGGTACAGAGATGATGGAAGGCCGCGAACGCCAATTACTTCATGACGCCGTCTGGAACGATGCGACCATCAGTGAAGTACTCGTCAATCCCACGGATGCCCTATTCATCCCTATGGGTTGGTGGCACAGCGTTGCTAGCAATGGTGCAGAGGGTAATCTTAATGCCTCCGTGAATTGGTGGTTTAGATGAGATTATTAAGCATTGTGCAACGCCAGTTGAACCCAGAGTGATTAGTCAGAGCATCTTGTGTAACAATATCTGTATGCCGAAACTTTTCTTGCTCATGATTTCACTCATTCGCAAGCCTAGAAGAAAATATTGAGTAATAACCCCCAGAACACAGAAGGCTCCTCTTGTTTCATCAATCCAAGAGACACAATATAAACACCCTGAGCGCAGAAGCCTTCATAACCTGCCATCAGACCTGTTCCTCTTAACAGATTGAGCTTCTGACAGGCCACACTCCCACCCATATATTTGAGAGTTTGGACTGTAGCTCCTATAGGATGGAAACCTATGTCTTGGGTACTCGTGAGACGAAGATCGCGAACAACCTCTTTTGGCGCCATATCTATCTTAATATGCCGAAGACGGCTTTTCCATGGCTCACGGCGGGATAATTATGTATTGATGAGTATGAAAACTCATTCAAGATGTAATAGTCACCACCCGACCATGTGACATGCTATAAATAAGAAAATAATGGAACAAAACTTCGATATTTTACGGGCTGGCTTATGGGGTTCACTAGAACTAAGGGGCCAGGTGACGTTATGACTACGTAGGTGAGGCATTCCGCGGGCTATGAAAGATCGAACATATCATTGCCACGTGTAGTTCAAGACACGGAATGATCTTCCAAGGGAGAAAGTACCTGCTACACAGCAATTGTCATTTTTCTTTTCACTATCTAGTTCTATCCTCGGTGACGTCGGCATTGATCACGACATGTTTCTGATTGCCAACACGGTTCTTCCCTTATGACGCGACGAAATACATCTCAGGGGGTCTAATGCAATCACACTACGGTCATGATTATCTAATCGATGACAGGTCGAACGTCTTCCAAAAGAATCATAAGTCGTTATTGTAAAGAACCATCCAGGAATAGATAAACAGGAACAGAGAACCCTGAGATTACACCCTAACCATACAATCAATCCCCATATTCAAACTCCCATCCGAGAAATCAATCATCATGTCAAAGAACACATACAACCAACCCGACACCAAGCGACCCGGAGATCTCTCCACCGAGGCCCCATCCGGCCAAGTCTACGACCAGTCCTACACCACGAAGGGGCCAAGAGACGGCGCTATACCGGTCATCGCCGACGATGAGCAAGTCGAGGACCCTATCAACCCCAAGGACGCAGACTCCGATAAACTGTTAGGTGAGAAGTCTCCTATAGCTACCTAATATCTAGGTACCTTGTTGTCCGTATCATAGTCTAACGCCGTTATCGTGTAGCGCGTGATGATGCCGAAGCCATTGATCAGAAAAACGTGTTGAAGGAACGGACGAGGGGCAAGCAGCCTGGTGGCTCTTATAAGGAGCCGACGGATGAGCAGGTGGGCCTTATGGAGTGATTCGTGTATCATTATTCGTGGGGTTTGGATATTTTTTTTCAGTAATTTGGTTGGAACATTATTCGTTGTTTTGGTTTTTCAGTCTTGTGGAATATCGTGAACGTGTGGTTTGCCTTCGCATTATCTAGGTTGCGATCATGTTGTTCCTTGGTTCGTGCGCTAGCATATCTCGGTCGTCCTCAGCAGTGCGTGAGTCCAAAATAGCGGACGATGCTCCTGCGTCGCTTTGCCGTGCCTCGTCGTAGGTTATGGGATCTTTCTCCGTGTCATTGCCGTTCGGATCTGCCTCTGACATCGGTTCGGTGACGTTCTCCCATGAGTCTTCGTGCAGTTTCGTCATCTCTGACAAAAGATAGATCCGATGTGCCAATTCGAAATCTGCCCCGTTTTCCATCAGCAACAGGGCCATTTCCGGGTTGAAACCGAAACATAATTGCAACGGGACGGTCCCTTCTGGTGAAGGGCTATTCGGGTCTATGCCGGAGTCAAGGAGGAGCTTTGTCATTTCCATATTTCCTCTAATGGCCGTGTAGTGGAGAGCTGGCAGACCTGTCGTAAGAATCAGCTTGTCGGGTATCTTCGCTCCATGGGCTAGTAGGATGGACGCCATGTCAACGTGGTCGAGGAAAATTGCCAGTTCTAGTGGTGTCTGGCCCTCCCAATTCTCGCTCTCTAATTCGCCCTTTTCGACTACCTTTTCGATCGCCTTTCCGAAGGCCTCCATGTCGTCGCGGAAGATAGCATCATGAAGTGGTCTCCCAAGATTTACCAATTGATATGGGGTCGAGCCAAGATAGTCCTCTTTATCGACCATACCAGTTGCTTTGACGAAATCCTTTACCTTGTCGATGCTGTTTTTCCCTGCGAATGCATCCTCTAGGATTTCTCCAATGAGGACTTCCGCCCGCGGCGGTAGGCCATCCCAACTTTTCCGGGCAATGTCTCTTGTCAGGTCTATGAAGCTTCTGCTACCAGGGACGATATCGCATTCAACTGAAGCGCGAGTCATGACTTTGTGAATCACCATCCGTGCTAGGGTCATTCCATTGAATGTTCGGTTGAAGTCTTTCACGGTATCGGCGCTGTTGCATAGCCCGAACGCGCTATAGCCATTCTTATTGAAGGGGCGATCATCAGTAACTGACTCACTCTGGCCGGTAACCTCCCTGAATATGGGGACTAGTGGGGAGTCAGGGGGGAGTGCGACTATCAGGATCATGGGCAGCTCGTCTCCTCTATCATTCGATGTCGCGGTGGCTTTGCCCTTGCCCTTCCTATCATAGGGGCTTCTTTCGTCATGCTCTCCACAATAGAGTTCCGGCTTTTGATCTGACATTTCGCCTGTCTCGAGATTGACATAGAACTCCATGTGTATCAGCCCCAAAGCCGCGACAAATCCCCATCCTGGGGGGAGTCGCCAGGTCTTATGTAGCATTGGGGCCCTTTTCGATGGATCGTTCGACGATTTTGAATTATCTTGCTTTATACCAGTCCGCTCGATTAATGAGAGCCTTTTCGCCTCTTGCAGGTCATGCTCATAGTTATCGACAAAGAGGTCGAGTTGGTCCTTGGCGATTCCAGTCTTGGCTAGTTGGGTTTCGATGAATTTTTGGACGGGGTCGCTACTTTCCCCAGAAGGTAACGGGCGAGGCCAGTGTCCGCGGTACTCGCGGTGTTTGGTGAACATGAGGTTGTGCGTGTTGAGCTCTCCCGTGGACATCTTTGATTGTATGGATTCTAACAACTGTGTTTGCTGATCTCCCATCAATGCGTTCTTTCCTCCTGCTGCACGTAATAGGCGTATGATCAAGTGAATATCTTCTACCCATCTTTCCATCTCAAACCTGCCTCCCGCCATGACCCCGGGAGGATATTCCTCACCACGGAGACTTATATATGCAAGGTCAAGAGCGGTTATCCTTTGGGTATCATCCCCAATAGTCATTTCTACATTGATATCGGCTTTCCATTCTAGGAGGAGTCTCACGGCTTCGACATAGCCGTTCTTAACAAGGAAATGGATTAGTGCCATGCCTCCCCGACGTTCCGTATTGAGCTTATCGGAGAACATTTCGTGGCTGAGTAGAACACGTAGGAGTTCCGTATGAGCCCGATCTGATTGGCGAGTCGGTCTGGGTTCTGCAAAAAGGGTGTACCAAACTGGTATGTAGTCGGGTCCGTAAAAATGAGCTCCTCCACGGTCAATAAACCATTGAACCCCGCCTGTAGATTTGATATCACGGGATCTGAAAAGAATATAGACGAACATGGACGTCCCATCATCATTGATGGACATCCATTGGTCTAGATCTTGGGCAGAGCATCTATCCGCTATGAGATTCGCCGTCTCCAAGTAGCCATCGGCCAGTGCCGCGAAAAGGACGCTGTAAACACCCAACGAAAGGTCCACGGCTGTCGTGTCGGCGCCATTCTCTAGAAGTAGTTTGACGAAGCTAGCCCCCTGTGGGTGTGAACATGCATACCGGAGTGGAGTATGGCCGTGGTCATCAACAGAGCTGAACATTAAAGTCGGAAACTCTTTTATTAGGAACTCGAAGCAGCGAATGGAGTTGAACGCAATGCAACATAGTAGCGCTGGGTTTTCGATATTCTCAGATCCTAGCTTCTTAGTATGTTGTAAATGGTCAAGAAGGGAGAAGTTAGGAGACTGGTGGGATTGAATGTGCCGAATGAATAGCTGAAGGCTGACCAGGTCATCGTGAATAATGGCGTTATACAAAGGGTTCTTGATGGAAATTCCTTCCGTTGGGTCTGCGCCGCTCTCTAGAAGAACTTTTAGACAGCTTTTATACCTGTCATCAAAATCACTACCGTTGATAGCCCGTCGCTCAAGTTCCGTTAGGTCATCATCGTACATGGTATAGGTAAGGAGCTCATTAAGAGGGGCTTCTTTGTGTATCCAGGAAATTGCGAGGCTACGGAGGCTGTGAAGATGTGCTTCTTTGAATATCCACGGCATTGTATCGTTGCGACACATCGAGGGATTCGACTGAAGTAATCCGAGTAGTATCTCGCCGACTTGAGGTTGCAAGTACCTAAAGCTTAGGAATAGAGCAGTCGGAAAATCAATAATAGGCGTATCGGACTCAATGTGAAGACAGAATATCGCAAGAGCTAGCTGCGGCTTTCCGTGGATTATAGCGGATGATATAGGCGAGTAAACCGTGTCCATTACCGGCTTTGCTCCAATGAAGGGCGATTCGCACTTGCGAAGGGCATCTAATCTTGCACCTCTCTCAAAGGCTGGTGTAGCTAGTGCTGAAGCTTCGGCGTCGGTTAGATATACCAGCCAATGGAGTAGATCCGGTAGCAAGCGGTTCAAGTCCTCTACCATTAAACTCCCGTCGAGGATTTGCTCGATCTCGTCAATAGCTCCAGTTTCCATAGCTTGTTGTATTGTTACTAGTGACCCAGAAGGATGGCTCAAGTTTCGGTAAGGTTCGAGTGTATGGAGGTAAATCGCATCCCCTTGTTGTTCCTTGACCATCTGGTAAGCTAAATATCGCTCTCGAATGATTTCTCTAATTATTTTGAAAAGATCTGGCCAGTCAATAGAGAGTCGTTCTAGAGCCAAGTCTGATCCAGAAAGGGCAAGTAATGATAAGCATAGCCGTATAGGAAACCGGGATTGTGTCGTCGTCTCTGTGGCCATCAGTGAGGTTATATGCATCGCTTTTCTAGATCCACAAAGGGCCGAGATACGCATCCATCTTAGCGCTATGTCTAAGTTCGATGATGTTCCCTTCCCGAAATAATGACACATTGCCAATTCCCATGACAAGCGTGCTAGACGTGCTTGCGCGCCGGGGCGAGCTAGACAACCTGGACTTTGGAAGAATTTAGGGGGAGTCAGACGCATCATAGCACGGCGCAGGTTGTCGAAGAGTTCGTCGTGAGATAGAGCTCGTGGCGGAATATCAGTATCTTGACTACTGTCCCAGTGGTTTAGTAGGCTTCCGAAATCCTCAGTAGCAAATGAGCATTGCTCGAAGGTAATTTCTCTGAACTTCAGATCATCTTCTCGGGTATGTTTAGACTTGGTGTCTGCTGTCACATCTTTCCCGGTCAGATGTCCATTCGCCGCAACTTCATCCTCTTCCCTTTGTGGAATGTTAGTATGAGATGGTTGGGTCTCCATTAAGGGGTTTCAAGAAGCCTTACAATATATTCCGACCCGTTTCTCCCTCGAAGTCCCTAAGCGATTTAAGTAGATCGCCCGTATTAGGTCTCCTCCAGAAGTACCTATGTAGCGTTGGCGTCAGAATTTCAAGCAGCTCGGCGTTATCAGCCTTCTCGAGTGGGAACCCATCGAGGAAGGTGTACTCTAGAGCCTGCTTGAGTACGTCAACGCACCCATTCGGACTACTTTTAACAGCCCAAAGCCAGTCTTCTTCCTCGTCTTCTTGGTTGGGTCTTGATAGAAAGCAGGAGCTTCGCCGCCCCAACTTTTGCATTAGCTTCCCGTAATCGGCAGCCCACAGGCTACCCATAACGAGCCCAAGCGAATAGACGTCTGCCTTCTGCCAATCTATGCCAGGATCGTGGTTGATAACCTCTGGAGCACACCACATAGGGGTGATATGAGCCGGCCTGCTGAGCTGTTGTCCGGTCAACTGGAAGCTACCCCCGAAATCAGACAGTTTGGCAATGAGTTGGCGTGATGGGTCATTATGGGTCATGACCAATATGTTGTCCGGTTTTAGGTCACCATGGGCGAGCCCGGCGCGATGAATTGCTTGAAGGCCAAGGGCAACGTCAAAGGTGATATGTCGTTTCTCGGTAGCCGAGAGGCTGGAGTTGGCCGTTCGTATTATTAGATCCAAAGAGCCATGGTCTCCAAGCTGCATGGCTAACACGGGGAACTGGTTTCCCTTGAGCCATCCAACGAAGAGCGGCTGAGCAAGGTTTGGGTGGCCACGAAGAGACGTTCGAAAGGCTGTATGGATCTCGCTTAGAATAGCCTTGTAGACTTCGCGTTTGACCTCCGAATCCTGGGTAACGTCATCATTTTCATTTTGAGCACGGAAGAACTTGACTGCGACGGTAGTGTTTGGTGGCACGATATGTTTGGTATCTTCGCCGGTGACATGTTGTATGACTTGTGAAGTTGACCCACTGCCAAGGGCGAACATCTCTCGCGATGAGCTGTCGCCTAATTGTACTCCAAGATCGTCAATGGGAATAGACGGGACATTGTGCTTTTCAGCTGCTTCGTTGATTTCGTGGAATGTGATGTATCTTTCGGGGTCGTTGGGATCATCTTTCTGATAGGGATATTGGTACCATTCAGACGAGGGTGCTGTCAACAATCTGCCCCCTCCCAAGATTGGCTCCTCGGATTTGAGGCTTAATTCTAAACGTCCAGAGCGTTCCATGACTAAAAATCCGATGAGTAGAAGTTTAAGTTCCGAAGGCAATTGAACAGTTATTAGGAGATAATCAATTATTTTATAAACTTCACATGTTTGATGCTCGCTGACTGCATTGATCTAGACGCGTATTAAAATGCCTTTGCCGTCGTTTTGACGAAAAAGAAAAACATGAGATGGCATAACTATTTCTCTGTCTGGGGAGGAAACCAATTGGCATTGAACTTGATATTGTCTTGCCTTTCAATAATGCGACACATGAGCCGTTTTGGTCGCGGACTGCAAGTACCAAGCGAGGCATCCTATGACATATCCATTAAGACGTCACGAGTCACTCAGCCTACTGAAAGTGACATTAGGCACACAGCCTTGCGAGAAATCCGTTTCGCATGCTTTGAGATACACGAAGAAGGATAGGTAGGTAACTAGACGTCCGATGTATTTGATATCTTATGAAACGATGTAACAGGTCAATGTGGGTGGGGATTCGTTGTCATAAGCTCAGCCACCGTCGGGCATCGATAGCTCTTTGGGTATTGGTAGGTCAATTAATTTACCACAGCCTACATACCAAACAGGTAATGATGGTGCGCGAAATACCTTAAACCGCTAAAGCATTAAATGCATTAAACTTTTTTAACTAATTAATCACATGTTTTTTCATATTAATATTTTATAATAAATAACTTTAAAATTTATAATTATTATTATACGTTTTTTCGTAATTATTATAATTAATAAATACTTTTAAAATTTTAAATAATAATATTATTATTAAAAAAATTTATTATTAAAAATTAATAAATTAATAAGTAACGAGAAAAAAAGAAATTTAAAAAAATTTTATAATATTTAATTTATCGATATTAAATATTAGTTTTTTTTTAAGTTAATAATTAAAAGTTTATAAAATTAAAATTTAATTTATTAAATTTTTAAAAGTTTTATTAACCGTTAATTTTAAAAGTAAAATAAATAAAAAGTTTTACTTATATATATACCGTATTTTTCATAACGAAAATATTAAAAACTTTTCGCGTAATAATATTATTATTTTTTAATTTTTTAATTTCGTTTCGTAATAATCGAAATTAAATCGTTAAAAAACTTAAATATAAATATAATTTAATTAAAAACGTAAATATAAATAAATTAAAATTTTTAATTTATTATAAAAATATTAAATCGCGGCGTAATATATTATATACTTTTTTAATTATTTATTTATTTATTTAATAAATATTAAAAGTTTTATTTAATTTTAATTTTATACTTATATATTTATTAAGTTTTATACTTTTTATTTTTATATATATTATTTTATACGTTTATTTTAAGTTTATTTTTAAAATTAATCTTTTTAAATAATTTATTAAATATTTAATTTTCTTTTAAATTAATAATTAAAAATTTATAAAATTAAAATTTAACCCGTTAAGTTTTTAAAAATTTTATTAATCGTTAATTTTAAAAGTAAAATAAATAAAAAACTTTACTTATATATATATTATATTTTTTATAACGAAAATAATTAAAACTTAAAAGTTTTTCGCGTAATAATATTATTATTTCCCGGGTTTTTCGAAACGTAAAATTAAACGAACTTTTTATTAATATTAAATAAATTTTTTATTAATATTAAACGCATTTTTATTTAAATATATTTATTTAAATTAATCGTTTAAATATATATTTTAAAATATAATTTTTTATATAAATTTATATATTTTTTAAACGTTTTATAATTAAAATTTTTCATTATTATAAACCTCGTTATCGTTTTTAAATTTTTTTTTCGAAAGTTTAAATAAAACCGTTAAAAAGTTTTAAAAAAAAAATAATAAAATTATTAAGCTTAATATTAAATATACTTATTTAAATTAACGTTATCGTTAATAATAAATAACGTTACGTATTTAAATAAATAATTTTATTTTAATATAATAATTTATAAATAATTACCACGTTTTAATTTCGAATTTTTATTAAAATTAATTATTAATTATATTTTTTTTTTATGTTTTTACTTTTATATAAACGTAATAAAACTTAATCGATATATATATATTATATAAATATAATATTAATAAAAATAAATATTATTTTAACGGTAATAAATTTAAAAAATACTTTATTTTATATAAATAATTATACTTAAAATATATATTAACGCGATTTTCTTTAATTAAATATAATTATATAAAAGTTTATTTAATTTTATAAACCGTTATTTCTTAATTTTTTAATTTCATTTTATAACTTAATTTTTAATAAAATAAAGTTATTTAATTTTAATTTAATGTAATAATTTTTTAATATTAAAATAAATATAAGTTATAAATATTATATTAAATATATATTTAAGTAATTAATTAATTAAGTTATTAATTTTAAATAATAATTCGTAAATAATATATATATACTTTTTAAGTATAAAGCGTAAACTTTTAATTACTTAATATTTTAACATTTAAAGTCGTAAAATTCGTAATCTTTTTTTTTTTTTTTCGAAAAAATTCCTACGTTTTTATTTAATAATAATTTATTTATTAAGCGTTAAAATTATATTAAGTTTTAAATACCCGATAATATCGTGTTAATTTTTATATATAATTTTTTTATATATTAATATATTTTTTTAATTAATTATATTTTTAATAATATAATATATAACCATTTAATAATATTTAAATACTTTAATATTAATAATATTTAACATTAATTTTTATATAATAAATATTTAAAAATATTATATAACATTATCGTTATTAAAAAAACTTACGTTTTTATAAATTACTTTTTTTATTATTAATAATTATTTTTACTTTTTATTACGAAATAAAACTTAAAAATTAAAAAATAATAACATTATTACGCGAGAAACTTTTAAATATTCTCGTTATAAAAAATACGATATATATATAAATAAAACTTTTTTTTTATTTTACTTTTATTAATATACGAATTATATTATTTATTATGCTTATTTTTAAACTTTAATTATTTTCATAATCGAAACCCCGTTTATTTTTAATGCGTTTTTACTTTTTTTATTTATAATGCCCTTTTTATTTATAATGTTTTTTTTATTTATAATGCTTTTTTTATTTATAATGCCTTTTTTATTTATAATACTTTTTTTATTTATAATGCTTTTTTTATTTATAATATTTCTTTTATTTAACTTTTTAATAAACATTAATAATAAAATATCATTATAATAAATCATTAATTAAATAATTATAAATTAAAAATAAAAATAAAAAATATATATAATAAATAATTTAAATATATAAAAATAAACGAATAACTTTTAAAGTTTAAATTAATTATATTAATTACATTAAAAAAATATATTAAATAAATTAATTTTAATATATTAAACTTTTTCGTGAAATAAATTATAATATATATTAAAAACTTTTAATAAATATTAATTAATAAATATACATTAAAATAAATATAAATTTATTTTTTTAATTTATTTAATAAAGTTATTTTTAAATACGTCGTTAAATATTTTAAAACCGCGCGTTAATTTAATATATATAATTTATAAATGAAATATTACTCGTTTCGTTCGTTTCGTTTTAATAAATAAATATCGTAATTATTTTATAAAAGTTTATAAAAAAACGATTTTTATTAATTTATTAAAACTTAAATTTCGTTAAAACGTTATATTATATATAAATATAATAAAATTAATTAATTATATATTTAAATATTTTATTACTTAATAACCATTAATTATTTTTTAATTATATACGAATATAATTTTCCATTTATAAATTAAATAATGTAATTATTATATTTAAATATAACTTTTTATTTAAAAATTTTAATAAAATTAATTACATTAAATTTAAAGCTTTTTTCGTGAAATTATAATAATAAAAATAAATTACTTAATTTTTACGAATTATTTAATACGTTTTAATAATTATGAATTAAAAATACATTTTACGAATTAAAAACATTTTTAAATATTTTTTTATAATAAAGTTTTAATAAAATGCAACTTAATTTATTAAAAAACGTATAACGTAATTAATTAAAATAAATTAAACTTTTAAAAATTAATAAAAGTTTAATAAAGTTATTTAATATAAAAATATTTAATTAAAAAAAACCGGGATTATAACGTTATTACCGTATTAATTCGAATTTAAAATTACGTTTTAACGAAACTTAAACTTTAATAAAACGAACTTATTTTAATTACATAAAAGTATAAATATTAAAAAATAAAAATGAAAAAAAATAAAAAGTTATTATTTAAATAAATACGTATTTAATAATTTAAAATATTATTTTTATTAAATATTTAATATATAATAAAAAAACGCTTTCGTAATGTAAGTTTATAAAACTAATAAAGTTAATAAAATTAAATATAATAATAATTTTAACTTTTTACTATTACGATACGAATATAATATTTAATATAAAATAATTTTTACGAAAAAATTAATTTTTTTAAAAGTTTCATTTTAATGTAAATATTATTAAATATATAATTATATTTATTATTCGAAATTTTAAAATCCAATTTATTTTAATATTTATATTTAAAAATATATAAAATAAATACATTTTTTTTTTAATTATATTCGATATTAATAAAAACGTTTTTATTAATTATTATATATATTAAAATAATAAAAAAATTATAATTATTATAATAATATATTTTAATTAATTTTAAATATTTAATTAAATGCGTAATCGTAATATTCGTCGTTTTTAAATAAATATTTTCATTAACGTTATATATATTATTCGTTATAACTTTCGTTATGTCGTTATTTTATTAATGTTATTATTAAATTTATTAATAAATATTAATAACGAAGCGACATTTTAATTATATTTACAATTAATTAATTATATTAATCCATTAATTTAACCCATGATAATTTTAATGAAATTAAATTAAATTAAACTTTTTAATAATTAATGTAAATTAATATTAAATTAATTAAACTTTTAACCGTTATTTTATTATTTAAAATTTAAAAAAATATATTAACGTAATTTAAACTTTACGTTTATAAAAATGTATATTTTAAACGATTAATTTATTCGTATTATATAAAAATAAAATTAATATAACTTATAACTTTTAATTTTAATAATATATAAAACATTTTTAATTATTTTCG